TAGAATAATTGATGAGAAATATTGGTACCATATGGCACCTGAATACCTTATTAGGCGAAATAATAAAAAAGGGTAACAGTAACAATAAAAGAATATCAATCAATAACTGAAATGATGGCAAAATATGAAAATAAAAGAAAATAAGCGATATCTCAACGGATTTAGGGAATTAAGAGCCGAAATTGGAAATGAAGCCGGAGATAACTCTCACGCAGCCAATAGGCATTTTTACCAATTTATTAGACGCTGTGGGAACGAGTGAGGCTGGAATTCTGGGTTGCTGCTTGAGATTCCCACGCCCGCACATGCCCGTGCCTAACTTGCCCAACATAGAACTCCGTCAATTCTCCACCGATTGGGACATTCTTGATATCGTCAGAATCGTACGAATTAGCACTATTTTTAGATACCAAATTTGTACCGAGTCGTCGCGTGAATGAAAGTTGTTTTCTGATCGTGGAGGTGGGTATCCGAGCCGAGTCTGTGTGTGGGCGATTATCCCGCCTACAACGTCAAAATTTTCGCAGACCAATACCGGCATCTGTGGAAGTAAGGGTAAACAACCACTGGTGTATGCAGTCTGAGAATCCGAAGTTAAGTTCAACAGGCGATCGTTAAGGGCAGTGTGACCAATATGCTGATTCTTGATTTCGTGGGTAGCATGGTATGTTGTGAGTGGAATTTGTCTGTGGGCTGCAAAAGTTCTGACTGCATACCAATTTAACGCGTCTTTGACTGCATTTGAAGCCGTGACGATTGGAGCTGACTGCCACCCATTGGATTGTAGCTCCTGAATGCGGAAGTTGTGAATTAGTCGTGTATCTAAAAGGGCTTTGTCTGCAGTCGAGCAGTTGCCAAATCGCAGTCAGCTCAAAAGATCACGGAATGCGCTGTTATGTTCACCATCTTGGCGCATGGATTGTTTTAAAAATACGACTGTATCTACCAGCGACCATAAAAGGCATCCCTTCAGTTTCTTTTGACCTCGTTCTGTTGCTGAGTCCGCTGTCTTACTCACCAACAACTTCGAAGCAGTGTACAACCTAGTGTAACCGACTGGTGGTAGCTGACAAAAGTCCCCTGCAAAAATTACACTCATACCCCCGAAAGCATCAGGATTTTCTTTGGCAAGCGAGAGAGCAGCACTTATCTCAGTCAACAGCTTGCAACCGATCATGGACACCTCGTCGATGAATAGGTAGTCCACTCTGCACCAAAATTGCACCAATTCCGATCGACTTTGAGATCCATTCGACTTCAACATCCTTGACAATTGGTTCAAATTGAGTGCAGAGTGCAAAGTGTTCCCATTGATGTTTTGAGCTGCTGCACCTGTGAAAGCACACAAACGGAGTCGACATGATTGGTCAATTGCGGTAAAGAAGGCTGTCAATGCTTTAATCACTTGAGTTTTACCCGTTCCCCAGCACCACCCATGTACATGTAGAGGGGCTTAGGAACCGCAATATGATGTACAGCATGATTAGCCACCAGCAGGAATGCGTGCCGTTGTTCTAAGTTGAGAGAAAATTCAGAAGATACTGATTCTATAATCTCAGCAACAGCGATGGGAAGGATTTCGGGGGAATGAGCAGTGATGTCGGCATGGAAATCCCCATTAGTGTTGTTCAAGTAAGAATCGTTGTTCATTAAGGCAGCATGAGACATGGCATCCATCGCAACTGGAGACAGCATAGTGCTAGCATGCAGAGACAATTTCAACGCCTCTTTTGCTGCATGCTTACGAGATTTGTAGTCATTTGCCCAAACTGACTCTAAGGTGCCATGATCCGTTATGCACTCTGCAAAGGCATCAGTACTGGAGGAGGCAGAGCTGAGTGTTTCTAAAGAGGCCGAGTTTAAAAGGAACTCTTTGGATGTGTCATCCAAAAAAAGCCCAGCGTTCAGCGCATGACGTACCGCATTTGTCATATCCATACAATCCCGACCTCCGCTCCGGGCTCCCGGAACTCCGAACTCCGACTTCCGGAGCCCTACTTCCCTTCCATCACCTTCTCCTTGCCGACTCCCAAGAGGTTATCCCACCTCCAGCTCCAACACCACCTTCGGTCCGACTCCAGAACATTCCGGGTCCGACCCCAACCTCGACACCTTCCAGACGAGTACGCAACACCTATGCTCCTGACTCCGGACCTCCGCTCCGGAATCCTGTTTGCATCTCCATCTCCGGAACCTCCGGTCTTAGCTCCGACCTCGGACTTTGACCCCACCTCCGCTTATACCCATTGTATTGGTTAGCTCATTCCATTTAATTACGTTTGCCAATATTCCAGAGTTTAACCTCCGAGTTCGGACTTTCCGGACTTACTCCAGACCTTGCAACTATTGCATTGTCCATTTCAATTCCGCTATTCTCCCTCATTCCTATTTGGGCTGCTGCTTCCTTCTATTCAGTCAGCTAGCCATTCCCGACTCCCATCCTCCTTCCTTCCTTCTTGGGCCTTGGCCCTTCATTCCTCCTTTGGGAAACACCATTGAGTCAAACACTTGACCCTCGGTGTTGTTCCTCTTTCCATCTCCCTTTGTCTCCTTTTGTCCTACCCTTGTTCCTTTTGATTCCGGACCCCTCCTTATATACAATGTACCTAGTAACTTGTAACCTCAGTCCGAAATCGACTTGAATTCCCCCCAAGAGACTTTCCCTCTGCTAGATCTGAAATTAGGGACCCCCAGGACAACCAGCAATGGCACAGCACTCTGCCTGAGTCGCTGAGGCCGAGGTCCTTCCACGCTAAGTCTCCGATTCCACTCCGGAGTTGTCCGAATCCGCCCATTCTAACAGCATTATTGACATCCACTTCATCTCCATTCCGCTGGCTATTGCTTTGATCGTCTATATCAAGTAAACGGTGTAGAATGGATTGCTCTTCGTCGGCATCTATAAGTTTGTTGTTGTCAGCCACACAAAGTCCCGGGTTTGATGCAATCACAGTAGAACGCAATTTGGAAGAACTTTTGGCATAGTCTAAATCCCGACTGTCTTTGCACTCGTGCAGAACCTGAATGTTCTTCATTAATTCCAGAACTCGGTCTGAAGCGTGTTGTACAAACTCTTCAAATGCTGCAGACCAAGAAGCTGAATGACCCAAGAGATCAAATGGTGAATGCCAAGGTTTGAATAATGTGAGCATAACAGTTGAATAATACTCAACATTTGCATCATTGTCCCGCCGTGGTAGGCTAGGTCCAATTGGAACTGGAATGAGTTGCCGTCGACGCCTGCAGAGAAAGTGGGTGGTATGTTGTGGATGAGTTTCATTAAGGGATGAGTACGGTGAGCGATGGGGCTGATCCTGAGTACCTTGATCTTCACCAGGATCCATTTCGTCTGTCCCTGAAGAACCTGAAATGCGCACTTTGTCAACCCAAGACATGAAGTCCCAAACATTCATTTGGGCGAAACAAACGGAGTGGTCTCGGGCAAGGTAGTCCATTAGCAGAGAAGGAAGGTGATGGATGTGCCCAGATGAACGGTTGGATGTTAAAATGCAGCCATGATCAGCAGTAGAGGAACTCTCACCGATAGACGAGGTATCAGACTGTGGAATAACCTCTGCCACATAAGTTACAAAAGGAGTCCAAAATAAAGATCGAAACTTGTGGCTGGAAAAATAATCATCATAGCCAAGTAGATAGGATGCAACTTGGGGAGCGGATAACTCTTGCTTTGCAATCAGGGCATTAGCACATTTGATTAACGTGCTTTTAGTGTGCTCTGGGCTCGAAGATGTGGGTGTTGGAGTGGCACTCTGCAACTTGGAAACTGCTGCTTGCAGTGCCGCATATGCGATGTGAGTCTTGAGAGGTGACTTGGTGATGTAATCCGTGATGTAGTACAAAATCGCTTTGGTGGATGCGCCAGACCCAATGAATTTGATATCCATGTTGCATCGGACTGCTTTAATCATTGTCTCACAGTAGTTGTTAATCATTCCGTCAGAAATCCTTAAATGGAGCTCACCACTGTCCGCATCCATGTGGCTTGAGGTGCATGTGTTATCTGGAGCGAGGTTGAAGCGGCAATCAGTGTCTCCATATTTGTAGCATGTCGCAGTATGTTTATGCATCTGGCACGCTTTAACCAAATTGAACAAATCTTGTTCACATTCCAATGGAGTGTAAGTATCTGGATGGCATTGAACACTGCATGGATGAAATTGATCAGATACACAACTCACATCAGTATGATCTTGAGGGAGCCCATTGGAAATTGTATCATCAAGGAAATCCAGTAGTTTATCATGCCAAGTGTAATCATGGCTCTTGAGCACCCGGTCTTTTATCTCCTGAGGATTGAGAGCACCTTCAATCCATATGAGCATGTGGCAGTGTAACGTACCTCTCCCTTGAGCTTCTACTGTTCCGTAATATGCACTGCAAGGCCCAAGTATGCCATCAGCGTTAATCTCATCCACTCTGGTGTGACCCAAAATTGCGGAAACAAAAGCGTCAATCACCAGTTTGAAGAACCGGGCTGCCAAGAAGGGATTGCGTGCCACAGCACTTGCTTGTTGCCAGTAAGATGGCACTTGATCCGGCAACAATGCGTCCAGATTGATCTCTGCTCCGGACAAAAATTTGACTAAAGGATTGTAGACATCAGCTGGGTTAATTGTCACAAAAAAACTCGGAGGCCCACGATGAAAAATTAGAGCACGAATTTCTTTCCGCATCTGTGAGCGAGCGCTTTGGGAGCCGGGGACTTTGGACGTAATTAGTGACACATCTTTCATCAAACGAAAAATTGCTTTCTCATCTTCATTCTGCAGGGTGAAAAGCCTGCCATTCGCTAATCGAGCCAGTGTTGCTTCGAAGCTCTGGGTAGAAATCTGAGAGATGCTGTGTGCCACACGATCAAAATTTTGGTGCGTTGTTTTGAGTTTGCTGTGAAGTGATGTTTTTTGGTGTTGAATGATGTTGAAAACCAAGAAGAGAAAGGAGTAGTGTTCTTGAAATCTGCGATCTGATAAAGAAAAGAGGTGTTTAACCATTTTCTCTAAACTTAACGGTGTGGTTCGAGACAAATGAAAACCCCCAATTCCATAAGGAAATAATGTAGGGTATAAAAGCGGTAACAAGTGAGGGTCAGAGTAATGATTGACAGGGTCAGCAGAATGACCGACCTGAATGTGCGCTCCGATTTCACCATTGGGTCGTTTGAGATGCCGAATTGCAGCGGCTGCCATTTCTGCTGAGTTTGAACCACGCAGATCAATATCTGTGACCAGTACACCTTGTAGAAGACTCTCACTGTGAAGCGCGAAACCATTCAGTGTGGAATCTGTTGGCATTAAGTCATCATACCGTGCACCTTGGGCATCACCAGCAACAGAGCTCTCATGCTGCTCAATGGGGACTGAAGCTATATCGTGAAGAGGGATTTCAATCAAGGACTCATTGTGCAGGATCACACCTTCATACAACGGATTGTTGGCAATTAGCCACTCTAGAGCCAGGCGCACTTTCTCATGCCGAACTAATAAAGGACGCGCATTGTTCAGCAGCCATTCCTTTGAGGGTTTGCTAGAACCAACAAATACAACACACATTGCTGTTAACACTTCTCCCAAGGGTGGCAGCAAAAAAGGAGCAAGAGCCTCGGGTTTAGCCGGAAAAACGATTATGTGACCTTTCAGCGCTCTTTGAGAGGTGGGATTAGCCGAAGAGAAAGCGGCACCTGTAGCATGAGAGTTACCAGAAGAATCATCACGCAGATGAATAATCCAACTTTTTGCACGTCGTCTGGCAATTAATGCTTCCTCAATTAAAGTAAGATCGCTAAGACATGAAGGGACAGGCCCAAAGTATAAATCATTCGCAATTGCCGTTGACGGTATACACTGTCGCCTCAAACCCAAATGACAAACCCGGCAGATGAGAAATTGAGAGTCAGAGTGAATGCCTTCTGGACAAAGGGCCAAATTCTGAAGCAAGGGCATCTGTGCCATAGGCCGAGGAACAGTTGCGGGGAGGTTCAGTTCAAGAATAGAGAGGTTGTACGTCGTCATGTTTGCAGGGTTGGGGAGCATTTCATCTGAATTTTTGGCTTCACCACATACTGCACAAACAGAAATCGACAGGTGGGGGACTCCCAGTAAGGTATAGTACTTAGCCAGCAGAGCTTTTTTCGTTGCAGGCGAAAGCTTCTCAGGCCAACGTCGGGCACATTGTTGTTTCCATTCATTGTATTGAATTTCCGAAAGTTGAACGCAAGGTAGAGTGGAGAGATCTGCGTGCTCCCGCAACAACTGACGCATATCAGCCAGAGAAGCTGTTGAATCGCAGTCGAGGTGTAAATGGTTGATCAAACGTCTCAAAACTCGGTCACGAATCTCCACGGAAACAATCCAGTGAATAAATTGAGCCCGATAATTCTGTCTTTGATGGTCAGAGGTAGGAAGTGTGGAACAGTGGGTGCGAAAGTCCGGAACGGATGATTCCAGAATGCCAAAATCGCATGGGCTGTCGCTTACAATATGTTCGAACACGATCGTATGCAAATGTTCACGTGGAGCATATCCACAAGTCACACTGTTAAGTAAACCATGAAACCAACAAAGCGCTAGCAGTTGAAGTTGAGAAAGACGTTCAAGTGATTGCAAAATTGTGAATGCAGTGGGGAATTCATGCTGGATGTTATTGAAAGTGAGCAACATCTCACGGCAGGTATTGAAAGAGGGGAGAGGTTGATTAGGGTCGATAGCGTAAACAGCCAAGCACACAGAGTACAAAAGGGCGTGCGAGGCATGAGAAGACAGGAAGTACTGAAAAAGAGCGTGCCGAAAGAGATCATGCGAGGGATATCGAGAGCGGTGAGCAACACACGCTTGGAAATCACTGGAATGACAATGAGCACACATAACGTGGCGTAAGAGTAAAGTCCGTTGTTCGTTGATCGTTAATGAGAAGTCATACAGGCCGTGAGCTATCGTTTCTTTGGTGAGATGGTAATTGGAAAACTCGTCAGTGGATAGGAGAATGTACGGCCACGAACCGTGAAAAAAGGCTAAGTTTTGAAAAGACGACATGGTGTAGTGGACGTGTACGCTTGATGTCGTGCTGGTAGGAGTCGGGAAGATCGAATGTGAGGGGCCAGGTGGTAGACCACGTGGACATTGGAAAGGAGGTTTAGCAGACCGTAAGCGAGATGAGATAATGTAATGTGTCAGAAAGCTGAGGTAAAAAGGGGTATAACAAATAATCGTGCATGGCCATTCAGTCTACGCTTCCATGACCCGCTACAGAGTAGCGGGAATTGCGTGTGCGCAGTGCGCGTCCACGGAGCGACGACGACTGGGTACGAGTCTGCCCTCCGCCTTCTTCTTTGATCCCTATGAGCTAGAGCAGCGACGGCAAGATGGAGATCTGCCTCCGTTCAAAGTCTGGGGTGAGACGAATCTTGAATTGCCTCTTGAAGCCGTGGACCAGGGAGGCTCAGCGCTACTTTCTCTTTCACCGGACGTCCCTTCCATCGCCTCTGTGAAAGTGCCTCTCCATGTGATATACATGCCGTCTGTGGGAGGCAACGATCCATCAATGCTTGCTTTGCGCGTTCTGTGGCCAAGTGTCTTCCGGGTCCCATACAAAAGTGAGCACGTTGCTGTTAATGCCAGCTTCTCAACGAACCCGTTTGTGGTTGCACAGATAACTGCGATGTACCGGATAATATCAATTCCCTGAATTTACGCAACGAAACGCCAGTCATTGCTGTCCGGCCGAGCAACAATGAAGGAGACTTATTCCACACCACAACAGTCCCACAGCAAACTCTTCCCACCTTCCTATCGTCGAGTTGGGACGTTTCCGCTGTGCTCTTGGCGTTTACATTAGTTTGCGAGCTGTCTCACGTCGCTTTGATGGCACAGCCCGTGTGGGGAAGCGGAAAGCAGCCTGAGGCCATGCGGATCGCTGAACCTAAACGCTGTACATGCCCCCCCCTGGCGTGCGTAGTGCAAGGATCTGCTGGGATCTGCTGAGTAGGATGTCCCAAGCAGGACGCACACGTCCATGCTTCGCGCAGTGGCTGTCGCCCCGGTCGTGTACCACCTGACTTGTTGCTCATGAGTAGTGATACAATAGGATCATGCAACAAAATTGGCATCTAATGAAACAATTAATGGTCTATCGAGGCCTCTGTAGAAAAAGTCCCACACAACGTCCGGTGCTGACTCAATATATCAGAGATTAGGCGTCGAGCGTGCGGCCTGACTGAGCCATAGGATAGTCTGGGTGGGGTGTGGTCCTTGAAAGAGCCTGAGTCTGGTCTAGAAGAATGCTGGGCCAAACGAACATGTAGATGCCAATGGCTAGGATGAGCGGTACAGCGTCCAATGTAAGGAAAAAATCTAAATTTGTGAGGGTTTGTAAGTCTCAATCGACTGGGCATCTGGGAGCATTGCATGTATCTTACCTTCGTTCCTCCAGAGAACGCCGTTCCATCCAAGAGCCAACTCTACCATACGATAGGCGTTACGAACCTATATCGCGGAAAGAAATTTCAGCGTTCTATCATGGGGTAGGGCGCTGAAATACGCACACAGATCAAGACACTGGAGTAGTAGAGGGTATAGAAGAGACGCTTCGTTGGGTGGTTCCGTCCACCATTAGGGAAAGTCACATCCACAGGCTTCTCGAGTAACTTCCGGTGCGCGAGGGTGACCATGGAGAGGAAAAACAAGTAGGATAGGAACTGGAGGATGATACCAATTAAGAAAATTTTGGAACCAAGGTTATAAGTCGTGTGCGACACCTCCATCGAACCACCGACTGTGTATCACTAGCAGATCAAACACCACCACGGGGAACGAGAAAGTGGGATGAAGGTGCTAACATGATTGTATCAAGAAAGTGACGACGTCGCTCCAGACGAACACATGCTTGACGAGACGAGGAGGAATATAGGAGTAATCTGATTTTGCCTTCCGTCCTCGTTTTCCGGCAAGCGATCCATCGACCGCAACGATGAGATGGCCGTAAACAATGTAATTAAACGCGAGAAAAGCGCAAGGACTGAGAACAATTGAAAGGTTCCTAGGGGGTTGTCAGCAATCGTCTCATTGATGTTCGCGGTGGCCGAGGGCACATACATTGGGATAAACAGCCCGAGTGAGTGCTGGTTTTGGTCTTGGCGGACAACGATGCGCAAGAAGTATCCCGCTGAAGAAATGATGGCGCCGATAGGCAAACACAACGACCACCAAGACTTTGTACGAAAAATGTGGAAAAAGAATGTGCAACCCAACATAACGTAGACGGCGCCGAAGATGACTGCTGCCACTGCACTGGGTACATAGGCTGCATCATGGTGTGGGTGCAGGAGCATTCCGTCAACGTTGAACTGATGAGACACGATAATTGAAGCTCACGAAGAATAGAATTGTCTTGGAGCGTGGGGTGCGCGTTCGCCGAGCTGAGAACTGACAGGACGACAAGCACAAATGATAAGCCCATGTTTGTGACAGAGGTGAAGGTGGGTGGAATGTTGGTTAGAGGAGGACGAGAGATTAAAAGGACTTGCTAGGCGGTCATTATATTTGTTGCAGACCTTTTGAGGGACGGGGCCCGAAAGGATCAACTCGGATGCGTTCCACACTAAGTTTGGTGTCAATGATTTAACGTGTGGCTGTGGAACTGTATACTAATCGGGCGCCGATATACAGAATGATGAGCAGCGACCATGGTTGAATCTACAAGGTCGCTTCGCAGAAGTGGCGCAACACGGCTGGGGATACAGTGGGATTTCCTTTCTATTCCGATAGAGGCTAGTCACCTGCCTAGATTTCCTTATGAGCTGAGGGGTTCACGAGCGTGCGTACTGCGCGCTAATGGAAGGGCTATTGTGCAGCGCAGGAACCGCGCCGAAGCTCGGGAGCGGAGACGGAGCCAGGATGTGCAGTAACTGATTGCGGTGCAGTGGCACATGGGCTTGTGCCGCCAAGCATCCATTCAGTAATCCCAGGAACATGACGAGGCTGTTTTTCGACCTTCCTTGACTGTTGAATGTCGCGATTGCATGCAAAGTTGAAAGCGACCACAGCCAGGTGCAGATTCAGTTTGCACGTGGATTCCAAGTCCATCTGAGAATATATTGCTGCGGTGTCAAAAAGCGTATGGCTGAATTTGTTGAGGATGCGCTGAACTTAAGCGTAGCTGCGAGTACTCCCGCGGGTTGGATGGATGGATGGATGGATGGATTCATTTTAAAGTACGTAACCGTGCCTATCGGCATATGCCGTACTATAGTGTCTCGGGTGAAAAAAGTTTGGAGAACATAAGGATGTGAAGAAAGGAATTTGTTTGACCTAGGAAGTATGAGACATCGAGTAATCAATGGTGTGAAGGAGAATAAAGTGAGATGAAGCAATAACACATAAAGGGGCATGCGACCCCTGCATTGAGATTGAACAACAGGTGAGAGAGAATGGAGGTGGAAAGAGGTTGGATAGAGCCAAAGAAAAGGACACGCGACCCCCAGTGTTGGGGCCGCATGTTTTGCTGCTGTGTGCCTATGGTTAAGTCAATGTTTGAGTGCGCGGTTCTTGCGGGTGGGTGAGTTGGAGGGTGCTTTCACGGGTTTATGTCACGGTAGGCTGGTGAATGTTCCAGTGGCAGCGAAAGGCGATGGGTGTTGGTGGCATCTTTCTCATGCTTGTTGAATAAGGCATGTGGCAGATAGGCCTTTGGTAGAAGGGGTAGTGGAGAGAAATGAAAGTGTTGGGGTGACGGCAGGACTTGAACCTGCATTCCTTGCAGTCAACTTTTTGTCGGCATATGGGGCTATCATTGGGGCTACCACTATCGCGCCTCGTCACTAAGAGGTAGTGGAGAGAAAGATGAATCGGAAGGGTGTTGGGGTGATGGCAGGACTTGAACCTGCACTCCTCCGGCCTGCCCATGGACTTATGGAGGCTACCATTGGCGCTACCACTATTGCACCTCACCATCCCAAAAGGTAGTGGAGAAGAGAGAAAGAAGGAAGGGTTGGGGTGACGGTGGGACTTGAACCCACAGTCCTCTGGCCAGTCCCGTCTGGGCTTACGGAGGTCACCATTGGCGTTGCCACTATCGCGCTCGTCATCCCAAAAAGGTAGTGGTGAGAAGAAAAAGGAAGGGTTGGCTTGACGGCGGGACATGCACCCGCGCTCTTGCATCTCTCCAGCCAGTGCGGCTCTGGGCTTACGGGGTTGCGGTTGATTGGCATTACCACGGTGGCCACGTCATCCTCCCTTCAGATGTTAGAGGCCTAATTAGTTTTAAACAGGGGCACCGCGTGAAGGTTTAGGCCCGTGCCGGGTGTTCGCTGTGGTAGCAGAACTCCCCCTCGACTGACATCCATCGTCGAGTACTCCCGCGGGTTGTCACAAGATTTAGTTAGGTCGTGACCCGACCGGAAGCAAAACTTTTTGGCCCATCGCGCGTTCGCATACACTTCGTTTGTGCTCGTCAGCAATGGCCTCAGACTCGAAGACGGAGGACGCCTCAACTAGAACATCCCTCACTGTTCATGCAAAGGAGCATGCAGAGGAGCATGGAAGAGTCCCATTCTCTACTCTCGACCTTTCGGAGAAAACCATCAAAGGAATCGAGGACATGGGCTTCGAAACAATGACGAGAATTCAAGAAAGAACCATCCCCCCACTGCTAGCCGGTAAAGACGTACTGGGAGCTGCAAAAACTGGCTCCGGGAAAACCCTGGCTTTTCTTATCCCGAGCGTCGAACTGCTGTACAAAATGAAGTTTTTGCCCCGAAATGGTCTGTCGGAGCCATATTTATTCATTCTTCAACTTATGATTTCCTAGGCACCGGCGTCATAATAATATCTCCAACGAGAGAGCTTGCGCTCCAAATCTTTTCTGTTGCCAAGGAGTTGATGAAACATCACTCCCAGACATTGGGTATTCTCATGGGTGGAGCCAGCCGACATGCAGAGACTCAGAAGCTCGAAAAAGGCGTCAATTTACTTGTTGCTACGCCTGGTCGACTGCTTGACCACCTCAATGTGAGCATGGACAGGATGATCTTTGTATGGCCGTCTCAAAATAGATCTTCAGAGTACAAAGGGTTTCGTCTATCATAATTTGAAGGCATTAGTAATCGATGAAGCGGATCGGATCATGGAGATTGGGTTCGAACGCCAGATGACTCAGATCATCAAATTCCTACCAAACGGTTAGCTGTCCAGTCTTATAATTTGCCAGTGTATCTGACATTCTTTCACAAGAGAGTCGACAATCGATGCTGTTTTCAGCCACGCAAACGACACAGGTTACTGATCTTGCTCGGATATCTCTCCGCCCAAACCCCATGTTCATAGACGTCGAGCAAAAATCGGATGCTAGCACAAACATCACACTCTCACAAGGCTACGTCGTGTGTCCGTCCGACCGACGGTTCCTGTTATTATTCACATTCCTGAAAAAGAACATGAAGAAGAAGATCATTGTGTTCTTCTCCACCTGCAGATCAGTCCAGTATTATGCCGCATTGCTAAATTATATCGATATCCCTGTTCTCGAATTACACGTGAGTCCTTTAGATGCCCTTCCTGGATAACAGTCAGCTCATGATAACTTTGTAGGGGAGTCTGAAGCAGGCAAAAAGAACGTCCACATTCTTCGAGTTTACTAATGCATCGCACGGGACGCTCTTAAGCACTGATGTTGCTGCACGGGGGCTCGATATACCTGCAGTAGACTGGATTATCCAGTTTGACCCTCCGGATGATCACAAGGCATACATTCATCGTGTAGGTCGGACGGCGCGTGCTGGGAAATCAGGCAACAGTCTTCTCTTCCTCCTTGAAAGTGAACTCGGTTTTCTTCGATTCCTCCGCGATGCCCGTGTGCCACTCAATGAATTCACCTTCCCTCCCGAACGCATTGCAAACGTCCAATCACAATTAGAAAAGCTTCTTAAAGAGAACTTCCATCTCTATGACGCCGCCAAGAAAGCTTACCAGTCCTACCTTAGAGCATATTCGACTGCCACTCTAAAGAAGGTCTTCGATGTGCACCAGCTTGACTTGACTAAGGTTGGAAGGGCGTTTGGTTTCTCTGTGCCCCCAGCTGTTGACATAGATTTTGGGGGGAAGAGGAAGCGTGAGAAAGATGATGATGGCGCAGTTCCTGCGCGGAAAAAGAAGTGAGGGAATGCCAACCGAAGGGGATGCGTGGGGAAGGAGGGTGAGATGGTGGATGAGGGTGGTAGCCGGGGATCCAGTTCCTGTCCGGTATATACGTTGTACTAGATTATTTTTGCTTGGTTGGCGGGTGCGCTAATTGCGCTCTATGCTTTACTGTTTAGTACGTTGGGCCAGGGTAGCTCCTGTCATGCCAAGTGGCACAAAGTCAGCTCTAACGACCAGTATTTGCTTTGAAGGAAACATTAAATCCAAGCAGCATGTTGATATCCCTGACCCAAGTGTCATGTCCCAAAGATTCCCCCCTGGATTGGTCTCCCGTCGTGTCTTGCGAAGGACTCACACGATGAACATTGATGCAAGGTATCGGCCAGGGTGACGCTTCGACTAGAACGCAATCACCGGGATGCAAAATTCCGGCCTCTCTCCCGTCCATTGAGATGTAGGCTGACGAACGACTTCTTTCGTTGATCTGTGCCAAAGAGATTGTTAACAATACGGTGGTAATTAGAAACCAAGGTCAGCGTCACCAACCTCGATGCGCATCTTGGACCAGCTCGGAAGGACAAGCGGTCGAAAGGATAGGCTCATCGGACTGACAGGCGTCAAGAGCATGGCTTGTACCGCTGGATGCACGATGGGACCCCCTGAAGACAGTGAGTATGCGGTTGAGCCGGTGGGGGTCGCCACAATCAGACCGTCAGCCTGGCAATATATCACAACGAGACCATCGAGTGATGCATAAGAGAACCCACGATGGCTTCGGTGAGATGCTGGTCGTCAACATACGTGTCAGCAGTGACTAGATGCGGACTGCTTCCTCGGTGTAGTGATACTTCATTCATGACTTGCCATCCTGAAAACAAATTGAGCAATTGACAGAGTTTGTGATTCTTTACCAACTCGAAGGAGTGATGCTGCTTTCCTCCTCGGTCAAATCATTGAACCCTTTCGGTCTTACTCTGCAAGAGAGCCTCATTCGGGGAAGGATAGACATCTTCCCACAGAAAACATCCTTGAGAGCTTGTTCCATTGAATCGATGTCTAGATGACAAGAAGAAATGGCGGACTTCAGCGATGTGGCGGGACGATAAGTCATCAGAGGCGTACGAAATGGAAGCAAAAAACCTAACGTCCCGAGTGAAAAGCTTAGCACTGGCGGTACAGGCCCATTGTTGAAAAGACTTGACGCGTGCAAGATAGTCCCATCGCCTCCGAGGGTTATTACCAGGTCAATTGGGGGTTGAGAAGACGAGGAAGGGGTAGATAGTGGCAAGTTAGTAGGCTCGAATAGTTCTGCGTTTGGAGGAGCATCCTGGGGGATCACAGAGGCTTCATAGAAAAGTCGGATATCCGGATTGATCTTGCGTAACTCTCTATGAGATAATGGGGGATCTATATCCGGCTTCAAGAAATGGCGGTAAATACTGACAGTACTACACGATAAAGCGCTTGAGATACTCTGGAGTCCTGCGGCTTCCGAACTAGAAGAATGTTCCGGATTGGTGACCTTGTGGCCCACTTAGAGAATCCATGAACATGGCGATACGGATAGCTGTATGAAGGCGTAGGTCTTGAGAAGGGGTCCGATATGCTTAGGCTTGTTCGTCGGAGCGCCGGAAGGGGACAAGAGGTCAATCGAGGCAATCGAAGGAGCCTGTGCATTCGTGAGAACTCGGGCCCCAAATAGGAAGGAAGTGACGGAAACAGCCGTTTCATTGTCCAGTGAACCATTTCTGCTTGGGCGTGGCGTCTAATCAATGTCTACTGACGTCCGCGTACCTGTTCAAGATGTTCGACGAGAACGTGCCTCAGGGCCTAAGCGAAAACGGTATGTGGGTGGTGGTAGCTGGACTGGACCGTTTTATGTTAGTTGACTCGTTTGCACAGTTCCCCAGCTGGCTCTCGATCGCCTCAAAGGTCTATGAGTCCTCCACGGAATAGGAGAAGACCCCCATTCCCGCATCGTGGACGCCCCCCTCTCCCTTCCCCTGAACTACCCCAAGTTAACGACGTTGACCCAGTACGCAGACGAGAACGAGAGCGTCAGCTTGCTCTTAAACTCGCTGAGGACACCCTTGAGGGGCGAACGGATGAGAAAGAAAAGCCTGAATTTGACGCCAAGGCAGAATTTGCAAAGCTTGTATCAACAAAGTCGGGAGGTGTGTATATGCCCCCGGCCCGTTTGCGAGCTCTTCAGGCAAAGGCCGCGGAGGATAAGTCCAGTCCTGAATACCAACGCCTCTTATGGGATGCTCTACGAAAAAGTTTGACGGGTATTGTCAACAGGGTTGACATTACCAATATCAAAAATGTCATTCCCGAATTGTTCAATGAAAACCTTATACTGGGACGCGGGCTTTTCGCAAGATCTTTGATGAAAGCCCAAGCTGCATCACTTCCTTATACTCCAGTCTTTGCTGCCGTTGTGGCCATTGTCAACGCTAAGCTCCCCCAAGTTGGTGAACTCATTGTTCATCGTGTGCTCAGCCAGTATAGGAGAGCTTTCAAACGGATGGACAAGGTACGACGATTCTGATCCCTCGTTATTCATTCATACTCATGAGACACATTTAGACCGTTTGTGTTGCTACTGCTACATTCATCGCGCACCTCGTTAACCAAGCTGTCATACCGGAAATTGTGGCTTTAGAGATTGTTTCTCACCTCCTAGAGGAGCCTACCGACGACGGTGTGGAGATTGCTGTTGGGTTTATGCGAGAAGTTGGAGCTTTTCTCCTGGAGAATTCACCAAGGTCGAATGATAGTGTCTTTGCTCGTTTCCGCGCCATTCTTCAAGAGGACAAGAAAATCTCTAAGCGTGTACTATACATGATTGAAGTGCTCTTCCAGGTCCTGAGGGATAAGTATAAGGATAACCCGATATTTCCTGAAGGACTGGACTTGGTTCAGGAAGAAGATCAAATCACCCACCAGATATCTCTCAATGATGATTTGCAGGTACAAGAATCCCTTAGTACGTCGTTCTCCCAGTCGAATCTGGTCTCATTTTGACTTAATCATCAGACATTTTCAAATTCGATCCCAACTTCCTCGAAAATGAGGAACGGTACAAGCAAATGAAAAATGAAATTTTGGGGTCCGACGGTGAGAGTGGAGAGAGCGGCAGTGAAAGTGATGACGAGGACGAGTCAGATGAAGAAGGCATGCTCAGTCTTGCCTCAGCACATTCTCATGTCGCTCACCCATTCACAGCTGCTCCAGACAAAGAAGGGATAGAGGACAAGACGGGCACCAACTTAGTCAACCTCCGAAGGGTCATATACTTGACTATCATGAACTCGTTGAACTATGAGGAAGCTGTGCACAAGCTTATGAAAGTGGACTTGCAGGAAGGGCAAGAGGTATGCAATTGAATTGAATGGTCTTTGGCAAATCTCACGCATTGCTCTAGATCGAGTTGTGTAACATGATCATCGAATGCTGCTCGCAAGAAAGGACCTATTCCAAGTTCTATGGTTTGGTTGGCGAGCGTTTCTGCAGACTCAATCGGGTCTGGTGCGAGAATTTCGAGGAGGCATTTGCGAATTATTACGACACTATACACCGTTATGAAACCAATCGACTACGCAACATCGCTCGATTCTTCGGGCACCTTTTGTCATCCGATGCCATATCTTGGGCGCTGCTATCAGTGGTTAGGATGAACGAAGACGACACGACATCCAGCAGCCGCATTTTCGTCAAGATCTTGATGCAAGAGATGAACGAATCAATGGGACTGGAAAAACTCGCTGATCGGTTCAAAGATCCATCTTTGCAGGAACACTTCACGCAATTGTTCCCAATGGACAATCCGAAGAACACTCGTTTCTCTATTAACTATTTCACTAGTATTGGTCTTGGTGTGGTTACGGAAGCAATGCGTGAGCATTTGCAGGTAAGCTTTTAATACCCTCGTGCCTCACACGTGTGCCCCTGTTGTCTCTTCATCTCCGTCATCGTCATGTCTGCAGTTGCAAGATGGTTTGTGAGCTGACTGGTCCCCTTCGCTCTCCAGAACGCACCTAAACTTATCATGGCGCAGCGCCATATGACATTAGGCAGGAATGGATCTTACTATTCAAGCTCGTCGTACGGCTCCGATGACTATACGTCTGACTCGGACCTCAGTCGTTACTCGCTCGGCAGTCGTCTCAGCAGGTACAGCGGCCGAAGCTATGGAAGCCGGCGCTCTCTGAGCCGCTCACGATATGGGTACGGGCGTGGCTGGCGTCGTGGTCGAAGATATTACCGTAGCCGCAGCCCATACAATCACGGTAGAAGCTACTCCCGTTCTGGAAGTCGATACGGATCGTACAGTCGTTCCTATTCCCCAGGAGGGCGACGATACCACTCTCGGTCCCGCTCGCCTTCGGTGGTCGTCGCAGTGGAGGGGCCGAGGCGTTCTCGATCGTGGTCTCGCTCCCACTCCCCCTATCACAGGCGCAATGCTTATTCGCGATCGCGATCCCCTTCAGTCATGGTGGCGCCAATGTCTGTGCACGACCCAGTCTCGCCCCCGCTCAGTGCAGCATATCTCGACGATCGACCGTATGACCCGTACAGGACCGACCCATATCGAAGGGACTACGTGAGAGGCTACAGTCCCGTCCGTGAGCCGCTTCCCTACAGGACCTATTGAGTCCGCGGAGGAAGAGGGGCTGTGCGGAAAAATGAAGGGATTGGCGAAAGTGGAGATATTGTGTTCTGCAGTTTTCTAGTTCTCGTTGTGTTTCGGATCTTTCCATATCCATGTTTTACATAGTGGCGTTGCACCTTGATCTCATTGTACATTTGTGAGCGTTGAACGCTTCGATCGTCATTCAATTCGCGCACGCATTGCGCACATGTTGCCCCGGTTCGGTTGACATATGTTTGGCACTGTGGCAGTCCACCTCATTTCCGAAAACACTCATTGTAGGCGCTGTCAATTACTGCGGTGTTGCAAGCATTCTTCCCTCTGCCGCAGCAGCCCTTTACGACCATCGAGGGGACCTCGAAATCTCATTCTTCTAGCTTGAAAGTTTACACTACCGTGCTCGTTTGACGAAGTCACCATGCCTGCCTTAGCGGATGTTGCTGTTGCTGCTGCGAACGAAGTTCACGAACATGTTGTACGCGAAACCGCAAAGCAAAGATTAAATCCAAACGCTACGCAAGTGCGAACGTTGATTGTCATTGGCGTTTACATCGTCGCGATTGCAATCCTCTGGTGAGCATAAGCTTCAGCCCCCTATTTGCCTCTTTGTTATTTGTCGTACGATGGTTTATTCTTATTGAAGGCATGTATCATTCCTATCGTGGATTCGTAAGTCAAGATTAGCACCCTTCAGCCGTGCTTCATTCAGCGAAGCATGATCTCTGACGTTCAACAACATCGCAGTGTATCCATTTAAGTGAGCACTTTTCGCTTTAGCCTTGTTAGGGATTGTTCTGAGGTGGCCTTGGTTTGCTTTCTTTAGACTGCTTACTGTTGGGTTTCATGAGGTAAGTGCGGCTAGAGAACCTACTTCTAAGTCTCAGTCGGCGCCTCCGATAGAATGTGAATGATTATGATTAAATTGTATTGTCTTTTTCGTAGGGCGGGCACGCTATTGCTGGTGTCTTGACATGTGCAAGAATCCATTCCATAGAGCTCGATCGTTAGTGTTCCCATCTATCACGATCATTGCTCGAGTTCAAGACCGTTTGTCATGGTACTAATTGCCTCTTTTGTCTCGCTTACAGCTGACGAAGGCGGTGCAACCAGGATGAGCGGTGGCATTCCATGGAGTACGTTTTCCGTTCCTTTTTTGGATTTTAACATGCCCAAAGTATCAGATGTCTCTGAAAAGCGACGTGATCCTTGGAACTCACAGCTTGGGCGCTCCTGTCTGAGTGTTTTGAGTTGGGAGCTCAGTTTGATACGCGAATGCTCTATTTTTTCTCCCTACTGATGTGCATACGTCCTATTCCGTAGTAACGTTACCCGCAGGGTATCTTGGTTCATCGCTTATCGGGGCAGCCCTGATTGCCTGCGGCTTTGACACCAAAGCGTCCAAGATCGCTTGTCTTGTTCTTGCTGGATTCTTCTTAATTACGCTATGGTGGGCTCGGCGAAATCTCCTGTGAGTTGACGATTGTTTACCTTCCTTGAACGGGACGAACTAACCGGTCGGCTCGTGTTTTCGTTGCCCAATTTGGCGGCGCCGCGCGTCCTCACCAGCACTTGGGTATTGATTCTAGGAATGGCGGGCCTCATTGTGGCCTTCTGGTTCATCGCGGATGGTATTGTACTGCGGTATCTGGTGAGTCCAATAGCCTGGATTGCGGGTGCCGTTCGGTTATTATGTTCGCATTAATCCCTGGGGGAAATGTCTTGGCAGATTCTCTTTATCGGGGTGATGAGCGATCTCTACGTTCTATGGGATGTGAGTTCGTGATCCCTTCTCGAACCTTTTCCGGCACGGCGGCCGGTGAGGAAGAGCTGGAAGAATCGCTGATAGTCGATATGGCGTTCGTGCGTTGATAGGTGATTGACGATACGATCGCCCGGAAAGTCAACACCAGCGATGCGTCGCACTTTGCCGACATTTGTGGATGTTGTCCTTCTCGGGTAGGTGTTTTTCATTTCATGTCCGGTGCTCTATTTGTTTGTGTCTCTTTGAGGAACACTTGTTCCCCGTTCCCTTAGGGGGATCCTCCGCTGTAATCAGGGGACCGGCGTGCAAGGTGATTAGCTTGCTGACTTGCACCCTTCTTTTCCGCTATAGGTGTGGGGTGTGATTTGGCTAATCCAGGTAAGTTTCCCCATACTTTTTCCGGTAGGAATTTCAAAGATGGTTCTGGGCTAATGGTTGATGCTCGCACTGTCCGCCCCGGGTGTTTTTCCACGGCTTGTGGTTGCAATGTCCGGCCTTCGCACGTTCCCAGGCCCTTATTTTCATGGCGGGTGGGATTTTGATTGGGATTGTGTGCTTCAAGGCGAGTGATTGTGTTTGTTCTGCTGGTTGTTTTTGGTGTAGCTGACCGGGGTCCTGGATGCCAGGATTCGGCTGCGGAGCAGTCAGAAAAGGCGAAGCATTTCTTGCCCACTATGTAAGGATGAGAGATAAGGTTAATGGGTCCTCATTTTTTTTGGACGATTCCGGTGGAAGTGGAGGTGGATAGTGAATTAGTTGCTGGCGAGGCTGGATATATGTATTAGATTACCTCAATTTCTCGTTTGTCTTTTTCTGATTCTTGTTTTCGCCGAGCTAATGTGCGGGATAATTGTTGTATGGACCATGCATATAAGGCTGATTTCATCTCACTACTATTATATTATTCTTGGCATATGTTTGCCACGTTTGTGTCTGTTCGCCATCTTGGGAATGCCTGTGTGGATTTCTTGATCACTGCTGTTCTAATGATCATGAAGTGAATGGTTTGTGATGTTTCCCCCTTCCCAGATGGAAGAGTGATTGATGCCTGCTTTGCTTTTTTCCCCAATGGCATGAAGTGAAGGGGCGTTGACAACTCATAAAGTCGTGGAATTTTGAATTTACTTAGAAATTTGATAATCCCAAAAACCCCTTTATTTATTTACTTATTTAAGTAAATGCCGAATACATTACCTGTACGCGTACATATTGAATATGACAATACAAATGCTGAAATGATATATTCATATTCGTGGGATAGAGTTCGGCAGTCTCCACACGGATATAATACCAAGTTGGCAAACCACCATGATTTCTCCGTTGCTCCCTTCTGACTCGCCTTCGGCCCTCTTGGAAGACGACGAGCTCATATAAATTCTTAAAAAATCCTTCCGTTCTCTTCATCCTTCGCCTTTATGGCATCCACCATTTTGTCTACTCAGACAACCCATACTCCTGGTATACTTATCAATGCCGTCCCTCGTCATTATGCGGCAAGCCTTGCAAGGGCACTCTCGCAGCCCACTTCCCCTTCGAATGGCATACACTCCCTTTTAACTTCGTCTGCTAGTTCGACGAGCTCTTCCAGTGCGTCTTTAAAGCTCTTTGACACTGTTCCCTCACCCTCTGGGCGAAAGATTCGTTTCGCACCACTTCCCGATCCTCGTAAACTTGAGGAGGAAGATGACGCTATAGGCTCTGATACTTCTCTAAGTGATGAAGGCTCACCCAATGGCATTGCTGCTCGCGAAGGCCGTGGTGCTAATGGTGAGCTCGAGGGTGGTAGCGGCGGAGGCGGTGGTAAATTGTCTCTATGGAGTTCACTGGAGATTCCGTGTAAGAATGAAGATGCTGGCACTGCGTCCGCAGCGGTGGCTGGTCCGAGTCACTTGAGTGGTGGAGCCACTGGTCACCTCACACTTTCGTCCTCTCCAACAAAGTCTTCGTTTACCAAGTCGGCCGCATGGAAACTCATCAAGCCCTTCATCCCTGGTATATCCAGCAAAACAAAGCCAGAGTCCAAAGAACCCTACCCCCCACTCTTCCGTGAGACTTCATCTGATTCGATATACTCTACTCAATCCCTTGGGTTGCCATCTCGCAGTCGGAGGCTATCAACCAGTTCGAGTACGATGGACGCGAGCTCTTCCGGGAGCATTACATCGCAAGAACGAGCTGCCATTTTATCGCATACTACTCCACTTAGGCAGACCGTTTCTGAAGGTGGAAGGCCGCGTACATCATCTGCCGTTCCGAGTAGCAAACCGAACGGTATCGGAGGAGGTCGTCGTCCCCTTTCAGCGACAGCTAACGCTCGCACCCGCCGTCCCCTATTCATGCTGAATGGGAGAGTGTACGGTAAGAAACGAGGAGCCTTGACGCCCGATCCATTCCAGCACCAACGAGCGTTTGAACCCGAGTTTAGCGAGTGGGGGACCGGTGGATTAGGGAGCGTCCCTTCGAATAGGGCCTCGGGTGCTGCGGCTGATTGGGATCGGTTGCATAACGGCAAGTCGTTTGCGAAGGCACATGATGACGATGACGATGGGGGTGGAATGGGGTGGGTGAAAAGGAGAAGGGAAGCGAGAGCGAAGGCTGCTGCTGAAGCGGAGGCGGCGGCAGCGGCAGCAGCAATAACAGCGGATGCGGCTGAAGCTAGCACAGGTGATGCTGACGGTGGATCTCGTGAGGGGCAATTTAGCGAAGGGAAGACAGATACTGCCGTGGAGGGTAGTGTTGTCGGCACCCCTGCCGAACCACAATCACAACCAACCCAGCAGCTACCACCGGCATCGGCGCCGGCTCAACAGCGGCGGCCAACTCGACGGAGGTCGTCCGGTGATAGGACCGCGTCTATTGGGACTGTTACCGATACTCCGCAGCTTAACGCCGGTGATATGAACGCCAAGACAATCTTGTCATCAGCCCTATCCTCCCAAGCGCACGTTTCGTATCCAACACAACCACTATCACAACCATCACTTTCATCATTGCACCCGCAAACATCGTCGGTTCCTCCCACCCCATCGTCTCATTATTTCCCTCATCAACCCCTTACTCGTACTCCATCCAATTCAACCCAGAAGACGACAGATAGGCACTTGTTGGAGCATCGCAATACGTCCGTCCACGTCCTACCACCTTCACCTCCAGTCAGTCTTGGCGGCGAAGGGCAGTATCATCATCAGTATTTTGGAATTGGAGTTGGTATGGGACATCAGAGGAAACATTCGTTAACGAGACTGAACATATCGAGGGTGTCATCTCATGATAGTGGAACGGTGAGAGGTACCAGTGGAACGGTTACCCCCACTATTGGTGCTGGTGGCAGGGAGATACTTGAACAGATTAGTGCGGGTATTACGAGTGAAGAGGTTTCGGAGGAGAGTGATAGTGAAGAAGATGAGGATGATGAGGATGAAGCCGAGGTTGAGGCATGTTCCATTCTCATTATTTTAGATATTTGTGCTGACAATGCTTTGATTTGTAGATGGAACGAGCTCGTAAAACTGCGGCTTGTGCTGGTGTTGAGAAGATCTCAAGACACCGGGAACATAACGAGGAATAAGTTGCCGCTGCTGTCGTCGCTCGATCGATCCTCTCCGCCAATGACCGCACATTCCCCCCCCCCGTATCACTTGTGGGTGCCGCCATGAGCCGCGTCATTCGTTCGATTTATTTCGCAATCGTTCTTTTTTATTTATCAAATCGGACCAAAATAGCAATGCAGGAGTGGGGGGAAGCAACCCAGATGATATTGTTTGAGCACGGCAATAGTTTGACGTTCTCATTAATCTCCCACGCTTCTTGCCTTCTGTCTCACCGCCACCGGAAGATACCATACGAATTTCCCTCGATCCTTTCCTACATCGCCCGAATGTCATAGGAGGAAATTCATCCGCATTCTCAACACACTCTCAGTCTCACCCTGAGCTTTCTCACTCGATCTTCTCTTGCCTCAACTCCACTCTCGCGTGCTTCTTTCACAATTCACATTATAGCTTCCCCTCCATCAGCATTTCGTTTAATATTTCTCATCTCAATGTTCCTAATGCAACGCAAGCTCAAGTGGGCAAAACGACAGGGTATTATTGTAATTCAACTCCCCATTCTATTCTCAAACACGTCATATCAATTTGTTTGTTTTTTCCTTTTTTTGGTAGCCTCCTTTTGCTCTCAGTTGTACCTCGATTGGTTGGTGGGGATTGGGATTGGGACCGGGGGGGCTTGTCGCGTTGGGGGATGAGTGGGTGAAGCGTGGTGAAGGGAAGAAGAAAATTTTGACTGGTGTTGAAGCTGAAAGTGCTCACACTAGAAATCATTTTTGCTCCTTCCTGACCCACGCTCTTCCCTTGTTTGGTATGATGGAACGCACGTTTTGTGGGTAAACAAAGATGGGAAGTTCGGATCCGGCGTTTCATTGTAAAACTGGACAGGGATTACGGGTCCAGGGTTGATACGGGTTCGAAACGTTTCGATGACTGACTAGTTACGCTCCTGTGACGTCTTCGCCGAGTTTTGCGCACTTTCCGATCTCCGAGGTGATGGGGATCAATTTATTGGAACTGCGCCCTTCTTCGACCAAGAAGTGCAGATCATCGACGTTGCTTCCGCCTCACCATCGCATCCGCTACTCCGAATCTGTAGCTTTGATCTTGGAGTCTCTGGTCATTCCTTTGTGTTTGATCCCGCCCCCTCTTCCTCTCATCCTCGCCCTCGCAACGCTCTTATTGGGATTCATTCAACAGTCTCATCGTTCAAAAACGCCCAAATACTAATCCCAAATTTCATTTCTCAATGGTTTTTTCAACTCATCACGATTCCTTCACTCGATACGTATCATTCATCCCATTGGTCTTTCCAACCGATCAGATCACCCAATCATCATCCCCTTATCTACAACCTTTTCTCGCCCTCCTTTCCCTGGCACCACAGTACCTCATTCCAATTCCCGAACGCCGAAAAAGCTCGTCTTTTGGCTTGTGGCAACGAGGTGCAAGCATTGGGGAATTCCACCTCCACTCCGGGCCCCGCAAATTCCACAGTTCGGCATGCCTTCTTCGCCCTATTGAACCTCTTTTAGGCTGCACAATCTCTCCATCCAATTTTCATTTCATATCTCCTTCTATTCTTACTCGGCGATTGACTGTTGTGACATCGTATTCTGGGCTCTTGTTGTATCAGTTCCGCATCCTCGTGGGTCTTCTTGGTCATTAATTCTTTGTTCCCAATATTCCTTGTTTGAGCCCTGTGGGCAAGCCGGACGTGACCAGAGCGAAGAGAATCCAGGGTCATCTCCGGCACAAATCCCATTCTTCCTTCACAGATTGTCCATATAGAATAATACAGTGAAATTAACTCACTTCCCCAACGTCGTTGGGCAGCTAGCTGAATTGCATCCCAGCTGGGGTTCAGTGATACGGGATCCAAGGGATGGGCGCATATGGCTTTTGGCGCAACTGGATCTTCCGCCGCAACGATTTCAATGAGAGCATCGGTCTCGCTGTGATAACTGAAACAGGTTAAAGAATAACACGTCTGCCAAGACTATTATCACCGCAAGGCACGCAGATGTCGGGACCTAGTACCGCGTCTTGGTATATCGAACACGCAAGCTTCTCTGGCACCACGAGTTCCCTTACCGTTTTGCTTCATACCTTGTGTAGCAGGGATGGAAAGGTAGGCTATGGGGGTCGGCAAATGAGGGAATGACTAACCCACCCGAAAACAAATCCCGATCACGAGATATTAAATCACGGCACCTTATGTAATCCGCCAAGCAATTGCTTTCGAACGATGGGTGCGCTGCCTTGGCCCCCGAGTCAACAGCAGCCCGACTCTCAATCTCCTCAGGAGACAGACCTCCAGCAGCCTACTCCTACTGGCGGTGGCTCAGGATTTCTGCAGCCTCAGCGAACCGGCCCCCAGGGGCCGGCAGGTGTCAATCAACAGCAGCAACAGAGTGGGGGCGTACCGCCTGTGCCTCCAATCACACAAAACTCCCAGTCCCAATTCCAGCAGCAGCGACCCCAGCTTCAGTTGCCTCGGCCGCAATTTGGGCAGAATGGTAGCGTTTCCGGAGTTTCAGCACAGCAGCGTTTCTTGAGTCCATCGCCTGGTCTTGGTGGACAGCTTACTCTTACTGCCCAACATACCGCGTTAAATGGGTCTGGTATAGGTGGTATCCGTCCTCTGGTCTCACAACCAACAAGATTCAATGACCCTCGCATGCAAATGATGTCGAGCACATTCATGCCTACCAGCATTCAGGCGCCCTCGGGCGCTCCTCAGTCTTCTGGAGGCCCACCCAGTAGTCAATCTCTTCAACAACCATCCCAACAACACAATCAGGCTCAACGTGGCACTAGTACTTCCAAAGCCCCTTGGGTTTTGTCGAAAGAGGAGCGCAAGGATTATGACCAAATATTCTACACCTGGGATCTATCCAACAGTGGCTTTATTGACAGGGGGACTGCCACTGAAGTGTTCAGCCAAAGCGGATTGGACAGGAACGCACTTGCGCAAATCTGGTGCGTTTGATCACTCACTTTGCACGTTTTATTTCTCCTTATTCCCCTCCAAAAGGGTCCTTGCTGATGCCGAGAACCGAGGAAAGCTGAATATTCAGGAGTTCCACGTTGCGATGGGTCTGATTTATCGCCGTAAGCACTTTTCCATCATATTCAACACTCAACCTCATGGATTACACTTACACAGGGTTGAATGGTAATGAGATCCCACCCATCCTTCCTCTAGAGATGGAGCCCGTCTCGTCTAAACATCTCAGTGAATCCGTGGATTCTCTCAAGGACCTTCTCAAGAACGACACCAATGTTCGAGCCACAGCTATCGAGAGCAGAGGCAAGGTTTATTCCTTTGGCGATTCCCCCACTCCCAAAACCAATCCTAGGAAAGATGGCACCATATACAAACATGACGATACCAACGTGCGCGGTTACACCTCTAGTTCACGACGCGTTGACCGAAGCGCTATTCGATCCGGAGAGACAACACCTTCTGATGATCTCTCTGACATCAAACAGCAGCTCCAAAACACTAACGAGCGTTTCGACAAGATTCGCGCAGATGCGGAGGGTCGAACTGCAGAGGATGAGGCTTTGAACAATGAGCTTGATGATCTCAAGTATCGGGTACGCCGCGTCCAGGAAGATCTCGATCACGTAAGTCGTGGGCCTAAGTCAGCTGCGAAGGATCAGGAAAGACGAAAGCTGGAGCGTGAGCTTTTGTACCTCATGCACGAAAAGGTCCCAGAAGTGGAGAAGCAAATCGAGGAGAGGGATCGTCGTAAGCAGCGCGAGGAGGAGTGGGTTCGTGACCGAGATCGAAAGAATGACCGTAATCGATCTGAACATGATTCGTCCTCTCGACGACGCTCGAGGGAACGCAGTGATTTTAGTTCTGACGATGAGGTTGACAAGGGATATCTGCGTGGAACATATGACAGAAAGGACAACTACCATAGTTCATACCGTCAGAATGGCAGTCGCGACCGTGACAGGGACCAGGACTACCGACGGGACGGCCGAGATCGTTCTCGTGGGAGGGATTGGGGCCGAGGTTACGATCGGGATCGCGACTATGACCGACGTGCATCTCCTGCTCTAGTCCACTCTCCTGCGTCTCCATCCCCAACGACGTCTTCGACCGTTAATGAAGTCCGAAAGTCTGCTGCAGCTCCGGCTTCAACTGCTGCGCTACCAGCGCCACCAACCAAGAACATGACTGCTGAAGAGCGTGTTTACTATCGACGACAGGCCCAACAGCGTCTTCAAGATCGGATGAAAGCACTAGGTCTTGGTGGGCCCGCTCCTTCATCTTCCCTTCCTGTAGATACCTCGGTCGAGGATCGACTTGAAAGAGAACGAAAAGAGGCAGAAGGAAAGGCACTACAAGCTGAGAGGGACGCAGAGGAGCGGGAGCGTGCAAGAAAGGAACACTTGGGTGCATTGCGCCCCTCACCACTTAAGAAATTGGCACTTTATGTCCCTGCGGCTCAGAAGCCCCCTCCCCCCCCACCTCGCCCGAAAGTGGCGCCGTCTGCGATACTCAAGCCTGCACCTCCTGCGGCAGTGCCACAACCAGTGCCTAGAGCCTCTAAAATTGTTGTGCCTGTCGAAGAGAAACGTCGGCGAGAGGAGATTGCGAAGAGACGTGTGGCTCGTCTAGCTGAGTTACGGAGATTGGAGGAGGAGGCGCGTAGGGAAGAAGTGGAGTATCAGAAGCGTATCAATGCCTCACAACGAGGGAGAATGACATCGTCGTCATCTCCTTTGCCTGCTTCAATATCTGGGCGCACCCCCAGCGTCCCCGTGGCACTGCCTCGATCAGTTGCTCTCCCACTTTCTCCACCACCTCCTGTTCCTTCCTCTGTGCCTTCCCCAAATGCCCAAAAACCGAGCCCGTTCCACAGGCTGATGGAGGGAGGCTCTAGCGGCTTGCCTTCGAGCTCCATCCCAACCCGACTTCCCATTGTGCCTCCACCAGTCCCCCTCGCTCCCCCCCTGCCAGCGAGTTCACTGGTTCCTGTTACTGTCCCACTGCCCCTGCCCCCGGCGGTGGCGTCCCTTGCTCTTGCCCACCAAGAGAGAACTCCACAGCCTGCGTCACAGCACTCATACCCAGCGGTCGGGAACAGTTATAAGCCCTCTGCAGCTGATGATAGGGGTGAAAGTGATTCAGACAGCAGCGACGAGGAAACTCTTAGACGTATGGATCGCGCTGAAATTTTCAATACATTGTTTGGTGGCATCGTTCGTCCTAAGTCTGCTACTGCTGGTTCGCCGACATCAGACACACCTCCCCAACCTTCACAGGCCCCGACAGTTCCAGATGTAGCCTTCAGGAAGTCGGAGGAACCAGCTGATCGACGTGCGCTCATGAACGCAATCACGAGTGGCGTACCCAAGCTTCGCAAGACGGTTACGAACGATAAGAGTGGCGTTGCCATTGCAGGTTCGGTGATCGGAGGCGATGTTAACTCACTGACCCATATCACCAATCCACTACGTGTGCCATCTTCTGAAGTGCCCTCCATTGTACATGGTGGCGGTGAGCACAATGGGTTCGAGACTTTAACGCACACAAAGTCAGAAAGTAGGCAGAGTGTTGATTGGTATGCCGATTTGACTGCTAATAACACACGCTCTTCCTGGTCAGCTACGACTGAGACTGGTCCCGCAAAAGTAACCGATGATTTGATGGCTGACATTGAGATTGACACCAGTGCGTGCCGAAATAGTGTTTGAAACAATTGATCTCACTCTTTGGACTCTTGCAGCGTTGAGCGTGCGGTCGCTGTACCCATATGACGGGCAACGAGCGGAAGACCTCTGTGAGTCAAATATAATACTCCGTTGCAGCCCAACTGTTTCTCTAATTTTGCTCACTAGCCTTTAGTGAAAATGTCGTCATTTCAGCGCATCCATCTAAGTCAGGTGGTGACTGGTGGCACGGCACTCTCGTGAGTAATGGAAAACGTGGGTTCTTTCCTGCGAGCTATGTTGTTGTCATCGGACAAGGTATGGAGCCTCTCCACGCTTTCCATTCAATACTCAGCATCTCTGTACGTCACTAGTTACGCATGCTAGGGCGTTATACACGTATTACAGCTCCAGCGCGGATGAACTTTCGTTTAATGAGGACGATACCCTAAGCATCGTAGAGAGGTCTGAGGGTGATTGGTGGAAGGCTCAAAAGGATGGAAGCGTTTTCTTAGTGCCCGCTGCTTATCTTGAGATGGTGAATGGTTAGTCGGGGATCCGCTTTCCACATTGAGTATCATGTTCACCTCATTTTTGCGTCGTGGCAGACTGAAGTAACTCTTCCTTTTCATTTGTATGTCACGTCAGACCAAAATTTGATCGTTTAACCTCACAGTTCTCTCCCCCTCGTTGGGAGTTCCCGTGGATAACACGGAACCAGTAACGACTCCCATACCCCCTCCCGTCGGTTACTTCCATAAACAACGTTCTGCCTTCTCCCGCCAGCACTTCGTATTTTTTCGTATCTATTCAATCCAAAGACGACGGCAGTCACCGCAGTGGCGGATCCAGCTCTTCGCTCTTCCTTCAGAAAGCTGGTTCACGAGCAACGACAGCTCTCAGTACTGATAGGAAATCAACTTTGGCAATATCAGCTCCGGTCATATACGCTCCGATGGCCGACGCAGGGACCTCCATTCAGCAATCAAACACCCCAGCCTTCGAGAGTGTGAGTGTGGGTCTCTGTTTTTATGACAGTTACTGATTTTTGTTTGGTTAGTCCTGGAGTAGGTTGGCAGTATCTACTTTGTTCTGAGTTGCCGTGTGTGGATTTTGAATTGTACCACTTAGTCCAGTAACCTCTTACCACAAACATTTACTGCCCCTATCCTTTTCGGCCTTCTGTCTGCTTGTTCCGCTCCTACAGCAACCGCCGCTAGCCCTCCTTCCGTTTCCCAATTGCACGACCGGCTACTCTGATCCTCGCTTTCCCCCCAGGCTGCATCGCACAGCTACACGCACACCCAAACAGCCCTGCCGCCTGCCAACTTTTATTCATGCCATTGCTAGCTTTGCTAGGCCCCATAATTGCTCTTTTCACTGGTGCGCACTTCCGACTAAGGTCCCCCAACCTTCACTTCAGGAAGTCGTCCTTTTTGGAATGGGTATACTAGGGACGGTATACCCTTTTGAAAGACATTTAAATTTGTCAAAACACCGGGACCAAGGACCAACACGCCTCGATGCTCAAGAAATCTTCTTCATTCGGCGTAGGTCGGAGGCACGAGCCATGCAGATTCTTCTCACCTGGCACGCCCCATGACACGCAGGGCTCAGTCCCCGCCTTCCTCCAGCCCCCGCCTCAGCTTTTACATTAATTTGCCCTGGCATCTCGATCTGACATTCTGCCGTGTGATCCCTTCCCTGCTCTTCGGCGCAAGTCGCTGATCAGCATGTCACGTCCCCTCTCATGGCAGATGACCATGAAGGAAGAAATATAGCGCGTCATACGTTGTCGTTCATAGCTTTGTGGCTGCGTAGTAGGATAATGCGTGGGTTTCAGTTTATCAAGACGATTCTGGCGCTTTTTTCGTCCTTCCTCGGGGGGTCTTCTTTCCAGAGTCTTTTGAAGCTTACTTCAAGATCTACTGTCACGTCTTCCCGAGGCCTTTCCAAGTTGGACTCTGGACGGGATTGCTCCGGCAACCCATCCCAGTTTCTGGGAGCTTGAGTTCTGGACTACTTTGTGAGGCTAAATATGCGTGGTACTCCCTCCGCTCTATGGAAATTTGATCCACCCAGGACTATGTTGTGTGCTTAATTCAAGGATGTGGTGGAAGTGAAGGATCAAATTCTAGGGTCTGCTGACATTACGGCAGCGATGGTTCTCGCTGTGAGCACCAGTGTCCCTGTGACCGAATCATTGCGGGTTGTGACCATTCGTTCGATACTTTGGATCTCAGATAAATTGTGGGTACCAACTCGTATGGTTTTAGGAGCCGCAAGATGGTAGGTCTCTGGTGCATCTTTATATCTCGGAGGCCTCCAGGGGCTGTTGCAAATACCCCGATTCGTGATTGGTCAACACAGCATATTATTGACCTTGTACACCCCATCCCCATCTCCACAGCCAGTGGGTTACTCTCACTCGTATCCTCCGTGGTGCATTTCCTATCCACTATCATAGGCATTCAGGGCAGGTCCGCCTATGTTCGCTTCGGTCTCAATACTGATCGTGTCCTGCGACTGTTACCTCACCCTGATATTCGAGCCGGTTGGCAAACAAGAACGCTACTAACTTCCCTGTTGTGTTAGCTAGGACTGTCAGCCCGTTGGCCTCTATGACCGAGGATTCCCGGCGCTTCCTACCTAAGAACGGCCGCTGATGGCCTTCATGCACAGGCTTCTCCTGGATACACACGCACGCAGTACCGGAGAAAACTTGTTTACTATGACCAAGTTTCTCCTGCCGTGATTTAATCAGGTGCCCTTTTAAGATTTTGATTGCTCGCAGCTTGACTCCTTCCGATAAGTCTGGCTCCATCCGCCTGTAACAGCCATTCAAGAACCATCCCAGTACCCATCGTCTTCCCCCTAACCTTATCATATTGATTCTGTCCCTTGTTACATAAATACGCTTTTCGCAGCACCCGCTCGTCGTCTTCCAAGACGTCTCATCACCTCCGAACAGCATACACCTTTGCAGCTTATCAAATTCGCTTCCAATCTGACCCAAGCTGTTGCCCTGGCTCATGTCACTTCAAGCCTACGACTTGAGGAAGTCTCTGAACCAACACCGATACGAATGCATCACCGCAACATCGATTGTCACGCCAACCAAGCTTGGAGAGGGGTACGGCGGATCGTGGGCGCGGCCAACCATGCCAGCGCCAGCGTCATTTCAATGCACAGGCCAACGTTGAGCCGCAGTGCAAGAAAACATGGATATGCTCGGTGAGACTCAAGGGAAGTGCATGGGAAGCCAATTGCATAGTAAAAACCTAAAACGCACGATAATACAGTCAAGTTTCAGGTGACCCATATGAGGCCCTGGCGGGTGAACGTGCACATGCGCGACTTGGGACAGAGCTAGACAGAAACAAAGTTGTGTGTACATCTTTGGCGTTGGCGTGTGCCAGCAGAAATGTGTCACTAAATAATATCGAAGAATCGGAACAAGGAGCCTCGGAATGCACACACTATCATGGCGCCTGGATTAAAGTATGCATATGCATGTAAATCATGGAATAAATACAAGGGCACGAGATCGGGTTTGACTTCCGTGGGTGATAGGACGCTGTGCATTACAGTGCTTGCTGCGATCAGAGACCGGATAATTTTTAGCGGCAGGCTCGTCGTCGCGCGTACAGGGAAATCATGATGAAAGAAATCCCTGAAAGGATCCGTGGATTACCTAGCTACGAACATCGCCAGCGGAACGGTTCCGATACTGGAAGTCTCTCATGCGGAGGTAAGATCTCAGACGGCGACAACCCGGTTGACCCGGAGATGGGGTCAGCTTGTGCATTTGTTCACTGCTCCGGATCGCCTTGTGACGTTCTTAGTTTCACAGTGGAGCACGTGGTCAATGCTCAGGATTCAGGGATCCTGATTCGGATTTGAGTCGTGATCGGAGTCGGGGATCGACACTGTGCTAACCACACGAACGGGAGTCCATCTCCCTGTGTCTATTACAATGTAGCACACCAAAAATCAAGAACAAATTCTGTGTGCACGTCTCCCCACGGAGTTTGTGGTTGGTAGACGGGCCCTGCCTTCAGATCCCTGGGAATGAGAGGCTAGCATTGTTGTACTTTTATTTGTTCCAGACAGGGGCTGATACTGCCGGTCTCCATTGCCGATACGGTACCTGCCTCGGGGAGTATGGCAGTACCGATGGGCAGCACGGTGTTCGCAAGGACAAGCAGCGTCACAGTGCATATGTGGATTATACATGTCAAGGCGAGGCCTCGCTTCGACTTCCTAGGATTTGGGCGTCTGGATGAACGAATGCTTGCAAAGAAGCATGGGGGTTTACCGCTTGCGGACTGCCACACATTCGATTTCTGTGAATCTGATTGCTGCTTGCTTCGTAAAGATGAGAGGAATATATGAGTGCCATTCACCGTGTCATTTGCGTTCTTTGCTCCCCTAGTTTGCACCTATGGCCCAGGAGGCTACGTTCAACCTTGTACGTGTATTTCGGGGCACTTGAGTCAGTGGGGGCTAAATTTACCTATTTTAAACGTAGACTCTGAGGGCCAGTTCGCCATTGTGGAGGTGGGTCAACGTTAATGACAATCCTTCGACTCGTTGGAAGGTGCACTGTCCAAAGCAGACAGCGGTAGGTTGCGAATCGATTCCCGGGGGCTCTCTTCATATCATGTTCAATAGTCACCCTGGTGTGATGAACAATTAGCGTTCTTTACGGGAGAACAAGGAGCAGTAGCTATGCTGGAGTTTACAGGTAGATTATTGGACTAATAAAGGCTGCTCGAGACTTTGGGATTAATTTCTTCCTATCAGGAAGCGCCATCACGGTCTACGGTCATACATCAAGAGGGATGGCATGGGCTGTAGCACTTGACGGCGTTCCTGGTCACTCCCAGCAGATGGCTCCACACAGCCAGGTCCTTGCATTATTCAGTGGTCTGTCCCCTGATTGTCCCCACTATCTCTCCATCTGGACAACGGCAGCTCCGCCGAAGTCATACATGAGGCTTGACCGTGCCGAGATTACCGTTGGTACTGGTACACCCGGGTGAGTGACGGCTTCCGCCATGGTCGGTTTGAGAGCAGGCTGAAAACTTTTTTTTCCACCCGGCCACCGTCTTATTTAGGCATAACACCACGAGCACGTACATGGACAGTTCAGACACATCCCTATCTTGGAAGGATTTTTCCGTTTATCCCAACCCCACTCAAAGCCACGTCATCAATAGTGCAACATACCTTGCATCGGACGTGTTGGGGGCAAGTGTCAGCGCCACCTTTACTAACGGTATGCATGTTTGCATCAGCCTACAGACTTTGTATTCTCACATCGAGCCTCTCAAGCGAGCGCACTCATTGTTTATGGACCATGTTTTTGGGGTTGTGGGAAGTATAACGTTACTTTTGACAACGACCCCGTTGTACAATATGATGGAATGCTTCCGGCATCCCCTGGAGTAATTTCGGAACAATGCGTACGCTATTATCGCACGAACATTAACCCGGCGCTGCAGCATACTCTTACTATCATAGTAGCAGAAAGCCATCGTTGGACGACCTTGAATTTGATAGAGTTTGTTCATGTACCGCAGGAGCCCACAGCTCCGGTGGCGTCTATCTCGTCGACGTTTACCCCGTCAACATTTACTTCTGTCTCATCCACGTCTACCACATCAACATTGAGAGCCGCGCCGCCATCGGCATCCAGCCAACAATATGGCGGTTCTTCCGACCGCCGTGGCGCAATAGCCGGTGGGATCGTAGGCGGAGTTGTCGCCATCGGTATCGCTGTATTTCTCATCGCCTGTTCCCGCCGCCTGGTTTTCAGGGGTCTATTCCACAAATTCAGGCACGTTAGCCGCTTTAGCTGCGGGGGGCGCTCCAACGGCCTAGATACCCCAGGAGAAACGAGAACCGATCGTTTAGGAAATGAAGCTGCTCCTGTTGCGTCAAGTGGTGCATTGTTCCCTTCAGACTGCCGTGCGGACACGCAGCAAGGGGACATCTTGAATGCGGGGCATAGTGCGCCACCGTCAATGACTCCGAGGATGCATACTACTGAAGACTCTACGCATCCCATTGCATCATGTAAGCCCGCTTTCGTAATCCCATCATCAGCTATCACCAATCCCTTCTACGGCTTCAGATTGGAGCAGGAGGACAGTGCAAAGGTCGCCAGGCAATGCCCCACCTTCTGCATTCCACACGGAGGGGTGCAGAGCTACTAGACTAAGCGGTACGATTCGAAATTCACACACGGTAACTCAGAACGAAGCAGATACTGCCAACTCAGAGTTCACCACCAGTCTGCAGCCTCAGAATCCCGAGATGTTACTGTTCGCCCCTACTCCCCGCTCTGACTTTCATCGAGCACATGTGGGATCAACCTCACCCACTCAAGGCATTCCACTTATGTCAAATTCAACACCACCATCATCCTTTTTACAAAACTTCAACGTCTCGTCGTTCGCCCTTCATGATCGACTTTCAACTTCATCTACGCAACAATCATCAGGCGAAATTGGCAGGGTATCGTCGCCCAGCCTAACGCAGATCTCAATGGCTGTGAATGAAATATTGGTAGAACTCGCTAAGTTACGGATCACACCGGGCGAACCTGTCGACGAGGGCGCTGATCCTGCTTTTCATGATGAGGAGGCTCCCCCGTTGTATGGAACGCACGACAGTGCACTGTACACACATGAAATGCTCCGTTCCAGCAGTAATGGTAGTCACTGATTGAGTTAAGGGGGGAGGTTCCACCCGGTTGTTCGAAGACATTGGGATTTTTGTTTCTCTCCGGTGCGTAGTTATTTATCGGATAGCGGAATGTCTCGTTTGTTAGAGTATTAGTATGTTTTGTTTATAAGTTGAGTCTCCTAGTGGTACTAGCCGCCAATGGTGTGTCGTATTGCCTCCCTTAAACTCCACTGCAGGGAAATGTTTTTACGCACCGGCTTGTTAACCAGATTGATGAGATAATCCACAAGTGCAACCCCTCCTTATTTCCAGTATGAATTTTTCTAGGAGAGTCAGTACGATTCAGATGCCTCGCAACCGCCATATCCGGATGGAGAATGCGACCATTCACCAGAAAGGTATTCATCCATTCAATGTGCCCCGGTTTCGATGGAAGGAAGTCCACAATACCGCCCGAATGGACGACGGCGCTGTACCCTGCAATGGCTGTTGGACTCGAACACTCAAGGTTCCACTTTAGACGTGTGCCCCTTGTCCGACATGGAGCGTACGATCGAGTTTCAACCTCGCCGAAAGGCCACCATTGATATCAGCATATGATCGCGGCTGGGAAGTTTGTGCTCGTACTCGAACACCATCAGAAGCAATTCCGGAATCTGTCGGTGAGGGAACCTTGAGACTAGCTAGGCTCGGACACACACACGCATCGCCTCATGATTTCAACCCGAGTGAACGAATGACAATGTTGACATGGATGATATGTACACGGTCGTGCGCGAATTAAGTACTAACAATCTCTTCGCGGCTTTGGTTTAGGGTCGTCGTGTAGGAATCCTGGCGCCACTGGGACGAGTAATATTATGTCTACGTAGGCAGAGCTGCTGCTGCGCAATGGCGAGTGTGTCCGTTCCGCAGTCGATTGAGAGTTGTCCATGCTACGCATGCCCACGCCACTCCAACGATCAGATGATTGAGCGGCGTCCTGGTATATAGCATGTATTGGGACGAACGGTTTTGTGGCAGGCGGGGGGCTCACGTTAAATTCAAATTACGATATAACCAACAGCAAAATATGTAAATACTTCGCGCCTATAGGTCGTTGAAATCACACATACCTGCCGCGCGTCGATGTGCGAACCCATCTCAGGGTTCCGGGCTCCCTGATTGATTGCTCGATGAGAGGAAACGAGAACTTGTGTGTCCGGCAAAGGATTCTCCCAATTAACCGTTGCAAAAAGCATAGTCCAAGGTGCTACGGAATTTTCAAACGAGTCGGAATATTGTCAGTTGGCGTGGACTTTTCGTCATTTGGAACTCAAGAACTTATATGCACAGCTTTGTTTAATGGTATGTGATACCAATGCTAACATAACAGTATCAACGTCCCATAGTTCCAATGCACCGAAAAGTGAAAACAGTCGCGGAATAAGTAGAGAATATGCATTTGACGCACTAAGCGACTTGGCCAATATCAACGACCACTGGAGCTTTCAGCTTTCCCTGGAGAAGAAATCGAGTCCCATCCTTACCGGCCCGGGGGAAGAAATACACGCTGTCTCTGCTGTCATCATCCTTCAGCACCAGATCACCGTACCAGGCCTGTTTCTCGCTAGAGGAACACGCCCTCCACCCGACTGGGTGGTACTCGGGTGGGACAATGAGTTTTGAATCTCCATTAAACCAGAGGTGTAGTGGGCTTTCGCGGAGTCCGAAGGTGACAGGAGCTAACGGGACCCTTCCCACTGCGGAGGAATAGATTCTAGTGCGGTTGTACATAAACTTGTTGCTTGGCGAGAGGTCGTAAAAGGGGCACTTCAGCCAGGCTTCATTTGCGTCATGCCCTAAATCTGGCTCGGAACTTCGCGCATGGGTTGCACCTCCCAAGACCAAATGGACAGCGGGGTTACGGTGCACAGGTTCAGGGATGCGATGACGCCAAGGAGGTACAAGACCAGCGTTGAGGGTCCAACTCTTGAATTCGTGCACGCAATATTGAGCGATCCACTCGTGTGAATGTGTTGACCAGACGAAAGCGTAATCCATGTCATAAGCGCCGACATATAGGCCTCCAGGAGAGAATCCAATTGTCTGACGTTGAGGAACGGATAGACTGGAATGGGGTTGGGGGGACTGAGCGGTGGAAGGAGTAGTGGGAGATGCGAGGAGCTGAACGGATGGGTTGCTCGAAATACATAAGAGTGCTACGTTTTCATACCAATTCTTGTTGAGATTTTGCGGGGCTCGTTAAGATGAACGATCCATCGTTCGACACTCCAGTTACAGCTTGACAACAGTCACTAGCGAGAGTGCCAAGCTTCACCGGGCTAGTGCTCGGACCGAGAATCGTGATGTTTCCATCAGTGTCTTCAGTGACAATCTTATCGCTGCTACCTTGGACAAACTCAATCCAAACGGGTGGCTTGGGAAGATTGCGTTGGAATCGAAAGATTGTACGCCGATTGTCAACGTCCGCAATTTCAATGACTCCACTTCCGAAGCCGAGAGCAACGCAACAACCATCTCGGGAAAGCGCTGCACAAGTCACAACTCCATTGCGAATATCATGCTCGGTGAACTCGATTTCGTAATTGGTTTCCTCCCGGCCGCGTTCGCCACGCAATTCACTTAGCTTTGTCTCCATGACCCTTCGGGCCCTGTGTGCATCCTCGCTCAAAGGGATCAAGCGACCAGAAAATTCGCCGGATATACTGAAGACTTGAACGGGATCTGAAAAATGGCCATATAATTCACTGAGCCGTAATGATGATGGAGTGAATGGAAGGCCTGATCGATAAAGATGACGAGGATGGGGTGCGTCGTCGAATCGCTGCCAAAGATTCTGCGCTTCGCTCAACAACTCCATTGATTTGTGATTCTGAAAACAAAGAACAATTAAAGCAGGCGATAGATATTTAGTTTAAAACTTACATGCAGGTCGAATTGATACCAACCAGAGGGTAATGCAGCTATTGCCAATCGGCCATTGGTCGTTAATATGAATGAGAATAAGTTTCTTGTAAGAAAAATTTCAAACTCTTGATTCAGTTCATTAGACTCTCGTGAAAAGAGTAGCAAGGGGTCCAAGTACTTGAACAAGAATGAGAACGCATTGAAGACCCATCTAGGTGGCTGCTTGCCCAAAGAAAGCTGCCACTTCTTCCTATCTCCCAGAGGAAGTTCTGTGGGGAAATCAAACTCATTCTTCCGAATCACATCGTTTACGAATCGAAGAAGCTGTAACCCGATGCTATATCCATTGACATCAGGGACAAAGAATACCTTATCTTGCTCCTCGCCAATGGGAACTCCCATAATGAACTCCTTCACCGTCGCATGGTAGAATTTGACAGTCTGCTCGTTTGACTCGGGAAGATCAACTATCGAGCTGATCGGTGTAAGTGTTGTGCGCACTTCATGCTCAGTAATTCCTAGGAGGTGCGATATGTCGTCCGTGCCGAGATCCTTCCACTCTGCTGTAATAATCATCGTGATTATTTCACGATAATTCTTGGCCACATGTGGACGAATACGTGAGGAATCGGACAGGTAGGCCCGTCGCATTATTCGTAAATACTCCCAGTTCAGATCTGTGGGCACCTCCCTAAGACTGCGAAAATACTCAAACTCCAATTGAAGAGAAGACCCGCGGCGAGTCTGAACACACACGTCACGGATCCGGATTGAAGCCATGATAGGCAATCCACGGCAACCCCCCACGAAGACATCGAGATCTTCATCGGATGGTTTCCAAGGGGAACCTGTAATACAATCCCGAAGCTCTTCTTCCACCATGCGACGAATGGTGTGGAAATTGTCACCCCATTCAATCCTATCCATATCTTCGCAAGGGATCACAAGACCCTGTCCCCGCGCTCTGTTCCAAGCCGAAAGGACTGTGGGCTCTGGCCGACAACTAACCAGCACAGCGAAGGCCGAAGGTAGTTCGTGAAGTAGAAGTACGAGTTCCATCAAGGACTCAAGTGCCTCTGGATCCCCGCACTCATCCAAACCGTCCAAGATGATAGAAACCCGTTTGTTGCTCCCAGACAATATTCCCTCGAGACCATTCATCGGCTCAAGGACCAAAGTCTTCATTTGCGTCTTCGGATCGAGGCTCAGAACTAATTCCGAATCTGGCTTCGTAAGACATTTAATAAGCAACACCTTGAAGTCTTCATCGAAAAGCGCAAGCTGGCGAGCAAGGGTAGAAGGAAACCGCTCCAAAGAATCAAGGCCCGTTCCTTTTTGGTTTTTATCCCAAAAGAAGGAGGCTGCCAGAGTACCTTCCTCTTCGAGCGCGGATGCAATGCTCATACTTATCGCTGTCTTCCCAGTGCCAGGAGATCCGCGTAACCAGACAAATCGGCTCTTGGCTTCTTTTAAGAGATTGAGGATGGATCTTTGTGTGTTGTCGCGTGTGTTTGGAAGGCATTTTGACTTGCTCTTGACGTAAGTGTGCTCGGCCGCCACCCGTACAAGACGCTCAAGTTTGGCTAAGGAAGTGTTGGTGGAAAAGCCTAAGAATGGGCATAGCAACGTACCTTGTGCTGATGTTTCAATTGCATGAAGGAGCGTCAAGGTAGTCGCCTCCGTCTATGCCACACATGTCAGTCAGTTGAATCGAGCATTTGGAAAAGAAACAAACCAAGAAGAAGTTAACAGCCTTACTGATACACGCTTTCATGGCGCTTATTCTCTCGGAGATTTCGGTCGCCAAGGTCACCCCCGGCCCTTAAGGGACTCGATTTGGTGTATTTGTTCTTCTAGAGCTCTGCCAACACAGATATTGAAGTTATCGAGCTGCGGAGAACGAAGGTGGACGTACAAATGAAATCCTTTGATTAGATGGACTACATCAGGGGGATCTGATCGGTCCACAGTTGGAGTAGTCGCAAGATCGTTGTATAAGCCCCTCGGATCTCATCGTCCAATCCTTTGAGACCTTCGTCGTTTCCACCGACGGTCTGCACAAATCATGAAAAACATGGGAATGAACACCGTATCCTCATCCATCGCGAAAGCGGAAAGATTAGCTAACCTCATAAACCTGGAGCCACGTCAGAAGTAAGTTTGGGATTGCGTCAAGATTCGGAACCGGGGCAAATTTAAGAGTCAACGCTGCATTTTGGAGAACCAATCTCATCGCGCCGATGACTACTTTCTTTCGATCACTGCCTGAGCTAGCCGACGGCATGATCGTGGGCTCCAATAAGGGAGGCACATTGATTCCCCCGCGTTCTAATTGTGCAAGAACGCTCAGGCCATTGTCGCGTGTGGAATATGTCTCAGATCTTTCACGAGAATTATTGATATTTCCCTCAAGGATGAGGGGGGCTGGAGGAAGCGCTGTCTCATCATTGGACGGCTGGGAATGCAGGGATGGCTCAACGAGATTGGAAGTGCTAGAGCCGCTGCGGTTAAGACTCAACTTTCTGTGAATCTTCTTAAACATGCGATCCACGAAAGATTCCGATTTTTTCGGATCACTGTCATTGGATGGTGCGACCTGATTGGTCGTTGTGGGTTCAGTATAAGATTCTGTCGGCAGTCCATGTGGATCGTAGGAAGTGATATTGATCCGAGGAACACGGGATTCTGAGGAGGTTGAGGGGTGCAATGGTTGTGAGGATGGGCCAGGAATGAGGTGGTTTCTCTTGTTGCGTTGGGGGAAGATTTTGAAGGTATTTTTTCCAGACATCACGCTAGCATGGTAATGGGGGACGACGCCCGCGTGGTGTATGTGGAAATATTCTGTAGGAGGAAGCTGGATGAGAATTGACTAGTATAGCAATATCGTCGAATTTACTCTGTTTGGGAATTGCGACGTCGAAAGTTGCATCGACATTGGTCTTTCCCGCTCTACAGGCTCCCGCTAAGCAGAAACAGGTGACGTGCTCAGTTTGCACTCTCAAAGCACCTCCGCAATGTTGGAGGACAGTGTTAGCGTGCGACCCTCTTTCCTGAAGAGGCTGTGCGTGGCTCTACTGTGTCAAGAAAAGCGGGGCCTTCTATAATTGTACCAAGGCCTCGTGGCTCTGAAGCATTGGCGCACACACGTGTGTTGGGTGTCCAAAGCTCATCCTCCTCCATCAGCTTGTCCGTTGTCGACCATGTCGTTGCGGCAAAAAGCTGAGACCCTCAGGCGAACGATCGATAACCTCCTCGCAGCGGGAGGTGACACCGCGCCGGTTCCAATCCTCAAAGTCGTCAATGCTACGGCTAATTGGTGTCCTCCTCTGAAGATGGCGAGTGGCAGTGCACTCACCATCCTCGATGAGGTTAAGGTTGGCCATGATCTGTACCTGGCCATGAATGGAAGCTCAGACTAGGTTGCCCCACGTAGAAGCTCAAGGAGAGCGAGAAAGAATGGGCTGATTTTGGTCAATATGTAGTAGATATGGTGGCTGAGGTGGTTTCATCCATAACGTCCTATGATACATCAGTGAAAGAGGCAAATCCATGGATGGAGAATGTCGAGGAGCTTAATGAGTTGGATTTGTTTTTGGTGGTCTTTGATATCGTGCTTACATCAAGTCCCAGTGCGCTACAGAAGATTAAGTCCGAAATTGAGGGGCGGGAAAAAGTAGAGAAACGATCGACTATCAGAAAAACAGACTCCCATTTGAGAAACCCCGGGAGGATTGATGGCCTAAAGAAAGACTTTGACAAAGCATTGACATCGTTTCAGGTAGCTTTCCTTACAGTATCGTTCCATAATCATTCTGATTTTCGGCCGATGCAGCTTAGGACGAACTTGATAGCCGGCGCCAAGTTAGCAGCCATAGAACGTCGTCTACGCGAAGACGAAATCCTCGATAGTCTCCTCGTCCCTTCTACCACCCAAGATAATCCCGCCCAGGCGTGCCTGGAAGGCACTAGGGTTGATCTTATTGAGCGTATCATGACATGGTGTCGCAACACCGGGGAAAGCGAGAACCGGCTAATGCAGTTGACTGCTGTGGCCGGTGCCGGCAAGACCTCGATTGCACTCACGATAGCAGAACGATGTGCCAGTGAAGGGGACATTACCTTGTTAATGCACTTCTCCTTTAAGGCGGGCGAACGGTCTCGGCTTGATTTTCTATTCAGCGGCATAGCTCGAGCTTTGGCAGGTCATGACCCCGTTTACCGCACTTTCATTACCTCTGCTCTTCGAGATGACCCTAGTCTCTCGACAGCTTCATTCGGGACGCAGTTCATGAAATTGGTCGCTTCGCCTCTGCTCCATAAACCTCCGCCTGCCGACTGTCCTATGGTGATCATCATCGACGCTTTAGATGAGTGTGACGATGGACTATTTGTGCCCCTTGCCGGAATTCTTAGGGACGAAGTGCCCAGGCTACCATCTTCCGTAAAATTCTTCATCATATCGAGACAATTTGAACTCGTGAAACGCTCCCTCTCCACTTATTACCCTATTGATCGCCTTGTTATTGATCTCTGGGATGCCACAAACGTGCAAGACTGCGCTACATACACACGTTTCCAATTACAAAAGCTAAAGGAAGAGCATCCGTATTTACGGCATAAATTCCAGGACGAGAGAACGGTACAGGGGATCTCGGAACGAGCAGGCGGCCTGTTTATTTGGATCAGCACCATCTTTTGGTACATACGTATGGTCGACAAGGATCCTATGGGAACACTAGAGGGACTGCTTGGCACAGGCACCAAACGATCAGCGGTGTCTGCTGAGGGAATGATGGATCGCTTGTACACAAGCATTCTGAAGAAATGTTCTTGGGAAGATGAAGATTTCGCGCGCGACTACCCAGTCGTGATGGGAGCAATCTTCGTTGCACAACAGCCTCTGTCTATCTTAGCTTGGGATGCAATTTTGTCACCGTTCCTGAGTTCTTCTGTTCAATATACGTTGGCCGAGCTTGCATCCCTCATTTCAGGAGTTGAGGATTTTCACATTCCGATTCGCGTCTTACACCAATCCTTCCGCGAGTTTATTGTGGATCGGGTCGATCCCCAATCAATCAACCCTGGTTGCAGTCTAGTGAATATGCAGATGATGAACGATGCGATTGCCCTGCGATGTGGCGAGATTCTGAATCGGGACCTTGACTTCTTGGAGGGCCTAGGTCTGATTGAAAACTTGTCCAAACAAGATGAACTGCCGCGCATTCCTCCAGAGGAATTGTCTGAGCACTTGCATTACGCATGTCGTCACATTGTTTATCACCTTAATGGAATCGAGGAATCGTCGCAGTGGTCCGATGAGTTAGCTGGCATATTTCTTAGTCAGCGAGCGACTCGATGGGTGGAAGCCTGTGTAAGAATGGAAGGCTACATCAGTATCTCAACACTCCCTGAATGGGCCATGGTATGAATTATCAATTGTGTTAGTAAAACCTGCTCATTATTGTGCAGTTGGCTGGTTACCAGAGGTCAAAAGATGGCATCCGCACGCTGGCTAAAGTACTTATTCAGCTTCAGTCGAATCTGGAGTTTTTCTCAAGGCTCGAGGAGTCATATGAAGCAGCAAACGATTCCGTTGTACTCTGCCGTTATCTCACTTCTATGGACTCTGAGTCCTACACTCCGGATTTGGCCAAGTCACTCAACACTTTATGCACAGCTCTTTTGAAACTCGGACGGTACTCTGAGGCGCTTCCAACCATCAAGGAAAGCGTCAAACTCTACCACCAACTAGTTGCCATTGATCCAGGGTTATACGCTCCTAAGCTGGCTACGTCACTCAACAATTTACGTACCACTCTTTCTCATCTCGGACGTGATTCTGAGAAACTAATTTGAGCGACCTATCTTTCCATTTCCTTCCATCATTTATTTGGGAATAGTGTGAACAATTTTGTATTTACGGAAGCACACAAAGAACAATTGATGTTGTACATTCTGGAGGTCAATACTGCGTTTCCAGAATCATGATGACTTGGGATTCCATCCCCGCAAAAATGAAGCCGTTGCGTCAGGAAAAGAGCATAAGATGGTGTCCATGTACCCCAAGTGGGTAGTAATAGTAATATCATGTGAGCATTGCTATGCAAGCAGTGTTGCTGCTGCGCAATGGCAGGGTTAGTCCGTTCCGCAGTCGATTGAGAAATGTCCGCCCACTTCAAATGCATATATGTGTGTTGATGAACGGTTATGACAGCGGCGATGATGACCAAACTCCGACCGTAAAATATGTACGTTCGCGCCTATAGATCATTGAAATCACGCATACCTACTGCGCGTCCGAGCGCGTGGGCTCCCTCATTGATTGTTCGAAGAGAAGTAAGTATATCCAGCAGTGAGATCTCCCACTTAACCGTAGTAAAAAAGCATGGTCCGCGGAGTTCTCAAACAAATCGGAATCACTTTGTCATAGAGGCTGGGAGGCTGGAGTCCCGCCCACGGAATCGCCAGTGTCAGCGTCAACCCGCGCCAAGCATTTCTCATGCACAGCTTTTTTGAATCCATATCAGTGCCTGGGAAATTTTGTGCGAAATTATATTGAATGGCTAAAAACGGAAATGCCGTTGGCGCGCGTTACGGTTGGCCATACCTCATTATCACGTGTACGGGTATCCCCGCAATCACAGCCTCGTTCGGGGCGGTGCAAGCAAAGCTCGCGCCATTAGTGATTTCGCACTACTAAGTTCGATATCAATCTTCCGACTGCGGCAACGACGTCCTTGTTGTTAGCATACTTTCTTCCTTGAAACCTGGGTTAAGGGCTCATAGCCACGTTCAGGCTTTTTTCCTGAGGGGTTTATTTCAATCAGAGCGCTTAGCTTCTCCTCTCTCTTTGGTTAACTCGTCTGGAACGAGGTGAGGCTGAGGATGATCCAAATGGGTTGCATCTTTCATATATATTTGATTTCTAAGGACCGAAAAAGTGTGAAAGTGTGGAAACTTGTACGTACAAACAAGCGCCAAATTCCAATTATTCGTATCCTCATCCTTTTTTCTGTTTGGGTCCCGCCCCACTCAAATACACCGCTCGCTAGCGCATACGTCTTCAAGCGCCGTGCAAAGCAAACCATGTCAAAAAGTCCGTTCAATGCGTATAACTCCACGTCTCTAGCGGACGTCAAAGACGGTCGTTGGGATACAGCCTCTGCACCAAGACCTCCATCATTATCCTATGAAGACGTGCCGGCATATACATCTCATGCATCCACTCCCCTCCCCGAAAAAGGCGGCGTAGAAAGATTAGCAGGTCAACATCATCACGGAGACCCATTTCATGACGATGAGTTTGGCCTAAGGAGAGACGAGCCTGCAGCTAGGGGTGTAGGAACGTATACCACTTACAACACAGCAGATGCCTATGATGCATACGAAACTCAGTCTTCTCAAGATTCCCACCAGATTCGTCCAAATCCATCAGCACCGACGCCGTCTCATTACACTCAACGTTCCGTATCTCAATCAGAATGGTCTTCGTATCCTCCTATCACGTCCCAACCTCCATCTTCGTCCACTCATGATCAGTTCGTTGTCGGCCTAGCCGTTGGGAGCGGAGCCGTGATACCGGTGGGGCGTGATGGTGATAGCGATGTCGGTGGTGGTGTGGGAAGAGCGGGAAGGGCGGGAAGCGGAGCGTACCTTCAAGTCGATGAGATTCAAGAGGAAGAAAGAACCCCTGATGCGTTTAGAGAGTCGTTTAGGTCGGATGATTCGCTTGTGCAGCATGCGGATGAAACCAGTGCATTGAAGGACCTTGAATATGGAGCTGGTGGGGTCGGGTCTGGAGCGATAGGCAGGGGAGCGTTAGAACCTTTGAGTCAGTCGTCCCCTTGATATCTTTTGTCTCGTTCGAATCTCATCCCTTCTTTCCTCTTCCAACTCCCTTCATGTCGGAACTCATTTAATTGTTCGCTCTTGGATTGGATTCGGATTCGAATTCGAATTCGGATCCGGGTGTCTGGGACGTGTCCATCGGACAGATTACGAAGACGCTCCAAACGGGGGAGCAACAACGACGTCACGAAATCTTTCCTCAGACCCCACCAAGAAGTCGCCCCTCTTCGATAGACTCATCGGGACGCCCGAGGGTCGATACCCACTTGAACAACGAATCGAAGCGAAGAAGAGGGGAATTGGGAAGCAGAAAGTTGCGATTGTTTGTTGGACATTGACGGCGGTGATGGTCGGGCTTATGATTTGGGAGTTGGTTTATAATTGGAGACAACAAGGAAGTCCATTTGCGTTTAAGGTGAGTTCACAATGTTCTTTTCTTACGGGTCACAGCCCCATTAGGAAAGGGGGTTCCCTGTGGCTGGACCAAGCGGCAGGGAGATATAGTGTCTCATTATGGGTTGCTTTGTTCGTCTGTCATGACGATTTTTTCCAGCCTAGTGTGAATCCGATGCTTGGTCCGAGTCAATTCGGATTGGTTCATCTCGGTGCGAGGTGGCCGCCTTGTATGCGGTATGTTCCTCAGATACCCCTCAACATTTCAATAGCATGTACGTGCGTTCGACTTTTGTTTCTGTTTCCAAGTTTTTCTATAGTTTTGAAACTCGGCACTGACATACATGGTCGTCCCTTATACCTTCTTCTTTTGATGGACGATGGCGTTAACAAGGCCCGAACAACACTGCCAATCCGCCCACGTCCATTTGTACTATTGAGCAAATATGCGGATTCGGAGGGTTTCACAAGAAGGAACCTGACCAATGGTGGAGATTCATCACACCCATCTTCTTACATGCGGGTCTCATCCATTTGGCGTTCAATATGTTCGCTCAGTGTACGCTTTCGGCTCAAGTATGTTTCCAATCTTCTCATTAATCTTGGTCTTGTTCTGTGATTAATCGATGTCAATGCAGGTAGAAAGGGAAATGGGATCTGTGGCGTTCATCATTCTGTACTTTGCGGCCGGGATATTTGGAAATGTTCTTGGAGGGAACTTTGCGCTGGTGGGGTTACCTTCACTCGGTGCCTCTGGAGCTATTTTCGGGACGTTGGCTGTGATGTGGGTTGATTTGTTTGCTCATTGGGGAATCGAGTATCGGCCTGGACGGAAGGTTCGTCCCCGCCTTCTTTTTTTTTATTCTATACTTATCCACTCTCACGCACGAACAAAACAATGATGTCCCCCAACTCTCGTGTTTCAATGATCTACACCCACGCCTTCTGCCGAAACAGCTCTTCATGCTCATTCTTGACCTCATCGTCGGTATCGGAATAGGATTCATACCAGGCGTGGATAACTTTGCGCATCTGGGTGGGTTCCTGATGGGTTTGTTGTGCGCGATGATTTTTTACCCCGTTGTGAGCACAACGAAACGACACCGCATCATCATGTGGATCGTGAGGATCGCGACGATCCCTTTGGTGGTGATATTGTTCGTGCTACTCATTAAGAATTTCTATAAGGATAACCCGTTCGCTGGTGAGTTTACATTCTTTTTCCCCTTCGTTCCGTCCAAATGAGGCCTTTTGGTCGTGGGGTGCCTGCCCTTGCGCTTCCCTTCTTCTTTGACTCTGATGAATTTTTCTTCTGGTCCCCTCATCGCCAACAACAGCATGTTCGTGGTGCAGATACCTGTCCTGCATTCCTACAGCTTCCAACAATAGATGTCAAGGGTACGTCGTGTTTCTACCTCTCTTCTCTAATGTGATCATCCAAATTGACCCCCCCTATCTGTTCTTGAATGATCTCTTACATGTCCATTTATAGGACTGGTAAGTTCAATCATCCTCGTCTTTTTAAACATCTTTGTCTCAACTATGAATCCAAACAAAGGTCTATCGATCTCGACAACGACAAGTCCAACCCGTTGAGATTTACGATAGGTGTTCGTTTAGAACATTCATTCGCAGGGACGTTTTCTTTATTTTGGACGACTTGGCTCTGTTCACGTCTTTTACCAATTTACCGATGGACTCACATGAGCAATTGCAATGACACGGACTTTTATTCACGATCTCCCTTGTGCCGTACCGTGTGACGTGTTCCAATCTCAAAGGGCAAGGCTTGTCCTTTATTATGACTCTACTCAAATTCCCTGGAAAACCCCATAAAAATGCGCTTGCACCCTCTAATAATGTGGACTTTGGGATGCGAGGACACTGGGTGGTCCAGTTCGTAAGTTGAGGGTACACTGATACGCAAATATCCGGCCTAAGTGCAGAGCTATATTCTCAGACCTGTGATGAACTAAGGGGTATGACCCCTAACCGAAACCAACAGTCCAAACCGAGACCCCGCGGAGAGCCAGACAGAGGAGGGGGGATCCAACATTGATGCGAGCCAAAAGTTTGTGGACGAACCTTAGTTCAGTGGGCTTGGGGGCCAGTTAAGAGTTTCTAGGAGGCCGACGTGTTCAGTGCATAGTCCTAATTGCTGATAAGACTAATCCTGATGTGTTCAAATGGTGCGTTGAACTGACAATCACTAGGGCATGTGAATTGCAGCAGTCAATTTCCAAATTTGTAGTACGAATCTGGGAGTTTTTTTAACTTCGGAGGATCGTGGCTTCAGTATATGATCCCGCTGGATGACCGAGTGATGGGACAGTTCAAGTTGCGCTTGGACGTGTGAGTGAAATCGGCAAGGGTCGCCCTCTTCATTCCAATCCTCAAATCGCCAGGGATCGGGCCACCATGAAAACTGAGTGGAGTCACCGTTGTATTTCCATCCTGGCATGTCCGCCATATGTCACAAGCATAGGATGACAGTATATAGGGTCTCTGTGTCTCCGCCTTCCAGGATAGTCATTCTTTCCATGCCAACTGATCATCTCCAGAACCACACCATCGCACCCTCAACGATGATTGTATCAAGTCCATTTAAAGACCAGCAGGGGCATTGACGGTATATGGGACATGTCGGAGGTAGATCAGTGGGCGAAAGAGAGTGGCACGTCCGCGTCGTAGAAGTGTTTAGCATGCGATAAAAGGGTCTATGACAAGGTGTTGTGGCCTCGGTCTCGAATGAGATCAAATGCTGTGGCAGAGGGATAAGGAGGGGGATAGAGGGTACGGCAGTAGCATACTTAGATTCGGAAAGTGTGGCGAGGCCATAACTTGGAGGAATGTTTCAGCGCGTGGGTCAGGCCATGTTGCGGGTGGTGTGAGGGGTTGCTATGGATGGTAAATGTCCAAGAGATTTCAGACTTGAGGAATTCATGGCGTTGGTGCCAGTTTACCTAGGCATCAAACCAGGTATTGGAAGCGAACCATTCATCGCAATCGGTGGTGGTGTACGTTCGTCTTAGACAGTGTGCCATCTCGTGAAAGAAGACGGCTTACGATTCGGATTGAAGAGGCAATGGAGATGGTGTGAGCACTTTGGGCAGCTGCTTCAATAAGTTTGTCGTAGATGCATTCCGCATCTTCCTGGTCCAGTCAGAACTCCATGATGGCCATCTTCTTTGATAAAGGGCCTGACTAACTATGTAAATTGGGAGCCCTTGGCAAGGAAGGTGCCGACCTTTTGTCTGCACTTCGAACTCCAACATTAATTAGACGGTTCCTTCCGTCTTACGCCCGCACCAGTAGCGGGTGAGCGAGGGAGCAACTGGGAAGTTTCCTCGGTGTTCTTGAGTTGTAACTACATTCTACTGGTCTCTTGACGATGCTAGAGCTCAAATGGATCCCAGCACATGAACTGACACGAGATATTAAGAGGCAAAGCATGTTCATTATGAACCGAGATTGTAAAATCATAGACCGGCTCTTACGGGAACATGGGCCCTTCCCTCTTTTATCGGAATTCAACGTAACATTTCTGTTCGATGCGGAAAACCTGAACGGCCACCGAACTAACGGTTGTCCCCAGCTCCAGAGACTTGAAGGGACACCACAAGGGAGTTCAAAGGGGTGGGCGCTCAGGGTCTCTCGCAAAGAGAATCTCATGGGCCTTCACCCAAGGGAGGAGATCAAGGCTGCCAACGAGGCCTACCACCAACCAGGGGTCGGCCCCGTTAGTTGGTCGTCAGGAGGCTACATTGGTTCCCTTACACCAGCTGCCACCCTTTTCACCCCTGCGTGCCTGCCCACTATGAGCGTGAGCCTCTTCCCGGAGGGGTAGCAGCAGTGCTACCCCACAGCCTGCAGCCTACACAGGCTCACCATTTACTTGGACACAATCAGACCCCGCTACTCTATAGATGACGCCTGCAGCCCCACATCCCATTCCTGTTCTGCCGCCGCCGCCACTGCCGCTGCCTCCCCCCCCCATATGATGAATGTCCCCGGCCATCTCATGTGGTCGATGATAGACCACGAACCCGTCACCTCCCTGTGAGTCCATTCTTGTCTAGCTACTGTAGTCTGTAGCACAGACCTCCTAAATGATACTGGATTGCACGGCTCAGGATGATGTGGGATCGGCCCTCCCCACAAGGAGGAACCCGTGAGCGTGCGCGTGCCTGGAACCGACTGCCAGAAAAAGTCCACTCGTTCCGACAGCGCAACAAATGTATCTATAAGAGAATATCCTCTAACTCCAAATGTCGATGTTGCCGATTTTGGAGTGTCTTCGTTGAAGCGCGAGATCACTCCGACTGTGTTTGTACGTGTACCAACTTGATTAACAGATTTCCCGCTTGCCTAGTCCCCGATCTGTGAGTGTGTGAGTCGCTCCAGCCGCTCCAACAAGGTCGTTAGACAAGAGTGACGAACTTTGAACCCTTGGAGGATAGCTTTAAAACCTTCTCACTGATTGCACCACCCGAGATCATTGTGCGACAACATTCGCCTCTCAGGCTATTTCGCGTCCGACATCAATTCGCATGCATGGATGCTGGGATGGTAGCTTCGGCTATGAATTCTTTCACGTTGATCATCCTCCCCCGTCGTACATATTGATTCGTTGATACTGAACAGAGGGTTTCCTAGATATCATGAAAAACTCACAATGCAGCTTGGGGGATCAACGCTGGCCTGGAAAAGCCTTCTCAAATTCATGACGTTACGATCGGCGCTCACTCGTCCGGCCTTCGCCAACTGGTGGATAATGGCTGGTTTGTTTCTTTAATCTATTCTGCAAGCTTCAGGCTGCTCGTGAGAGCGCCAGGTGCAGAGGACAATGAGCAAGGCAACAAACTAAGTTTGATGTGAGCGCACCCGTCTACTAGAGTCGAAACGGGAATGGTTCTGCCCACTCGGGACCGGTGATATCATCTACTCGCCTAGGATCTCTTCTCTCATACGCTCCGCTTGCTCTTCAGGAGGCTGTTATCCGCATTATCCGTTCCCTAAGAGGTCTGCGAGGCCCATGTTGTAATGTAGGGATTCCGTATAAGGCAATCCGCTTACTTCAGCGGTTATACTCGCGAGACCAGAGAAAACTTTCTGATGATTTTGTTCAACCCACGTCTGTGCGTATTTATACATAGACGAAATATATTACAATGTCGATATACGTAAAATAAGTAACTGTGCAAGCGCGCGTACGCAAGCACATGCACAAACTACGCGGTAATTTTCCACGATAATCCAGAACTCCCCCGAAGATTCCGGTGACTCGTGATTTCAACAGCCCAGAACACCATATTTGTAGACCTCGGTACTAGGTATGTGTGTGTACTCTCATTACTATGGGCCTGTGAGCACCCCAACCCATGTGGTAATGTCCCATTCAAATGTGCCCGCTGTCCAAAAGGATCAAGAGTGGCAGTAATCTGGACGCTCACTATCGATCACGCTAAGCATTCCCCTGCGCTCCCTCCTACAGAGCTTGCGATCACTACTTTTGAAACAGAAGGGCTCAAGGTGCTCTGGGACAATCGCCATACGGCAAATCGCATGGAAGTGAGGCGTCGGAAGCAGCGTAAGCCGCATCCGGACTACCGATCTAGAAGGGTCAAGCACAGCGAGCTCTCAGATAAATTACAATATTGAGGATAGTCTACAACAAGCTGATGATGAAACCAATCCCTTCCCTTAGTCCCCCATCCAAGCCTGGGCCCGCTGCTATCTGCCAATCCTTTGCCATATGCCAATGAGTCCATCCAAACCAGCCTACCTGCTGCGCATCAAAGTGGGCATCCCATGCGCTCGGTACAGCGGCTGGTGATAGGCAGGTGACCAGCCTCTCTTTAGGGGGAAGAAGAGGCTGGGACCCGAGGATGGTGACTGCTCTCCACAGGTGCTGTGATGTGGAAATGAAATTACTTGTTATTTAATGGAGGTACGAGATTAAATTAGACTTGTGTGCAGTTGGACTAAGCGCTCTTTTTTCGCGCATGGCACATTACCCGGTGATGCCTTCATCTTATGCGCCGTACCCGCTGTCGGCCTTACGCATACTGTGTCTTCCGAGGCTACAGTCATGCCGATTCAGGTTTTATTGCCGCTGCATACCTGCGTCGATTTCTTCGGACGAATTCCGTACATGTTTATTCGTCCGCTCACGCTTCTGGGCTCTGGCCCTCTTATTCCTCAACCTCTGCTGAAGGCGTTTTCTTTGTTTCCTTTTTAGTCTCATTTCTGTTAGCCTGAAAAGCGATTTTTGTCGTAGTTTTCTCTCGGAGTCCCTTACTTCTGGTAAGCGTTTCGGTCTCACTGAGCAGGGGGGGTGTTGTGACCTCCGGTTACTCTCGGTGGGTTGGATCCCGAGTGCTTACTCTAGTTTTTTCTAGGTTTCTTTATTTTTGGTTGTTCCCTTGTTTTTGTAACCTCCGTTCTTCTCCTCCTTGTTCTTCCTCGTCCTTGTCTTTTCGCGTTGCCCTCCTCCTTCCCCAATCTCCATCCTTGTAAATTACCCGGCTCGTCTTCAATTCCAGAGGTTCTGGCATTTGCCGGGACTGTCGCCACGCTATTCCATTGCGTCTTCTCCGGCGTGCACACAAGTAATGGGCCTAATGTCGTACGCTGTCCGAAGCCGGAATGTGAGACAGTTTGGGTCAGTCAACTTGAATACTTGGGTTTTGACAACAAATACTCATTATTTCCGTTAGTTTCATCAAGCTTGTCAAGGGCTTGGATCATATATTCCCTGTTGTTTGAGCAAGACATGACGACGCGCCGGTACGCATATCATGCCCATATCGGCTATCCGATATGATACCCTTTTACCATGTGTTTCGTGTTTCACTGTTGATTGCCTTCCACATGTAGCGCTGTCACGTATCTCACTTTCTTATTACTTTTGTCTGATATTCGTGTTATTACTTTAACTACTTATACCGCTGTGCGGTTACAATATCAAGTTGGTTGTTCCCCGTTATCCAAGTGTCCCCGCTGAGAGCTACATAACAACAGGTTATGAGCCCAGCCTAGGGCTTAACCACCGTAACTCAAAACACTCGACGCTGCTTACATCTAAACCTCGCGCTCAACTTCTAGTCGACCTAACCCATGGCTGAAGACTTGGTATCCCTCGGCAAACGTCTCCCTATCTTGTCCGGGAAGGAAAACTACACTCAATGGAAAACCAGCATGGAGGATATACTGACTTACTCGGATCTATGGGCTTACGTTCAAACCGGTTACACTTTGCCCACCGATGCGACTCAGAAGGCCACAGCCGAGAAGGCACAGCGCAAGGCGCTTACGTTGATTCGTCTGCAAGTATCACCGTTCGTCCACACGTTTGTCGTTGATTCTCAGACCCCCGAGGCGGCCTGGAAGATCCTCAAAAGGGAATTTGAGGTGACCGGCGCCACATCCCGCATATTCCTTCGCCGGGAGTTATACACAACTCGCATGGCCGAAGATGACAACCTGGACACGCATGTCCAGAAGATGCGCACGATCTATAATAATCTGCGCATAGCCGGTGATAATATTCAAGACTCAGAGTTTGTAATGGCGTTACTTATCTCACTCCCCACCTCCTGGGATAGCTTCACCTCTACCATTGAACTCAAAGATCTCGACTCTACGGACACTGCTGTGAAGAGCGCCGCTGCTGATTACATCCTTAACAGGATTAAAGGCGAAGCCAATCGTCGTCAATCGCGCAATACAGAGCCGTCCAACTCCGCATTCAATTCCAAATCCGACCAACCAAACAAAGACAAACAGAAACCCGATCGATCCAACTCCGAGTGCCGCTACTGCCACAAGCATGGACATTGGGCCAAGGAGTGCCGGAAGCGGATAGCAGACGAGAAGAAGAAGAATTCGGCAAATGTCTCCTCTCAAGAGCAGGAGCCGAGCTTCTCCTTCGTCGCATCTGCCAATCCTGCTGTCCTGGCTGGTAGTCGATGGATTGGGGATACTGGTGCGGATGACCACGTTGTATCTGAGCGAGAAGCCTTCTTTGACTATGCAGAGACCCCTGGCCAGTTTGTGACTGGCGTAGGGGGAGCTAAGGTTCCCATCCGAGGACGCGGGACTGTTGCAACGGTAATGCATGCTGGGGACTCTTCACGGATTGTCACTCTCCACAACTGTCTACACATTCCATCATCCCAACCCAACCTCCTATCCCTTTCCCGTCTCGACGATGTCGGTGGTACCATGCAAACACAGCCCGGCCAGATCAAACTTCTCACGCGTGATCGCACACCACTCTGTGATGGCCGAATCCAAGACCACCTCTACCGTCTTGACATGCAGACTGTCGTGGCCAATGCCCCTTCCATACTAGCTGCGATTTCGGGTGATTCTTCACCCAAAAGTCGTACCTGGGAGGAGTGGCATCGGGCCCTCGGACATCTTAACCCGTCCTCGCTTAGGACGATGAGGGACATGGGAGTCGTTGAAGGCTTGGAGGTTACCCCCAATTCCACTCTGAATTTCACCTGTGAAGCCTGTATCCAAGCTAAGCAGACCTCGAGGCCTTTCCCCAAAGAGTCCAGAACTAAATATAAATCAGTCGGGGACTTAATCGTCACCGATGTCTGGGGTCCGGCTCAGGTTCTAGGCAAAGGCGGGTATCAGTACTTCATTTCATTCACCGATGTTGCCACCCGTTTTAGCGTCGTAGCATTCCTTCGTCAGAAATCCGAATCGGTTACTCAATATCGTCGATTTGCTGCTCGCATCCAGACTCAGTTCAATCGTAAAATCAAAGCCATCCGGTTTGATAGCGGCACCGAGTATCTCAACGATTCGATGAAGTCTTTTCTCGCTGAACAAGGAACTACGTACACGACAACCGCTCCCCATTCCTCCGCCCAAAATGGCATTGCCGAGCGTCTGAACCGCACCGTTCTAGACCACTCGCGTGCCATGTTGTTCGATTCCCAACTCCCTAAGTCCCTCTGGCCCTATGCCGTATCATATGCCACTTTCCTGAAAAACCGTACCCCGACGCGCGCGCTTGATGGCTGAACTCCATACGAGTCCTTCTTTGGAAAGAAGCCAAGTGTCGCAGGCGTTCAAATATTTGGGTGCGATGTTTGGGTCCTAGACCAATCTGGTAAGAATGGGAAGTTAGATCCCCGTTCTAACAAGTTCAGGTTCTTAGGCAACTCAGAGGAGACCACCGCCTACTGGTATTACAAGTCCAGCGGGGAGGTTGCGAAGTCGCGGAACGTCATTTTCCCTAACCCCACCCCTGAGAGTCCACCTTCCCTCCCTCTTCCACTGCCATCGCCTGAGGGGGAGATTGCTGAAAGTGGACAGGCGACGCAGGAAGAGGGGGAGCACGCTACCCACAATCCCATTTCCCTTCCCAAACACTCTGAACCTCCTTCCAATCAGTCCAACCACCCCATCCGCCCATACCACACACGCCGCACTCCTCTGAATGAGCCTTTCCTCAAGGTTGTCTCCGACCGTGGTGCTGTTCAGTCAACGGTACAGTACTCCCATTGCGGGGACTGTGACCCTGTTGCTCTTGCAGCGTTCACAGACGAGAAACCCGAGGTCAAGGACGCTCTTCAAGGACCTCACGCTGAGCACTGGCGGGCCGCGATGGATGCCGAAGTCGCACAGTTACTAAACCTGGACACTTTCGAACCCGTACGTGCACCTGCGGATCGGAAAGTTATTGGATGTCGATGGGTTCTAGCTACGAAGAAGGATGCTGAGGGGGAGATTGTGAAGTTTAAGGCCCGGTTGGTTGCGCAGGGTTTCGTGCAGGTTCCGGGGATGGATTATGGTGAGACTTTCTCACCAGTGATGCGGACTGAGTCGTTCAGGCTCCTGCTGGCACTTGCTGTGCAGCTAGACCTGGAGATTCACCAGATGGATGTCGTAGGGGCGTATCTTAATGGGGAATTGGAGGAAGAAATCTATATGAAGCAGATACCATGGTATGAGGATGGGACGGATAAGGTCTTGAGGCTGAAGAAGACGCTCTATGGCCTGAAACAGGCGGGCCGAGTCTGGAATAGACGTTTGCACGCTGCTCTCGTCGATCTGGGCTACACTCGTTTGTTCACGGACTCATGTGTCTACGTTCGGCGCTTAGACGACCAAATCTCTATGATCGCGTTCCATGTTGACGACTCCGCGATTTTCGCCAATGACGCTCACATGGACCAAGTCAAGGATGAACTTAAGTCTAAGTTCGACACACGCGACCTTGGTGAGCTACATCATTTCATTGGGATTGAAGTAACGCGAGATCGTACACGCAAGTCCATCACCATCTCCCAATCATCCTATACCCACGAAGTCCTCGAACGGGCTGGGATGGCCGACTGCAATGTCGAAGACCTACCCATGTCGCCCAAGAGGAAGCTTTCCCCATTCCCTGGCCCCCGTCCAAACTACCCTTACCTCACTATGGTCGGATCACTTATGTGGTTGGCTATTAACACCCGTCCCGACATCGCATTCGCCACTCAACATCTTGCCCAATTCAACACGACATACGGACCCGATCATGTTCATGGTGTCAAGCGTGTCTTACGTTACCTTAAAGGCACTGTCAATCGCGGGATCGTGTATAGGAAATCTGACTCTGGTTTCGCTGCCGAAGGTTTTGCTGATGCTGACTATGCAGAAGACTTCGATCGCCATTCCATTACCGGGGCCGTGTTTGTCATGTCTGGTGGACCGATTGCGTGGACGTCGAAGAAGCAGGGCACTATCGCCCTTTCTACGTTGGAGGCCGAATATGCTGCTATCAGCCACGCTGTTCGGCACATACTTTGGCATAATATGCTTATGGCAGAACTAGGTTTTGAGGCCCCGCGTCCATTCAGACTTAACAGCGATAATCGAGGAGCGATAGCGTTGTCGCGCGACCCTCAGTTCCATGGCCGCAGTAAGCATATCGATATCCGTCATCATTTTATTCGCGACCATGTCGAACGTGGAAATATTTCTATTTTTCACATCCGTTCTGAAGATAACTTGGCTGACATTTTTACTAAGCTGCTTCCAAACCCCGTTTTCACCAAATTTGTTTCTTCACTAACGGACGACGTCATGACTTGAGGGGGAGTGTTGTTTGAGCAAGACATGACGACGCGCCGGTACGCATATCATGCCCATATCGGCTATCCGATATGATACCCTTTTACCATGTGTTTCGTGTTTCACTGTTGATTGCCTTCCACATGTAGCGCTGTCGCATATCTCACTTTCTTATTACTTTTGTCTGATATTCGTGTTATTACTTTAACTACTTATACCGCTGTGCGGTTACAATATCAAGTTGGTTGTTCCCCATTATCCGAGTGTCCCCGCTGAGAGCTACATAACAACATTCCCCCAGGGTGGAATTGTAGATCCCACAATCGTTGGTGGAGCCCCCAAACGTCCACGCAAATATTGATTCACCCTTTTGATATTACCCGACTAACGATTTGCATTGTCTAATCAGGTTGGACTGAGGATTGTAGCGGGAGACGGCCCAGGAGGCCCAGAATGGATTGGCAGCAGGCGCGGCAAGACATGCGTGATCCATTACTAGTACAGGGGAAACCAAACAATAAAAACAAGCGAGACAACAAATGAGAAAGTTCAGAAAGTAACCAGACAAGCGTGATCCGCTTCAAGTACAAGGGAATTCCAGGCAATAAGAAGAAACCATACAACAGAACAAAGGGAAACAACCAAAGACAAACACGAGCGGATACTGATAATTTGTTATTTAATGGAGGTACGAGATTAAATTAGGCTTGTGCGCACTCAGTCTAAACGCACTCATTGGTCTCTTTTCGCGTGTGGCATTTTTCCCGGTGGTGTTTAATCTTATGCGCCGTACCTGCTGTTGGCCTTACGCATACTGTGCCTTCCGAGGTTACAGTCATGCCGATTCAGGTTTTTGCCGCTGCATTCCTGGGTCGATTCTTCCGGAAAATCTCATCCGTGAGTTTCATCCACCTATGCTACAGGGCTCTGGCCCTCTTATACCTTTCCTCTGCTGAAGGCGTGTTCTTTCTTAGTCTTTTCTTTTGTCCTGTATGCTGTTTTTTGACGAAGACATTCCTTCGTCTTCCTTAAGCCTTTCGGTCTCGCCAAGGGGGAGGTGTTGTGACCTTCGGTTACTCTCGGTGGGTGGGATCCCAATTGCTTACTTAGGTTTTTCTAGGTTTCCTTTTTTCGGTTGTTTCCTTGCCCACTGTAACTTCTGTCTTTCTTTCCTTATTGCTCGTTGTCCTTGTCGTTTGCGAAACCCTCCTCCTTCCCCAGTCTCCTCCCTATTGTAAATTAACCGGGTCGCCTTCAATTCCAGAGGTTCTGGCATTTTCCAGGACTGTTGCCCCGCTAATCACTTGAGTCTCCTGCGTGCACACAAGACACGCAAATTCGGAAAAACAATTCGCAAGACAAAAGCTCAAGATCGTTCTAATGGTGGCAAAAGGGGTTGGGGGTGGGAGAGACAAAACTAGTCAGGCTATAGCAGCGGATATGAGCGAGTTAAGACGATAGCGGCAGCCAGGGAAGCGGGAGAGGCAGCAGCGGCAGTTCACGAGTGAGTTTTGATGAGCAGCAGCAAGTTGGCGTTTGACTCACCACGAGAGATGCAAGAAGATTCAGCCGATAAGGAGAGGAAAGGGGGCATCATGGAAGCCCTTTTTATAAACACGGCCTGAATTATCGTGAGCATTCTCATGATGAGTGAAGTTCAGTACGTACCTCTACTGGTATAATCTGCTTCGCGCATCCGCGCCAGAAAACCCAGCGTACGACTGAGGCACGGTTCCTGGGTCCATCAAATGGTCAGGTTTGCGCAGCGACTCGTGAAAGATGGGGCGGCAAAGGGGTGAGCGCGGTGCTGAGACAGGCGCAGCGGGGTCCGATCGAGCAAGAGAGGTTGCAGCGTCAGCTGGGCCGATTCCGGTCGTTGCCCCGTGATTAGTCTCGTGAAATGAGGTCATTAAACAACAAAAATACACTCCATAACCTAATCTAAAATTTCCGTCAAAAACGTCACACCTTGATGACACATACCGTGTTTCGGCAGTTCTTTGTAACCTCCGCAGTGTTTTCCAACACAGCCAGTTATTTACAATTCGCATTCCTCGATCGGCTTGGGACTGTCCATCTCAAGTCCTCCTACTCTACTAAACGCGTTGCAACATGCCGACTTTGCGAAGCGGTAGGCATACCCGAGTCGTTCCATTAGATGCCTTGGCCCCAGAAACACTAATGGAAGAAGAACCTGTGCACATCGGAGGTTCATCCGTGGAGCCTGCCTTCGGGAATCCGAGAGTGGACGCCGAAGCAGCGACGTGCGCTGACGAGTACGGCGTGGTACAAGTCCAAGACCACGACGGATCTTCAGGAGACTTGACGCCTCCCCAGGAACATCCGCACGGCAGTCGCGAAATTCAAGTCCCGCTCCCAAATCGGTCAGCTCCAAAGAGATCCAATTTGGAGATTGGGCCGTCAGCGGGTGAGCCCTCCTCTAAACGTGCACCCACGACTCTTGCGGTTCATCCCAATGTCCTGGACGAAGCCACCCACATAAGGCCTGACATTGACGCACTTATCGTGGAGTTCATGCGCAACTATGCCAAGAAACTCCCCAGAGATGACTTTCATGTTCTTCTTCTCAACCAAATTGTCCTCCGATCAGGCGGACTATTCGACTTGAAAAGGTTACCGCCACTGGCTGATTTAATCGCACAACATCCGGAGTTGGGGGATAAGTTAGAGGAAGCATGGAAGGCTCAATCGTTCAATGAGATACAAAACTTGGGTATGCACCGTAGGCTTTGGGCGTCGTTGGATGGCTCTGATAAACTGTGATAGTTACAGAAATTCTTCTTTCAACAGTCCAGCCTGCGGGTCCTCCCGACCCTGAAGTGATACTTGATTCTCAATCATCTGAAGATGGTGGGTAGTGCGTCGCCTGCTTGTGTCTTTCCTTTCCGACCTCCTTCCAGCGACAGTCAAGTCGTGGTCTTCCAAATACAGAGGAGACGCTGCCAACATTCTTTACCAGTACATGATGAGACAAGGTACTGCTGATACATATGCTCGCCTCTTACCAATCGTACAGTCCTCTGGCATGGGGAAATCGCGAATGGTCGATGAGTTCTCCAAGAAGCACTTTGTAGTTCCCTTCAATCTCCGCTACGGGGCTGGAGGTGATATTCTCTTCCCGTATTCTTCTGTGTGATTCTAATGTTTCAATTTAGGATATCCCGCTCCTGACTATGATGTTTTGAATTGGTTCACAAGGTCTGGCCTTAAAGAGCATGAAAGCGATACTCGTTTCAGCGCATTTATCACTGCATTGTTCGAGAGGGTATCCAACGTCATTGGACCACATAACTCAATAAAAAGTATCATCGCTTCTTCTTCTAAGCTTTCACCGGCCGAGAAGTCAGCGGCATTAATGCGCTATCCTGAATCCCTTGCGGGGCAGTTTCGACTTTTTATGACAGTTGGACAGCGGTTTGGACAGCAAGCTCCTCTGCGTGTGCAGTTTTACAAGGAGGTATTGGTCAGAGCGGAGGAGGCAAGTCTCTGTTTTGTGTCGCCGCTAGGTCACTCACAGTCGAGGCAGCTATATTCAAGTAATAGGCCGATGACTCCTTCAACACAGAAAACACCACCTGGGAGCTTCACGACAAAAACAAATGGTATTCCCCATTACTTCCCTAAGTATGGTCTTGACTGATACAATGTCTTTGTTATACAAGGCACAGTTGAACTTGCTACTGTCGTCCGACAAGTATTAGAGAAGATCGACCCTCGTTTCGGGCTCAGAGCGCAGCATACTCCCATATTGACTTTGGCATTTGATGAAGCCCACACCTTGGCGCCTTCAGATACTGGTAGAAGGTGGTCCCCATCTTCATCGATGAGACGCGCTTTGTGGGGTTTACGGTTGTTCCCTATCTGGACCCTCTTCTTATCCACAACAGGAAAATTCGACCAATTCTCCCCACCACCTTTCCTTGATCCATCGAGCCGCATTCTCCAAGGTGAACTTGCCAGTGTCAAACCGTTCAGCGCACTAGGTTTCGATCGCATGGCGATGAAGTTTCGTGAGGGCATGACTCTGGACGATGTCACTAAGTTACCGTACAGGTTGTCATTAGGTCGTCCCTTGTACGTTCTCCCAGATCTTTCTTCACTATAATAGCTTTATGTCATTGTAGATGGCTAACACGCTACCAAGAAGGCGGACAACGCGTCAAAGACACAATCACCGTATTTGCTGTCCAGAAACTTCTCTGCCGTGCGTTGACAAAGGACAGCTTGACCCTCGATGAACAGTTTGCCGTGATGTCTCATCGTCTTGTGCTGGACTTCGATACGAGCATTTACTTTGGTCAGCACCGAACGTTGGCAGTAAGGAACCAGATGAACCAAGTCGAGAGGCACATGCGTGTATGCTTGGGTGTTAAGAATGGATTTGAGTCTGTCGTCACGGTTGCAGCCTCGGAGCCGATCCTCACCGAGGCCGCGGCTATCATCTTGTGCACCGTCCGGGATACGGACCGGTCCTGTCAGATGTTACGAGACATTTTGGAGTGGCCTGGAATGAGTAAGGGAGATCGGGGAGAACTCATTACGTGCAACATTATTATCGACACCGTAGATGACCTTATGTCCAAGAAAGGGAGATGGGAGCCAGGGGGGGTCATGGTGACCTCGCTGTTCAAGGCTCTCTTTACCCACGACATCTATCGCAAGTCGATCAAGGATTCTTTGCCCTCAAGGCTGCTGACAGGCAGTTGCAACGACTCGTTTGCTGAGACATTCAAGAGCTCACGCATCTACGTTACGCATTTCATCAAGATTTATGATTTCAACGTACTTTCTGTCCAATATCTCTCTATGCTTGCCGCTCGGGGTGTCGGAGTTGTTTGTGCCGATAATCAACATGGTATTGATGTGGTCATTCCAATTCTTTACCAACACACGATACTACGAAGGGACAATATGTCTGTCCTCATGATACAGTCGAAGAATGATCACTCTTACGGAACCAGCCCGAACCAACACTTATTTGACGAGATGGACCCGTTCGAGCTTGGAATTTTTGCCAAGTCGACAGGACCACCCCCAGTGATTCGAATGGTGAATGCACTGGCATCGAAGGAATCCAAAGTCTCTGTTGTAATGCCATCTGAACGGGTGCAGCCATCAAGGCAAGAGAAGCAGGTCCGCACGAGCGCCTTCACCTCATTTGATATCTGGTGTGCCGGGGCTTCTTCAAGGACTTTTCGCACCATTCGGTCCCAGGATGACGGAACATATGATGACTTGCTGAGGTTGTCAAAGGATGTCCCTGCAATGTTTGAGCCTGATGAAGAATTTATGCGGGATCCTGTAAGGAGTATGTACCCTGGCGGAGCTGGTGATACTGGTCATTGGTCATTTTGTAGTACTAGTTGAATTGCTTTTGGCTGATTGTGCAAATGTGTCACCCACTAGAGTGCTTGCGCTTTGCGCTTTGCGCTTCGCGCTTTGCTGGACTCTACACTGCCGTTGCAAGAGTTACATAATCAAATCCATAACTTTTTCTCACAGCACAAGAAATACAATTGAGAAACTCAAAAAAAGGGAGTGGAGCCCTTCAGAGCCGATCTTTGAAGACAAAGTGATTAGGCTTCTATGGTTAAGTGATTCACAGACAATAATCCAAATAAAAATTAAAGCATAAGGATAGAGGCAGTCTGGCCTCTGTTGCTGCTGAGCTGTCATTAATCTGGCCCAAAATCAGCAAGCCGAATAAGAGATCTGAGGGAGAAAAGTCTAAGAAATTCCTCCCTTATATACGCGACATTCCTGAGTGGCAACGTCATCGTACAAAGGGAGTTTTAAGTTGAATAAGAAGGGCAAAACGCCCCCAACGCCTCAAAGCGCCCTAGAATAACCGCAACGAATAACCGCCAAACAACTTCCCGATAGAAACAAAGTTGGTTTTCTAATACTCTGTACTATTCGGCTACGAATAATCGGCTCTTAAACGCAGTGAGTACTGTTCAGCTGACGGTAAGCGTGATGAGTTCATATTGTGTGTTAGAAAGCTGAGGTATAACCTGCACGGCCATTCAGTCTACGCTTCCAAGACCCGCTACAGAGTAGCGGGAATATCGCGTAATCGATACAAGCTAAACAGAGAGAAAAGATGTCCAAGAGTTCAGGACCCGTAAGTTAAACTGGCCATAGGAAATGCAAACGTCGTTATTGCGATCTCTGCGCGAACGTCAAGAATGCCAACTTCACTGGCCAGCCATGCATGTCTGCGCAGAACCCTGCAGTGGGGTAGGCAGTACCCCTCCAGCAACATGGATATCCGAGGAAGATGGATTGACCCATCTGTTCCCAATGACCAGTACACAGAAATGCGAAGATTGATCAACGTTGACGCGGCATCATTAGACACATGAGATGAACAGAACGGTCAGAAGTGCACAACTTGAAACCGCCATGCATTCTACATTCATCGGAAATTAGTTTTGGCAGTTGCTGGGCATACGCCTATCGTCGCCCTCACCATCCCATAGTCAACACTCTTTGGCGCGAGATTCATGATTTCCTCACGACGGATTTTTAGGTGTGGAGGAAGGGACCTCCATCGGTTTTGCACAACGCAGGCGGTTCCCTCGAGGAACCCTGATCCGATTGCAGCCCTCTGATCTTCTTACTTTCGCCAACCGTCGCACATGAAGTTCGAACTCTTAACTGTTACGTTGCAAAACAGAGCCCCTGGCTTCATGGCCTGTTCAACGGCCCTGAAGATGTTACTCGTTCCATTCTCAACACAATAAAGTGAACAGGAAGTAATGTCGGTGGCACACGTACACGTATGAGGGTTTACGTTTGCTTTGATTTGTGGCCAGTGCAGGCTTGCATCCACAGTAAATTGCAAGAGAACCCCGATGTTGAATGTTGGCAGGCGGCGGTGTTTATTCCTTGTACACAGTTATACATATATAGCACCGTTGATAATTCTCACAAGCGCATGCGAACGAAGCATCAAAACTACGAAAGGTGTATGATATGGTTGGGTGTGAAATTAACCAAGCTACGAGGGTCGCATAGCCATGTTTAGCGTCGGGGGGTCGTTCCCCACCCACTGTTTGCTTCTTGGATCATCCGTGCACGGTCGGGGTTCATTCCGGTATATGAACTGCGGGGAGTGGCACCATGTTGCACTGGGGGCTGCCAAGGTGTCATCCCAAACTGGGTAGGATTAGGCGTGAAGTTACCAAGGGGTGTTGCATGAGAGGGGTTGGGAGTTTTTGTTGCTCCAAGTCCGTAAGGGTTTGGTGTCTTGCCATATGTTGTTCCGTAACCAGGCGTTACACCAGTCATACGGCCCGGGGTCATGCGACCAGCTCCAAAGGGTGTTTTCCCAGATGCACCCATGGATTTCATATCCTTTTGATGCCTGATTGCTCCAAAGTCAGTGAAAGCTGATGAATGAAAGAGCGCTACTTACTTCCGTTTGAAAGCATCACAAAGATCGGGGACCGATCCTACTTCCACATCAGACATTCGATATGAAGTTGGAGTGACCTTGACGAGCTAGGTGACTTGTCAGCAACATACAAGAGATGTAGACGAACGTTTACCCACCCAGGTTTGAATTGGGGAGTTAATGTTGGCAAGGAAAGATAAGTTAAAGTAACCAGGTCTGCTGCGATTCAGTCCAAATGCATAGGATGATCGTGTTGGGTTCATTTTAACGAAGTTTGTGAGGAAGTTTTCTATAACGCGAACGATCAGAAACTTCAGATGCAATGTTACAACAGTGTCGGCGCACGGAGTTCTTGATCTGAACCGCCCTTATACTTCTCGGCTGACAACAAATCGTCAACCTTGCGAGACATAGCCTTCACATGGTTCACCAGCAAGTCATCCAAATCAACATAGTGATATTGATTATCAATGATGTATTGCGGGCCGCTAGAATCAACCTGGCCTGAATTGGTATTCACTTCTACGACGTCTGCAGGAATAATGAGCGGGTACAGCAAGGGAAAATAACGACCGACAAACCGATATGTTGATACACGCTGTCTGCGACCTTCCAAGTGACGGCAAGGTGATCCTGTCCCTTTGAGGATGGCCGAATGACAGCATCACCATGCTGCAGTGGGGCAAGATAGGCTTCTGCTTCTTTCGCATTGAAATTTTTGAACGCAGGGTGCTTGATGACTCTCCGAGCACGGTTCGCTTCACTCCTTTGCTTGCGATCTTGAAGTTCTTTGTTTGCAGTAGCCGCCTGGTGATCATAATACTGATCAGCACGGATGCTACGAGCTTCCTCGTCCGCTTGCGCGATAGCATCCGGACGAGAAGCGAGAGCTAGTCGAACTCTTGGGCCAGGTTCAACATCAACCTTAGTTGTTACGGCTTGAATAGACTGACGCGAATTCACAACGGTTGATGGTTCCCTGTTGTCAGCGGTGAGGTACTCGCGTGTGATGTATCCATCAAGACCAGAATCTGTTCGGACGTCAACCTGCTGACTCCGCACTCGACCAACGGTGACGGTAATCACTCTCCCCGGGTGAAGTGTGCGTTTCGTCTCTCCAGTGAGCATGGACAGAATATCCCAATCGCCCATGGGTGACATTTCCGGACGTTGCTCTCCAAAAGGATTCAGGAGCTCATCCCGAATCATGTCCAATGTGTGTCGTTTCAGGATATCGTTTGTGTTCTGTAGATTGATAGCGAAGTCGTCTAAACTAAGATCGTCCAGCTTTTTCTTATTATCGTCGTCTTGCATCAGCTGAGTTACAACCGTGGAGGCATTCTGGTCTGCCACGTCTTCATCATCGAGTTCCAAAGCGCCGGCGGCCATACGACGAGCTAGGTCGTAGTCCTCAGGGTGAACACGAGTGGCATCGAGAGGGTCCTGTTGTTTATTACGCTCGGCGATGCGACGGCCGCGTTTATCTTCGATCGCATCTTGAGAAATTCGAAGGAATCCAGCAGCATTGTAAAATACTTGTTGAGTCATTATCTCATCCGTGATGAATTGTTCGCGATTAAGAACGGAGCCGCCCTGGATTCAGAAGATCATGTTGAAGCTGACCAAAATCATTTGTGAGGACTAACCAAGGTGCCAATGCGCTTGATGATCATTTGGGCTTTGCGGGGGCCGAGACCGGCGACGAAGGGTAATAACTTTGCATAGTATCCGTCCGTCACGGCACGATTCACGTCAACGCCAACCTCATTTACAATGTTGACGAGCGTTCGCTCAAGTGCTGTTAGCAAGCGATCTTGGGGTAGCTATGGAAGGAGAGTCAGACACCACCAACGAACAGCGTTAGTCGAACTTGCCAGATGTTGGTCATCACTGTAAAATATGGCAGTCAAATCAGATCCGAGGGCAGCGTATTCATTGACAGGACTTTGGGCGTATCGAGCAAGCCCAACACAGTATCTCCCAACGGGTGGTAGGCCGCTAAACCCTTCCTCCGCACGTTTACTATGCTGGTAGATACGGGCGACTTGGTCAGGCATCCATACCACTGGTACAAGTTTCTTCGGGCCAGAGTCTTCATTCGCACCATCCGTGTAACCGACTACTTCGCGAACTCGTTCCATAAGTCGCGTAGCCAAAATTGAGAACCCTCCGACCACAATTACATCTGGCACACGGCGCGAAATGAGATCACCGAAATCAAGACGATGGGCAGGATCCATGAGGTTGTCGAAGCGAGCATGTTCACGCAAGTGGCCAGCGTCATCCAGGAAGGCTGCATATATTGGGTCTTTTTGAGGATCACCCTTACCCCAGGAGACAGCGAGAACAGCAGGAACATCCCCCTTCTCAAACTCTGGTGGGCGATAGGGTGCAACTTCAGCACGCTGAAAGGGGGTGAGATGAAGCTCGGTTGTCATTAAGTGATTCGTCTCACCTGTTCAAGAACCGCGGCACACTTGGTAGCGAGATTATCTTCGACTTCTTCCCTGAGCCACTCTCGGACGAACTTCACACCAACAGGTAGTAGATGCTTCTCCAAGGCCTCTTGGATAATCAATGCCCGCTGGTGGTTCCAGGCGCTAGCATTGTCACTGAAGCCATCGGACTTGATGGCATTCAGCATCATATCGTGAAGTTCTTTATAATCCCCAGGTGCGAGTGTAATCGATACCGTGGCAAGGTGTTCAGCTTCAGCATTCAATATGTGAAGGAATTGGGCGTCTTGTTGCATATTCCCCACCGGTTTGTTTAGGAGGTATTTGAAAGACTAAATGAGAGATTAAAACACAGCATGTCAGACAATGAAAAAAACACTGACGGCATAAGGATGCTGGTCATCAATTTTTACTGCCCCCTTTTCTGTCGGACGCACACTGACGGTCGCCTTCGATTTAAAAGTCTCCCGTACCATTTTCCGCAGCTGAGGATCCTTACCAAGTTCCGTGGCAACAATGAATCGAGCTGATTTGAGAACGTCTTCCGTGGACGTTGAACCAGGGGCACCGTTGACAAATTCCTCGGCGCACACGAGAGGGGAAACGTCCTTGTCCTCGACAAAGTAATGCATGTTGGCGCTGAGCATCTGACGGACCATATCTCTCACATTGCCAAAGCTCTATAATATAATCTCTAGTTAGGCACTAACAGGTAAATGCCAAATGTGTATCCGTACCTCGGCAACTTGGGAGACGGTGCTTCCTTTAGCAACATCATATGCAGACATTCGGCTGGGCTTCTTCCGCCGCTGGCCATCTGTGCCTGCCTCTTCGATCTCCAGAGCATCTTTATGCTGCTGCTTATAGCGCAGAGACAGCCACTCCATGGCATCTGCCACCGAATCGACACTGTCAAGAGAAGGTAGAATATCCATTTCGAAATGATCGTCAACGACTTGCATGCGCCTGTACGTTGCTATAAGGGTTTGTTTCCGGGCGTGTAAACCACGGTATCGCGTGCCCAAGAGCTGTACTCTCCACAGCTCTTCTCGGCTCAGCAGTTCTATGCGTGCCACAGCCCTTTCAGGCTCCCAAACGGAAAGAAGATCCCTTCGATGTGTCCAGATGTATGGGACTTCGAAATGATCGTGCAAAAGGAATTTGAGGGCAGTGCGTAAAGCCAGAATCAAGTTCACAAAGTAACCATGATACCTCCCATCAGACAAGATATATTCGCGATGGACGCGCGAAGAGAGCCGAGTGGCGACCCACTCAGAGGCGGCATCGAGTTCATTTTCGGGGAATGGAGCATAGGTAGAACTATGTGCCAAGGAAGTGGAGGGGGAGAGAGAACTTGTCGTGAGCTGCATCCGCTCAGGAACATCCGTTGCACGTATCAGATCATCATCTGCAGTAAGATACCTTGCTGCTATCTCAGAAGGTTCGAATACCTGCAACAAACAAAGTCAGTTGAAGAGCGCATGAATGAGATTGAACTTGGCAAACATCTTGATATTTCAGCTCCTTTTCTCTTTCATGGTCGCTAATGTCTTCATCGTTGTCTAACGCCCAGTCATACTCGGTCCCGAGGCCAAAGACGTCCCAAATCTCATCCCAAGCTGCTGCATCAATCCCAGCAAGTTCTGGCCGAGCACCCATGGCCTTCCGACGCTGCCTTTCATCACGCCTCTTCTCTCTTCGTCGTTCCTCGCGTTCCTCGTCTCCCATTTCACGATCCAGGTCCTCGTCATCGTCATCGTCAATGAAAGCATCATCCTCATCGTCCAGATCCATGTCATCAAAACCTCCTCTAACGTCTCGCCCTCTGTCATCAAAAATTTTTGAGAGATCTGCTGGCTCAGCGACAGATTCGTCTTCGGAAAGTTCAGGATGCCTGGTTTTAGAAATCGGTGGGGGAGACGCAGAAGGAGATGCACGGCCTCTTCGAAGACGAGATAGCCCATGGGTGCGTAAGCGATCCACTCGGGTGCCCGTGTTCTCTTCCACGAGCTCGAGATCATCAGCGTCCAAACTCACTCCTTCATCAAGGGAGTAAATAATGGAATGGCAATGTCGAATGGGACGTAAGTTACGCACGTCGTCTCCTCCGCTTCCTACGTCTATGATGATGCCTCTCTTCATCTTCTTCCACCTCCTCTTCTTCGTCATCCACAATAAAATCCTTACGAAGCTTTACCGCCTCTTCCTCATCAGTGGGCACTTCCTCCGAGCTATCGTCGGAGAGGGGATTAATATTATCGCCTTCGCCTTCATCGGATGGCCCCCCTTCATCGTCTAGGATAGTATCTGGAGGAGCTATATCAGCATCGAGGTCGGACATTGTTGACTTCCCCAGGTTGGTGGTGCAAGGCAATTCCCGAATAAATTGAGACAGCTTGAAGCGCTTGTCTCTGGCGCGTCAAGCAGCACTGACTTCTCAATTTCTATGAACATACCATAAGACCAAATTACGTCCTTCACTGAAGCTTAATAATGGATGCTGGATCCTCAGCAAATGGCCTCAACTATATCCCTTATACGGTTGGGCACCCCCACAATATTTAGAGCATTCTGGCAGTCCTGACAATCTCGTCCAGTCCAAGCGGCACTCAAGGACCATGTCTGGGGTCTCTGATGGTGTAAATTCTGACACAGCTACAGAGCCTAGCATATCAGATGAAGTCGGACCATCCACATCACGTTCCTCGTTGCCCACGTCTGTCACACAGGCCACTGAGCTCCCGGGTCCGCCGATGCCTGAGAAGCGCACCGTACCTCTGAAATCGAGGTCCACCTTTCGGAGAATAGGGATGCGCAACTCCCAACCCCCAACACCATCCCCTCTACGACCAATTACCATGAGCACATCTACTTCATTTCGCACGCTCACTGCAGCATCAGCTCGTGGATCCAGGAACGAAAATTCGATCCCTGGATCGCCTTCCGGACCCAACGCATCTCTTCCTGTGTCCGCGATCGACTCCTCGCCTAAGCTCAATGGAGGCGAGCATTTCAACAGTCCCGCAACTCCATCTTCTCCGAAGCCATCGCCATCGGTTTCGCCTTCCCCAAAGCCTTTAGACGCACCATTACCGCCGACCCCCCCATCTCCCCTACCATTAGTCATGCCGCCTGACACCAACGCATCTTCATCACAACCATCCACTTCTCAAACCGCTGAGCCGAAGGTGACACGAGTAGCAGCACCTTATCGTCCTGGCTTCCAACCCAAGGGAGTATATCGACATCGTACGGAGGAGTTTTGCGCTCTCCGAGATTCAGGTACAGGCCAGCGCAAGTCTGAGGAACGCCGAATTGAGAGGAGGTTAGAGAAAGTTAGTTACTGATTTACAAGCTTCTTGGGAACAGGCATTTGAGCATCCTTCAGATGATAGACCTGCACTTCCCCCCTGAAACCCACTCCACCCCACGACTTGCAGAAAGCCGACGAACTTCTTCCATTTTTACCGAGCTCAAAGGTAAGACCCCGGGGGATTTACTGCGCAACGCAATGGAAGCCAAACCGGGATCGCCTGCAGCCTTAAGAAGTGCGCATGTCCAAGGATCCTATTTAATACATCCTCACGCTTCTGCTAGATGCTGAACAAGTCATTACACCTTGGCAAGACGACTCGAGCGCTAAAGCATGTCCAATATGCCAGTAAGCTAATTCTTGTACTACCTGCTACTCTTCCTATCCATGTGCATTAGATCGTCATTCCAGCCATTGCTAAATCGGAAGCATCACTGCCGTCTCTGTGGCCGGGTGGTCTGTTCTCTTCCGACCCAAAAGCCAAAACGCCCAAGGCCTTGTTCCCTCCTAGTTGCTTTCGACCACCAACTCGGCCAGGTCATCCCAGTACCAGAAACGATAGCATATGGAGTCACCAAACGACCTGTTCATCAACGGTCTGGTTCGGTTGTCGATACCGATAAGGATATGCAACCTAAAGGCTTTCGGGTTTGCCGGGATTGCAATGTTATTATAGAGTCAGTCCATTTTACACCGCCGAGATTTAATTAATGGTAGTGCTCTGCACAGCCGAAAACAGTTCTTGCAAGAATCGCTTCGGCCAACTACATTCACCAAACTTCACGGGGTGAGCAAAATCACAATGATCATGTTGTCCACCCGCCTGACTGAATTCTAAGCGATTAATACGCATAGAAACAGAAATGGAGACCCTCCTGGCCGAACTGGATGCCCTCTTGCCCTCCATGCCCCTGTACGTCGTTCCAGACCGCCAGCTGCTCCTATCTAACAAGGGTTGTAGTTCTGTCGAAAATCCCGACGCTGCAGCCTTACGAAAGCAGTTCTCCGTACTATTCACAGACTACGACACTGTAGCGAAACGAATACGTGGGCTCTCTTGCCCCCCGGATGGTTCTCAACACCGAATGCAACAGGCGGTCTGGATGAGGGCAGTGAATTTCATGCAACTGCACATGAACGTCCTCAAGGTATGACACTTATCGTATGCCTGAGCTCTGAACACCCCTCACCCTTTCTTGATTAGCGGATGCCTAAGCCGCTGCCCACAAACGCAGCGGCTCCGCGACTCCCGCAGATTCTGAGAAGGCTGAGATACAGCAGGATTCGATTCTCGCACATGTGCTACAACCACTCCTTGAGCAGGAAGCTCTGCTCGAGTGCGTGTATTGGGAATTCAAGCTCGCCTCTGAACTTGACATTGTTTCCCATTTAGATCCTTCGTGGAGCAAGCGACTGCCCAACGAAAATTCGAAGATGTCAAATCACTGAAAGTCAACCTTGCTGAGATCAAGGCGGAAATCGATAGAATCGTAAAAACTTCCAGTGCCACCCCAAACGAGCATAATAGTGTCAGTGGGAAGAAATGATGCCGTACGCTAAATACCCCTCGAAACAGGAGCCCCTCATGCTTTCTGAATCGCTGCATTTGTCAAAATATACCGCTAATACATTCCACGCATCAACTGTTCAAAACATCTTCATCTAGTACAACCCCAATTTTATCTTGGCCTACGAGCTGGCCCTCTTGGTTTTGCGAATCCGGTCTTCTTCTCAATGACAGGAGCGTAGCTGGGCGAGAGTTCTCCCTTCACCCAGCTTAGATCCAAGTCATCGGGTTCTGACGTCTCTACTTTCTTCGCAACGATAATGCTGCAATTATCTCGTAAAATCTGAACGAACGACAATAGGGAAGCTGAATACAACATCCGAGATTTGACAGGAGAAGAGGTTGGACACGCGTAGATACAAACTGTTGGACGAACTTCGTGAATTGAACAAAAAAGGACATTGGCGATGACATACTGATATCGCGCATTGTAGACCCTTCAACTTCATGATCGTAAGCATACAAGGCATATGCTAAAAGGCAAGAACCTGTTGAGTTATTGTGAAGTGTTGGGGAAATGATAACTGACATGGATTTAATTTTGGCAAGAAGTGTTTGATCTCGTCAATCGTTGTCAATACCTTCTCCTTTAGTCCCAGGCTTTCCGTCAGAACATCGATCTCCTTTGTTCCAGGTTCAGGTCTGGGAAATTCTGAGGCGTTATGCCCACCCACCACTACAATCAAATTGAAGGATGGATCCCCTGCGCCCAAATCTCGGAAGGCTTCGTCGGCTTCGGCACTCCATTTTGTTTCAACGCGGTTGGCAGCAACGTGAAGATGCGAAGTGCGAGTTTTCGAACTAACATACTCGTTGCCTTCAGCCGCTCTGACAGCAGCTATTTCGGCTTCTCGTGCAGATAATGGTGAAGGAGCTGCATTATGCTTTAAATGCGCAGCATACCCTTCAGGAGTGATATCGGACTGGGCGCCAGGGGAACAAGGATTGAATGAATGAATGACTGAAATGATCACCAACAGCAGCGACTGGCATCACAAACATTCACCTTGCTGGTAGCAAAAAGGGAATCCCTAAATCGCTGATCCCCGAATTCCTTAGTCAGTGAGCCCCTTGTCGACGCATATAACATCTGTGGATCTCAAAATTATATATGCGTCCATCCGTCGCAAACCCCTAGCTTTCCTTGTTTCTGACTGTGGCTCCTTCAGGCACGTAAGTGATGAATAACCAAGCAGTGTCATCCGAATCCAAGCGTGCTAGAACATAAGCAGGGACAGTGTCTTCCTGGAGTTGTTTATGCTTTCAGGACATGTGTTGACCAATCCAAGGAGAGACAGACCAGAGCACTTTGCAGCAAGGGGAGATCATCGACCAGAGTTCCCCCCGAGGAAGGGATAGAGTCTTTTAGTGTCAGGGACTCTGTGGTTCCCTTAAGTTGTGATACACTAATCCTCTCTTAGCCATGCAGGCGCTAGCTTACCATCTTGTATTTCAACGATCACGAAGCGCACGGTGCTATCATTGATGGCAGACGCGTAGGCTGCCGCAAGGTCAGCAGACACCGCGATCCCTGAGCTAGTCGACATGTATTGATAGGGTTTATTCGAGAATCCCGGAAATGAACAGTCGTCGCGAGTGGAACCTGATACCTCACCCCACGTGATTCATCCTCTTCATGACATTAATCTATGTTAGGCGTGCATGAGGAAGATACTGAGACGCTCCTGGCCCTCCTGGAATCTTCTCTAGGTCCTGATGTGCCATCTTCTCAGGGGGAAATGCTAGAGGCGCTTGTGGCAGCGGGAGGAAATGTCAACCAAGCTGCTCAATCGTTCAAGAGTGCCTCCTCTTGGGAAGTCAGCGCGGGATCTTCAATGCGTCCTTCAAAGAGGCGCAAGCTAGAGAACAGCCTTAGTGGGTGGCTTGTAAGAACGAAATCAACTCCTTCTACCAGCAGTGCGTCTTTAGTGAGTGGTACATCTAATACATCGCCGTCTCTTCCCGTCAAAGAGAGACCGATCACCTGCCTAACATCGCCGGAAGTCTCGTCTATCAGTGAGACGAGATCCTCGGACAAACACGTGCGATCAAATAAGAACTACAAGAGTGATCCTCCGCCTTTACTTTCCATCCTAAAGGCTCCACCTTTTTCTCCAAAAAAGAAGATCAGTCCGCCACCACTCCTGCTAGGAACACCCGAGTTGGTCACGAAATACACACCGACAACACTTCATCACTCAGTTCTCCCAAACGGCATGTATGATTGAGACGTCTCGCCAATTCACGAATAGGTAATTAAACTGCCCAGCAGAGCTTGCTTCCCGGCTCTTTTATGTTATGCTCGATGAAGCCAAATACTGGAAGACGTCAAAATGGTACATCAATGATCGTCTGGTGGAATCACCCCATCTATCTTGCTTTTATACGAGAGACCCAAACAATAACATGGACGAAGCCGCCAAGTACTGGTAAACACGCGATTCCTGCTGCTAAGAGATGGCGTGCATCTCATTTGCTATGACACACTATTCAGGTACAATGGCCAAGTGACTCAAACTCCAAAAGCATTTCCTGGGGAGATGGAAGAAGCTCTCTCACGCATCGAGGAATTGGTTAATGAACAAATTTCGAAGCGGAAACGGTTTCCCTTTGAATGGGCAGGTTCCCCCAAAGCTTGGCGTGCCAATGTTGCCGCGTCCAACTGCTACCGCGGGTCCAAAGAGGGTGTTGGTCCACATTCTGACCGCCTAACTTGTCGGTTATCATTTTCGAGGATTACGTTGACTTATTCACGAGGGTCATCAGATCTCGGGCCGTATCCGACCATAGCTTCGCTGTCGCTAGGCAAGCAAACCCTAGCATGTTCGCTTCTCGTTTACTACAGCTTCGACCTTGGTTAGGAACAACAAGAACCTTCCGTCTTCGTGAGGTTATACCGGCTGCAAACAAAGAGAAACGTCAAGCGCAAACATTCGATATACCCCTACCCCATAACTCTGTGAGCAGGATCAGTGAGGTGTACAGCGCGCAACTGACTGCTTGACGTCGTATCTCCCCAGTTGTTGATAATGCATCCCCCCACTCAAGAATTCTTCAAGTTCGTCATCCTGGCAACGCAGCGTTGGCATCAGCTCTATTTATAGCTCTTATCCTAGACACTCGATCCCCACGGTCAAATCAATTGACACCTTTCGACCAAACCACCCCAGAATTCTAGGAGAGGACACCCGGAAGTACAATGAGCGTATCAATATTACATTCCGGTGAGATGACCTGATCATGATCGGCGATGTTGATGTATCAACTGTAATGACGGTAACAGATTCTATCGACCAGATTTTCAACCAACCTTCATTCCTCGGTGTCATTGCGAAGGCAACATACCAATGACCCTCAAGTCAAATCAGAAAAGGAGAGGAGAGGACGCATCGTTCTTCTGGCAATGCCAAGCTGGAGCGCAAAATGAGGGCAAAACTTGCTATTATTGGAAGGAGATGGATATGGAGGCCGAAGGGAGAGGACCGTGTATCAAGGACATCCCGACGTGATGTGAGATGGGCATGACGGTGTATTTTACTCTTTTCATCGCATTTCGCTGTTGTGGCTTGAGGGCTGTGGAATCAAAGATTACGGCAACCTCACATCGCAACCGCTTTGTGAATTGTTTCGCACTGTTTTGATCGAAGAACAGAAAGCACGAAACAGGCAGCCAACAGAGGTACGTTGACTCTGAGGCCATAATCCACACGCTGGACACGCCCTAGGACGCTGCGGGGACAGGCTATGCAGTCTTTCTTCCGGTCCTTATCGTCGTTCTTCTCAAGCGGGAGGCAGGGCCCACTCGCGGGGTCCTCCAAACAACCTCAGTTCTCCTCTAATGACGCTTTCTCTTTGCCCACACATTCACCCAGCACTGACCAACTTTCGATGCCGCGATCCGCTGGTTTTACATATCCACCTCACACTCCCGCTTCAGCTGCGGACGATGTGACCCCTTTCTCGTCCACCGACCGTGTCAATCGTGTGCAAGGCGCCTCAACACTACTCCCCACCCATCACTCTTCCTCCTCGTCGAAATCTTATTATCCACCTCTGGATAAGACTTGGGCCCGCATACGCGCCTGGTTATTGAATGAATACACAGAACTCGGTGATACACTAAATTATGGCATTCTTCCCGAGTCCCTGGCAGAGATTGAAACCAAATTGGGCTTTCAGTTGCCCAAGGCAGTCCGGGATTCCTACCTTATTGTTGACGGACAAGAAGCCGAGTCAAGTGCCGGGTGTTCGGAAGGTCTATTTTTTGGTCTTCACTTCTTGCCTTTAGAAGAGGTTCTTGCCGAATGGCGCTTTTGGCGTGAGGTTGACGATGACCCTGCCACCGGGGCGAATTCACAAATCCGAGCCGCAATGCAAACAATACCTGTCGATTGGATTCGTAAAGAGTATTCAAGCCGAGGATGGATACCTTTGATTTCCGACAAAGTTGGCAACTATATTGGTATCGATATCAACCCCGGTCCTAAAGGTTCCGCTGGCCAAGTCATCGTCTTCGGCCGGGACTTTGATACTAAAATTGTGCTTTGGAACGGGAACGGCCAGCACGGGTGGGCGAGATGGCTAGCCAGCTTCGCGGAAGAGTTAGAAGGGGGAGAAGGGTTTGAAGTACGTGGACCAGATGGAGATAACAGTGACGATGGGAGCGAGGATAGCATAGGCTATGAAGGATATTTTAACGGAGGCGTATCCGGGGGGAAGGGCGATACGGGTGGCCCTGGGGGACTAAGATTTACAGGGGAGTACAAAGGTTGGAACGCGATAGAAGTTTGGGCGGATCGGAGTTACAAGGCCTGGTATGAGGCTGGTCTGGTTCCAGAGGGGCCAGACGATGAGGGAACAACAGAAGTGCCTTCCAGCAGCGCAGCACCAAACCAGAACGAGAGCGTCCGGGTAGAGACCTCAGATCTCACCGATGTCTCTGACCCCACGGCCGACGAAACAACACCAATAGCTGCAGTAATTTCTCCCGCAAGGATACGGCTACCAATATCGCCTTCGAAGGCTGGCCCCACTACTTCCGACCCAACGGCTGCAGACCTCTTGTCATTGACATCACCCTCACCACTCGATACCGAGTTTGAGAGGCAAGATGCATCCATCTCCGACCCGGGGCCTATTCAGTCGCCAAAACAGTATGTTCTTGCATGTCCTCCAATTTTATGACGCTGATGATAATTCAACAGTTCAAGCGAGCAAGATACCCATGCATTGAATCCGATCGTTGATCAATCCTCCGAACCCTCCGTCAAATCTGCAGGGAATTTTGGCGATGCTGCTGAAGTGACCGGTGTAGATGAATTTGGTGCTTTGGAGGGAAAGAACTCTTGACAGGACTTCATTCGTTGTTTTCCTTTTTTGCCTACTATACCTGCATCTTTATCTATTCAGTCCGCGAGCTCCCATGTGGTAATATAATACGCATCCTGACATGAGTGACGAGGAAATCGAGTCGGACGATGAACAAATTCAGTATGACGAGGAAGACACTTCTGAAGACGGTCTCCAGGATGCCTCTGGTGACGAGGAATCTGAAGAGGGAGAGGAGGGCGATGATGAGGAAGCAGACGAAGAGGAGGCGAGCGAAAGCGAAGCGCCACTCGTTACCCCACTCCCTTCCCAATCACAACAATCATTACAGAGTGAGTGATAGTGAAATCCCGCCAGTCGTCGTCTGCTCATATCGCCATTTCGAAGTTTATGTCCCAACATCATCACGCTCGTCTTCGCCAACCCAACAACGCCGAGAACTGTACCGCGCAGACGTCAACGCAAAGTCTTACACCATCGAGCCTCTTGCTGCATTCCCACATCCGGTTGCCACTCACAGCTTGGCCTCCTCTATATGTTTGACACATCTGCTTACCGGTTCTCAAGATGGCTTCATTCGTGACTACGACGTGTTTGCCTGCGCCAATGGCAAAACCTTGTTGACTGCGCCTCAGCGTGCACACACAGGTATGGCGGACACGAATCTTAAGGCTGGTGTACTCAGGTCGTGGTGGGAAAACCTTGAAGATGGTGCACGACCACTTGCGGAGACGGCGCTGTCCCCTGTACACAGTATGACCTTACAAGCTGATGCATTGTGGGGTTTATCTGGAACTGCAGTAAGATCCGGTTTCTGCATTCATGATGGTCTACCTTGTGATAACGAACTTGTTTTCGTTAGTCAGGCAATATAAATCTCTTTACTATTCGACATGAAACGGGACGTATCCATCATGTATTGAGGGGCCACAGTGGGCCTGTCTCTTCGCTCTCCTTATCAAACGATGAGATGAGCTTGTTCAGCGCGGGATGGGATAGCAATGCTTTGGTATGAACGGCCACCGGACTCTTGACCAAATGTCTGTCCTGATTTGACCGTTTGGCTTCTTCAGCACTGGGATCTCAACACTGGTCAAATCATCAGAGGGTTTTCATCTCATAGCGCTCAGCTTACGACTGTCGCCGTTCGCCCGCTGGGAGCCCCCATACCCGCGAATTACAGAACGTGGTCAATAGGCACAGTAATGCCTTCCCAGACAACCGAATTCTCCACCCCGCAGCCTATGCGTGTAGACGAGTCCCAAACTACAGTCGGAGCCCCAGTCACCTCTCCGCAAGCGTCGGAAGACGCCGCAGGGGAATCGGACAACGACTTTGATCCTCTCTTTGACGACGATGCGGAGCCACCCCCAGCTCACCCCCAACCAGTTCCTGCGCCACCTCCACAGAGTGCCGGAATGACCCTACCATCGGGCGGCGGTGCGCTACAACTTCATATGCCTGGCTCAAACCAGTATCCAACACGCACTCCGCCGCCGCCACCACTGCACCAACTCCCGTACCTAACCCCCGCACCATCGAAAAAAGAGACACCAATTTTAGACCCAGTCCGGTACAACGATTTTTCTCCTGATATTCTCATGACGGCAAGTATCGATGGGCAGGTCACGCTATGGGACAGGAGAGCGTCATCGCTTGATAGTCGTGGCGTGGGCAGACTGGAAGGTAATGAACGGTCTCCACCCTGGTGTGTTTCTGTAAGTATTGATCCTTAGAGTGGAGCTGAACTGATGTCACTGAATTTTGGGAACACCCGTTGGTCCCATAACAGGCTTGCTGGTCAGGGGATGGTTCCCACATTTATGCCGGTAGACGAAATGGTTTCATAGATGTGTGGGATGTGCGCAAGTATGGACCAGGTTCAGCATCAGGACAACCAAGACTAGCCACTACCCTACGAAATCCATCAAGTAGTGGTAATGTGACATGTGTCACCGCATTTCCAGATCGTCAACATATTGTTTGGTTCGTGATCGCCCGACGTTAGGTCTATACTGCCTACGTTTTGCTGACACCATGCCTATTTTAGCGCGTCCCAGGACAACATTCGTCTCTGGAATGTTTTTGGTCTGGATGACAACGATACCAGTATGCATCGATCAAGACCATCTGTCCCTTTCAAAATTATCGCGGGTCATCATGGCGGAATTATCTCGCAGATTCGTAAGACATTTCTAGAAGATTTCCGATTCAGGCAATGCAACTCAACCGCTGTCTTAATCCAGTTGTGGATGCCTCCTCTAAGTTCATGATCACAGCGAGCGGTAACCGCGGCTGGTTTGGTGAATCATCAAAAACAGTTATCGTGCACTCTATTACGCCACAGTGACATATACGGTTGTATATGCGAGATATCATGCGCTATGACTGGTAGCTCGGCATACGTATACTTATCCACTTGACCAGTGAGAATTTCCGGCCTGCAGTCGATGTGTTGTCATTTCCTATGTTTTACACGCGACTGCTGTGGCGTTGCTTCGCACCTTGTTCCGGGCGCTCAAATGCGCATCTCGCAGCTGTTAGAGCGAGGCCATCAGCCCATTACCCAAGATGTTAACTCCTCGGGCGTGAAGACATGGAGCAAGGGAATGGTGCGCCTGATTGGGAATCCCCCCAATCGTACCAAACCCTTCTCTCTTCTGGTCTGTATTCTCATTCTGCAGATCCATTATCAATATAATATTCAGGCCCTGTGCGAACCAATTTGGCAGGACCTAGCTCGTGGTACAGCGTGTGCGTATACGTGCGTGTGCGTGTGAGACCCCAATGTTGAGCATGTACTCGGAATACGCCGCACACAATTACCCCCCTGCTAACCTGGAACACATTTTATTAAGAAATTCGGGTGTGGAACTGAGTGAGAAGTGCTCTTGTCCTTGATTTAAAACGATTTGCCCCGATACACTCTAAGGCAGTTGGGTGAGGGAGAATGGACTATGCTGCTATTCCAATTACAGAACTGGTTATGCCCTGTTATTCATTCGCTCATGAAAGCTCCACTCAAGCAGAACACCCCAAATTGAGTTGGCCACTGGAAGATATAACAGCAACCTGGATAATGGATCCTCGCGCAATAGAATATAGAAGCCAACAATAATGACATGAGTACGCAACAGAGGGAAAAGGTAAAACCATTGGTTGTGACCTCCCAGGCCATGCTATTTAGAATCAAAGATTCGTCAGCAGTGCATAATAGTAAACCAATTGAATTGATGTGCAAACGCGATCGCGCCACAACCACACTGATTTGAAAACGAGAAAGGATCAAGAACCACAGAAGTGATTCCTGGTGAATGGAGCTGGAATAGGAAGGACTCCTATCGGCAGCCAGTCCTTCAGCGCTACTCCGCGGGGTCCCAGTCACAACGGACATGCTGATTAAGGCCACCACACAGGATCGTGCGCGGAGCACACATAACGCGCTCGGGGGTTCTAGTTCCGGTTGCGGCAAAGCGCGCCCATCAAAATGGCGCATCAGGCCATATCTAGGGGCAGATCGCGAAGGAAGCAAACCCGAGTGGAACATGATAATGCTGGAGGAATGCAATGATGCAGCTGCCTATGAGTGAATCTTCCACACTGCAACCTAATTCTAGGGGTGGTTCGCGCCGGGCGGTGTTGTAGGCGCCGCCCCAATGATATCGTGTGCTGAAGGAATTAATTTGGTTGGGTAAGACCTGGTGCTTTCGCGCTGTGCTTTATGATATCTCTGGGAAACTGATCAGCAGGAAGCGGTAACCCATGATTCGCTCGAGTCGTATGAACTGTCAGATCACATTAGCTAGAGGCATTCCATGCACTCCTGGTGGGAACGGAGAAGCCATCTTCGCCGGCGGAGGAAAAGGCAAGATCGGTGTTCCTCGTTGAGTGTGGAAAGATCTGCGCGAGAGAAAGGTATTCCACACGAACACATGGAGTTCGGACCTTCCCTCGTAATGAGCGGATTCCAGACACGCTACTCAGCGGCTACAACTCGCGATCAACCAGAGGTAAGTAGGCACGTCTGTGCGTATTTGTATGTACAGCGAATGTGTTACAATGTGAATATACGTACTACGCAAGCGCGCGTGCGAGCGCTGACCAAGGGAGAATTATCTGAGGATTTCCCAAAAGGTCCCCGCCATTCTCCAATGGCGCCATCTTCCCCTGTCTGTATCACTGTAGCAGCACCTTTTTGTCAGCTGCAGACCCGCTTCACGGAATTAAGCAGAGGCGGTAAGCCCACACTGCCACATAATCGAGACTAAAACAAAACAGCAGATTGCTACAGGGCGCGAAGACGGGCAAATGCACCCCAGGCACTATCACCACGTGTACATGCATCGCCTCAAAAATACATGAGACCCAGGTGCATCATCGAGCTCCAGAGGAAAAGTGGCACTCTGGGCGCGTGCCTGCGCCGGATGTTTGTATGCGGTGGAAACTTGACGGCAGTAGCGACACGTCCTTGTTAGAAAAACGCACAAAGCTAATTCTCACTGAGACCTAATAATTTGTACTATCGCATTAATCTCATGCCTAAGTAAGAGGCTGAACGACAAGAAAGGGGAAGAGAATTAAACAAAAACGACAGCATTCAGGATTCCCATGTAGAATCTTACCATGGTACTAGCTGAACGGTACTCCACTTAACTTCGCAGATCGGACAGGATGCGGTGCTTTCGAAGCCCTTATGGCCGTAGATACTAAGAGCTACGAAGGAAGCGCCTCATAAACTATTACAGCCTGGGTCCGAGAGCAAGCCATACCGGGAATCCATGCAATGATGCGTCGCACAAACCCTCACAGCGCGCGCATCTCCAGTACAGAGACCAAGGGTGAAGGTAAGAAGAAACATGACATATTGAAAGCCAAAGAAAAGAAATACACAATGAACGACACCCAGGAAAGAACCACCGACCACAAAGACCCCAACAAATCCCCTTCTTCAGGCAGGAAAGGCATCTCATACAAGTAGCATAGCGCGATAGAGACGCATACAGCATGCATGGAAGGTGAAGGAAGAGAGCGTGCCAATGGGCGCCGCCATAGAACTTTCATAAAGCAGGATGACAAAAAACTTGCCAGCAACGAGAAAAAGGGAAATCAGATCAAAAAAGCGGGGAGGCAAGAGCGAGTTGGACCAAAAACACTAAAAGCGAGCGAAGGCGACATCTTATTCAATGCGCAATCTCTTCCCCCCCCTTGATGGCGTACTCGTTAAGGACTGTGATCGCCTCATTGACCTTGTTGTCCATCGCCTCATTGTCCTCAAGCAAGTGCAACAATTCCGAATTATCCATCTCCAAAAGCATACCCGTGATCTTACCCGCGAGATCGGGGTTATTACCATGAATCCTCATGTAAATCACCTCTCCGAGCATTTGTTTCTGATCCATGGGTGATGCGGTAGAAAGGGCAGCGTTCGAGAGCACGGAGGCCTGAGGAGCGCCAGCAGGAGCATTGCGAGGGACACTACCGGCAGGGCCAGCGGGGCGCGGAGCACCGTTGACGGCGGGTCCGCCAGGACGCGGGGCAGGGGGTACAGCAGGCCCACCCGTGGCCCCAGGTGGACCAGCACGAGTACCATTGGGGGCAGGGGGAGGAGCAGCCCCAGCAGGGCCAGGACGAGGAGCGCCTTGAGCCTGGGGCGGAGGGGGGCCGCGAGGATCGCGAGGATATCCGGGAAGATACCCGCCAGGCACGCCTCCATACTGAGCAGGTAGTGGAAGTCCAGGAAGAGGCTGGCCGGGAGGTCCATAACGTGGGCGGGGACCAATACCAGCCTGCGGTGGGTATCCCATCATGCCGCGAGGACCGGGGCCTCCGGCGTAACCACCAGGGCCGGGGTAGAACATCGCGGGGCCATTGATGTATCCTCCAGGAGCGACGCCAATCACCTGTTGCATACGCATGTGGTTACGCTGCGCGATCTGGCTCTCGAGCTGTTGGCGGCGAACATCACGGCGCTGAGCCAAAGAGACGTAGAGAGGCTTCGAGCCGATCATTTTGTTGTTCATCTCGGACACAGCCTTGGTCGCCTCATCAGGAGAAGAGAAGCAGACGAAACCGAAGCCCTTCGAGACACCTTTCTCATCACGCATAACCTTGCAGCTGGTAATAGTGCCGAAGGCTTCAAATTCGCCACGGAGCTTGTCATCATCGAAGTCGTCATCGAGGTTCTTGATGTAAAGATTCACTCCCTGATATTTGTTCTGCTTCTCAGCGCGAGCTGCTTCGTATGATCTTCGGAGCTCCTCCTCGCGTTCGGCCTTCTTCTGCGCACGAGAGACATAGAGGGTCCTTCCTTTCCACTCCTTGTCGTGCAGCTCATCGACGGCTTTCTGCGCCTCTTCGTGCTTCTCGTAGTTGACGAAACCAAAACCTTTGTTCTTGCCGTCCTCATCCAGAGTGAGCACGAGCGAGGTGATGGTACCGAACCTGGACATCAACTCGCGGAACTCGTCCTCAGGAATCTCTGTATCGATATTTTTGATGTAAAGGTTGGTGAATTGAGCCTTCATCTCATCGATCTTGGACTGGCGTTCCTGTTGGTCATAATCAGTTCATCATAATCATAACCGACAGCGTGATTGCACCACTGACCTTGCGAGAAATGTGATGTCCGACATAAACCTTTTTATCATTGAGGAGCATACCGTTGACAGCCTTGATGGCGTTCTCGGCAGACTCAGCACTGTCATAGTGAACAAATCCATATCCCTTAGAATTGCCGTGCTCGTCGGTGGCAACCTTGCAGGACAGGACGGTACCGAACGCAGCAAAGGTGTCATGCAGAGCCTAACCCAATTGGAATCATTTACCAAGCGTCGGTCAGTTCTGTCGTCAGGAGGAAAACGCGAAAAAGCACAGACCTTGTTGTCGATACCCTCATCAAGATTTTTGATGAAGATATTACCTTGACCAGTCTTACGAAGTGCGGGATCACGCTGAGACCACATAATGCGGCTATTAACCATAGTCACTGAGTCAGCATAGACAATACAGAGAAGCATCAGTTAGCAAGTTACTTCTTACCAAGCACGATTCTTGATTAAGGAGTAATTAAGATTCTCAAGGGCACGCTCGCCTACGTTGAATGCAAACAGCGTGAGTCACCGGTCCAAAGACACAGCGCCATCGGGGGGGAGGACGTTCCGTACTCACCATCGGCAGCATTAATATAGTTAACATACGCATATCCAAGTGAGCGTCGGGTGACTGCATCACGGCAGACACGAATACTGGGATGCAAACCGAGTGAGACAACAGGGCCACCAAAAAGTCATAATAATTTTGTTAATAATGTGAACCTACCTAGCGACTGGACCGATCATGTTGAAGATCTCAAAGAGCATGGCCTCCGTTACCGAAGGATCGAGCTCGCCCACGTAGAGAGAGGCAGATGGGCCATGAGTGGATGGAGCTGACGCAGGAGGAGCTGCGAAACTGGGCACTGGCGCAGGAGGTGGGACCGAACTAGCGGCACCCTGCTGATGCTGCTGGGGCTCCTCAACGGGGACAGGTACAGGTGCAGGGGTTGCGGCGGCGGTCGACATTGAAGTTAAAACTGGTTTAATAAGGTTTTTGTCGTTACTGCTTTTGAAATTTATAAGAGGCGAGTTTGGAAGCTCGGATGGGATTTAAGGGGTCTTTGGGGTTTTTTAGATGTTTTTTTTTCTGAGTGGTTCAAGTCGGCAGAGACGACCTGGCGGGGGTTTTTTTTTTCAAGTTGGTTGAGAGTCCCGAGACAACTCGACGGACTTAACGCACTTAGGGGCGGGACTGCCGACAAATTCAATCGGAGGCAAAAGCGCGCAGCGCTTCGAACACCGCCTTAGGAGCAACGGCAGAGCCCTCAGCATCGAGCACACAGGAGATAGATAGCCTGGCCAAGGAGAATGATCACCGTTGTCGTTATCGTCATGCATGAATTAAAGGTGTAATAAGAAAATAGTAAGGTTCATCATCGCGGTAAATCGAGACAATAAATGTAACACTGCATTCAAGCCCCTCCTACACATGTCTACGCAACTCGGGCCAGGCTAACCTCGAGAGAAAAATGATTTTGCACCGTGCGTTGCCAGTTCCCCTGGATATCACCAAATCGTGATGATGCACCATTGACGATCATGAGTAACGGATCAGATGCAACGAGCACAGCACGAACCTTTTGCCTTGTCCAACGAGTGTCCTTGCGAGTTATGGTGGGCCCAAATCTACCATGCACATCAACGTTCGGCGTTCTCAATGATAGTAAGGTTTCAACGTGCCTGCCTATAACAGATCAAATTCCCCACGCCCTGTAAAGTCCAACCAACACTTGCAACGATGCCCAGTACACCGGCAACGATGTGCTTCCGGCTGAGCATGCTAATGGTTTGGATAATACCTGCGGAGCCCGTGGACGGTATACCAATGATCATGTAGATGCTGAAGAGAAGATGCCAGCCACAGAAGAAGAAATAGATGTCTAGACAAACGCCGAGTGAGAGACGGTAAGGGAGAAACAAGTATGACAGAAGATGGGTAACCTCGCAAAGAAGAAGGAACGTACAGTAGAACAGTGCTTGCTCCTTGCAGTTTGCAAAGCACGGGTTCAGACGCATATTCCCACAAGTCACTTTCATGCGGCGTACCTTCATATAGCCTTTGTATATTGGCCTGTTAATGGAGTGCTGTAAGTGCGCGGGTTCAAGAAGCATAGGAGCGCAGTGGAACCTACATGTACCACAGAAAGAAGGATGCTAACCCGATTATAGGTATATACCTGAGACGACGAACGTTTATTTAACGCGGAATGTGGACCCTCAGAAAACGGCACACCCTATGCTTGCCCCAAGGTCCTTTCCTCCATCACTGATATGTTTTGAGACAAGATGTGTGAGAAGCACAAGTAAACCCCAAGCTAAAATGGAAAATGACACTGACCTCGATCCAGCGATAAGAATGAAGATGCAAGCGACCATGTTCAGTATCAAGGTAGCGGCCAGAACAAGCCATAACTGATAAATCCTCGTGACAATAGCTCGATGCTCTTGAGGTATCTCCACGTCAATGTCGTGATAAATCAGGGGGAAGACTACGAAGAGGAACAATAAGCGCTATGCATTGAACGTAATTTGTGACACACATGGAGGCCAATTATTTTTCCCCGGGCCTCAAGTTGTTGCTGTGTGGCAGCAAGTTCAGCTTCTCGCCGAGAAAGGTCCCGCTCTCTCTGCTCAAGGTCGACATAAGGTGAAGTGAGTTCCTGTGGATCGTCAAAGGGATTTTGGTCAAGGGACTGTTTGGAGGCGAATGGATTCTCGGTTAATTGGCCTGAAGGCGTTCTTGCAAGTGAGTTCCAGGACTTGGAGGCGAGAGAGAATCACGGACTCATGATGGTATTCGTTACACTATCGCTAAGTGGGATTTTGAAGATGCTGCAGTGAGAACGTCACGTGATCTGATGTGACGCTCCACGATCAAAGGTTGCCCAACACCAACACAGAAACGCCATTTAGAACTATGTCAGGCAAAGTAGCTATCTTAAGTTGGGAGAAAAACCCAGAGGCCAGGGTCGGACATCCAAATCTGCCGGAAACTGGACCGAAAAGGCGGAGATTGTTTCGAGAATGACACTTAGACTAGAACGGACCGGGGAGATGGGCAATATTTGCTGTACCTCGGAGGTGTCGCGAACTCATTTGACGGATTGCCCCCGACAATTCTTATTCGTTTGTTCATTATACAGCAAATTGTTGCCTCATCTTAACCCATGAATTCATGAGTCATGACCACGAACTCAGAGGCTAGATCATAGAATGTAAGATAGAATGCGTCGGTATGTATGACGCGCGTACGCATGTTGTACACGTTTTCGCACTGCAACGCTAGTACTCTAGTGGTCGATGGCCTGTCAAAACCCATTTCTGGTCAAAAATACCAGGCTCTGTCTGGGACAGTCGAAAACCGTAATATGGTGGTTCTGGGATCTCAGACGATGCTTACGCGTGAGGCTAAGAGATCATCATTGTATATCTTGAGGAACAATATGCATGTAAGAGACAACATGGGCAATAGACAGCAACGCGGAGATAAATTCGGGGATAAGAGATAAGGAGCTTCCATTCATTAGTGTTGTTGTCATATGCGTTCTTTTGTTTTGTTGGTTCACCATCGGGCAGAGCATCGAGGGAATCCCAAATCTCATCTCAGAATGCTGTCCAGAGAAGGATTATGGCTTGGCGGATGAGCAGGTACCTGGAGAACATCAGCCACGTGTGCTTGCACCCACGCGGTCATCGAGTAGGCAACAGCTTATTTGTCCCCGGATATCCGTTATATAAGAAGCCAACGCCACTTTATCTCTTCGCGACCAACTTTTCCCCCTTTCTTTCTGCGTTTACCCACCTTCCCTCTGTTCCTCCTGGTTTTCATCCTACTCTCCTTTAAAGCACCTTTGCTCGCCGCTCTCACTCCTTAAAGACTAGCGACCTCAACCACCTCTCCCTTTGTTGAAACACCTCGAGGCTTCACAAGCCCTTCTTATTGCTTAACAACAGAAAAAACGATAACAATGTTCGCTCGCATTGCACTCACTTTCCTCGCTATCTCGATCGCCCTAGCGGCTCCTTTGAACGACAATTTCCCTCGTGGCTACTCCAAAGATGCGGACAAGCTCGAACCGTACCAAAAGTACCACACTCGTTATGAAGAGTTGGGTTGCAAGCATGAGCACGGCACCCACTTCTTCACCAGTACGTAGCCTCAGCTTGTCTATCAACATGACGTGCAGTCTGATTGGGATTTTGGCGACATCGTTCCTCCATTATTCATCCTGTCCGTAAATTTGTTGTGTATCGACTACGCCGTGCCCATAGTGTGTTGCCATCCGCTCCTCAAGAACGAATTGCTTTCTGCATTGCCCGACTATTGTGATCCTGATTCGTCGTACTACGACTGCCACGACTCTTCAACTTCGCCCGCCCCCACCCACACACCTTCAGAAGTTCCTAGCCCCCCAAAGCCTACCACTACCACTAGTACTACCTCACCCTCTCGTAAGCCTTCGACTCCGGAAACCACCACCACTCCTACACCGACACCTACACCGACACCGACCCCAAAACCCTCTTCCACAACTTCCAAAACACCACCCGCGCCGGTAACGACGCCAGTTGGTGACAACTGGAACATGGGTGGCTATGCCACATGGTTCGCGCAGAACAACAATGCAGGGTATGTTTCTCCATTGTAACTCTCTATATCATTTCATTGACTTGATGCCCATTGCAGCGCGTGTGGACAAGTTCATGGGGATGATGCCATGATCGCCGCGATAGATCATCACCGCTATGGTGATGCTGGCGTGAAATCTCCGTTGTGTGGCCGCCGTGTTAAGATCGTTGACACTGATAATGGTCATTCAGTCACCGTGACCATCGCGGATGACTGCCCCACTTGCAGCAATAAGAACTCGATTGATTTGAGCCAAGGCGCATTCCAACAGCTCGCTAAATTGGATATCGGGCAGCTTCCCATCAAGTGGATGTTCGTTGACTGACAGAACAATCCTTTTCCCATGGGTCGCACTTCGCTTCCTTCTGAGGGCATTTGATCCTTGCTGTTCCTTCTTGGCGCTCCGCTCTGCTTCATTTCTTGGGACACCCGTTTCTGTGTTTCGGTGTTGTTTGTCACAGTTTCTCATTCCTCCCGATTCCCTCAGTCACTCGGACCTATCCATCCTATTTGTTTTCTTGGCTTTTTTTTTTCTTTTTCTTTTTTACCTTGCAAGGCGTTGGACGCGCATACCCAGCCAAGCTTGCTTGGCATTATTCCTCTCACGATTTATTGATGTGCTGAACGCACGTGTTTGCGACGATCTTATTTGGTCAAGGGGTCTCCCCTTGCTACGGCATCGTTTTCCTTATAGTTGTTATTTTCATTCCCTTGGCAAATCACGAATGTTTGTAGGTAGCCAAAGTGGAGTTTGAATCAGAAGCCAAGAAACTTGAAGCGTCAAAGAGATTTCCATCATCATACCCATAGTGTTTCTTGTGCTTTGGTGAAGGCAACCTGTCTCTCTGTCTCGGATCTAAGGCATGCAATATATCTCATGGTGGCAACACTTCAAAGAACCATTGAAATAATTATATTACAGTAACCAGGGTACAGGAACGCATAGGATCCAGGGACTGAGTTGCGTATTTGTTGAGCATGAGGGCATTCAGCTATTGACGACGACGATGAGCCCCCAAGCCCAACGCGTAAAGCCCCCGTACCCTCGCGAGATCTCAACCGCATATATATATATCGGCACATTTTTTTTTTTTCAAAGTGGTGCATACAGACACAAATTCTCGTTTGCAAATGACTTATATAGCTGAAACTTCAGACCGTGAAAGTCAACGTCGTTGGGGATGTGCGAACCACCCAACGAGGGACTGCTTTTTGTGGAATTTTTTTTGAGGAGAAGTGAATTGATTACATAAGCTCAACTGACATCCCCTTAGGATACATGGCTTTTTCAAGAACTCAGCAGGAAGATTGGGCGTCCGATGCGCTGTCTCAGTCAATGATCCCATTGGTACCGTGAAGGGGATAATCATCCCACTCCTCCTTACAAACTGCGGGAACGTATACATATTCAATCTCTGATTCCCTGACCCCCAGTTGATATTGATTCATTAGATGCGAGTCTGTAAGTGACAACGTAAGACGTAGATACATGATCCCAGCTTGGTCCGGACGACAGGGGAACCTTTTTGATGCGTGCAAAAAAAAAACCTGTTTGCACCTCTCTCTTTCCTTTTTTTTTCCTCTAGCGAAAAACGACAGTATCCGGCCGAAATTTCTCATCGATCGGATGAAGGATAACTCTGTTGTTCTGGTTCTACGTAGGAGCGCTCATCACTAGCAACTGATGTCGGTCAAAAACACCGCCTTTATATGAAACGCTTTGGGGAATATGTGGTATGTATGACATGTACATAGTTTTGGGTGAGGACTCGTGCCGTACATCCGCACAGAGAGAGTGAGAGAGAAAGAGAGCGCAATATCTAAGGCCTGGGGAGCTCCGGAGTTCATGAGAAAGAAGTTCGGAACTCCGGAACGTTGGATGTGATTGGTTATCATAGAAATAGTGAGCTCATTGCTGCCCCTCACATCACTTGAAGCCCCCTCCCCCCCCCCCTTTCCACCCCCCCTGGGACTTGAAGCTCTGGAAAGCGTTTCGCATTGACTCTTGATGACCCTTTAGAAGTAGGCAGCTTAACTCTGGAGTCAGCTAATAGACAGAGGTCAGGTCCCAGGTTCTCTGGATCAATATAGGTGACCGAACGCGCGTCGGCGCGTCCCTCGTATACATGACAAAACGTTCCTCCCTTTCGGGGAGAAAATTCATGGCCACAGGTAGTTGGGGGAACACTTTTCCTCCGACGTCGGTAACAATAAATTGTTCATTCTCCCCTTGAATTCGACCATCTTACTTATGCTCGGCAAGGGAGGCCGACCAGTCAATCTAGTGCCAGGCATGCGTAGGAGGGGGGGCGCTCTACATCTGGGGAAAATGTTACCACAGATCACCGACCTATCTACAATGTCCACAACGTAGCAAACGAAAGGGCAACATCGGCCATTTGACGGTTTTTATGTGACTCAAAAAATCTCCATTTTTGGGGTAAAGTTCGGTGCTCGAACAGCCGGGGAGGGACCTTTTTTTCAAGGTATCGCTTACGTTCGTCCCACTCTCATCCTTGCGGCCGCCGTGCTTGATCGACGGGAGGCTGCGATGACGCTTTTGGATTGTGCCACATGTCTCTCGACTTTTTACTAAAGATGCGCTGGCATGAATGCTACAAGTGCTTCTCATCATTACCTGACTCAAGCTGTATTGCTTTCTTGATTTCTGCTTTCGACCGCAACTCCGCTAATGCTAGGATGCATCTGTTCAAGCTCGAGACCGTCGGCAACGGGCATCATCTCCTACTTTTACGTCTGAAACGAGATTTGGCGCGGTCCCTTCAGTCCTGATGGGCTTCCCAGGTTTCGCATCCAGGTACTTAGGTCTTGTCCTGCTTCGAATTTGTCAGTCTTCAATTTAGCGGACCAGCACCGCGTGCGTTCCTTTCACCCCATCAATTCTATCGTCCGTGTACATCAGAGGGAAGTGTCCCCGAGAGTTCTGTTGGCCCTTCAAAGAGTAGCTTTTGATTATCACAATATCAACAAGCCAACGATCTCCTGTGTCCCCTTCTCGTCGCCGCCACCGAAGGCTGTGTTCTTGGGCTTACATACGCTAATCCCCTTTTTGGATATGCATTTTGTTCCAGCCACAACCTGATGATATCCCTGCCCGCAACGTCCGGAAAATCGTTCTAAGGGACTCGTCGGTGTGGCTGACCGACCATCTCCGCCGGGTTTACCACATGGACCCCCCCACGATGAACTTTTTCCATGAGGTGATGTCGACGACCTCGGCCATTTTGTTCCTGATGCTCGGGCTGTTGATTCGGTCATACCGCAGGGCCATTATTAGGTTTCCGGAGTTTTGAAGAAAAGCTTCCGCCTCCGCATTGTTCCTTATGACACATGTCATTCGAATGAATGATGACTCGAATCGATGCCCCTTCAACCCGGTGATTCTGGCCTGAAGCAACGCTTTTGTTATGATTAACGGCATGTGTATGGGACGATTAGGTCACAATGATTCCTTTTGGTACATAATCTTCCCTCAGGCGATTTTTCAAGCTGGACTTGAGGGGGCCAATTTTCCAATGATTCTCTTGCCCTTGCTCTCTGGTGGCAGTAAAATCTTCCCATATGTTGTTCGCGGACATCAAGTGCGGCACCCTGGTGGCCGTCGTGGTTTCCCCGATGTTCTTCCTGGTCGCACGGGTCTATTCTCAGGGTGTCGAAAAAAGGCCGGCCCCCGAGTTTTGTTGAACGGCACCCATCCAATAAGGTTCATCGATTCCCTCGTTCGTGTGCTTTGTTCATTGACAAAAAAAAAAACAAAGCAAAACAAAGCAAAAAAAAATTGATACCCTTCAACGGAATGTCCGACGCCATTGCTCAAGTCCGGCCTGGGTGAGACATGGGCGGGACTTTTTTCCGTGCTTTTCTGATGCACCGAATGCCATTTTTAATGCATGCATCAATCATATCAAATACTGATGATTCTACTCTCGAACACGAAGCAAAAGTGTATTGAGATGCAAATTGCTTTCTACTCTGTGGCTAGACTTTTGCCCCATATGATCGCGCTTCGTGCGGTTAAGCCGATTTTCATGCCGATCAAAATCTCGCTTAGTGGATCTATCCTTGCGCAGCAAGGAATATTGGGGGTACCTTTGAGCTTCAATCGAATGTTTTGGGTACAGATCTCTCCCACTTGGCTCCGTTCCCCTGACAGCTGGTTTGCATTGAACGGTGCATCAAGGCCATTGTCATTCATGCATCGTGTCCATCAGCTATATCGTCCTCTAGCTCTGCGCGCGCGTGTTGGTTACGCCTCCTGTGACCCAAACTACTACGGCGTTGTGGAGGTACGGGACATCCCGAGCGACTTGGTTTGTAGGGGCTTCTACTTGAGCCTATTACATTCCCCGAATATTCTCGGTCAATCGATCCGCTGAAACGTTGAAATGGAATCGGATCAGCTCTCATTATTGAACTGGGTATGATTTGGTGACCATTTATGGTAAAAGGTTTGCCAACAGTAACCTTCTCGCTCACTATGTTGAAGAGGTGCATCAACCCCAAAGCTACAAATAGGTTAGTTGATAATAATAGGCAATCTCGATTTGTAGGTGAATCTGCCCAGACACTGAGGGCTCATCTTCTGGTTTTATGCATCGCACATTGCCGATCCGCACTCTGAGGATCGACCCGTTCATTGTTCGGTGAACATGGTCGCTATCTACAACCCTTTAGGGGGATCAGCAATTGTAAATGGTTCTTGCCTACAGACCAGCTGGTGCACGGCATCAGCATTAATATTCATATATGTATTTGACTGAATCAAAGCAAATCACTTGGGGGCGCGCGTGCGCGCCGCGCGCCAGGTCCCCTACATAGACTCTGTCTCTCACACCACTTGTATGACGATCTCTCACCGAGCCTATTTTACCCTAAAACAGGCTGAGGTCATCATAGATCGGGCTGGTTACTGGTATAAGTGTCGTGCTTGATTACTCGGAATTACTTCGCATCTGTTAGTAGTCATTAGCAAATTACTTTGCTCCATCCCGTTCGTTCTGGGCCCAAACAATCGTCGTTACAGGGTTTGCCGTGGGCGCAATGGAACCCTGCCGTGCACTTGTGGAGCCTAATTTTTAAGTAACGCGGAGCACTCTGGAAGCGTCCAGGTATGAGGCAACCCAACCTCTCGGTGCAAAACGACATTACGAGTGCGTTGATTTGCAAAATGACAAGCAACCCATTGATTGACCCGATCTGTAATCTTATATGATCAACTCTGCAAGCAGCCCTGCTAGAATGATGAATCTCCCGGTGATCTTTCTTAATCCAATCCCACTCGTCAGACGTGCGTCCCTGGGACGTGTGTTGCTCAGTTCGATTACATACACTGTGGGTAATCATCCACTTATTGATTCCTACATACATAAGTAAATATCAAGTATATATGTACTTGACCTTCCGCTGCCGTGCGCTTGAGTTGCTGAGAGTTGGAATCACATCGGTGACTTCTTTTCAGATCCTTTTTACACTTGAATTAGAGTTCGAAATTTAATTAAGTCGTGAGCGGGGTTGGGGGGTGGTGACCGCGGTTATGTAATCGCGGCCAACTTGGCGAATCTGCCTCTGATTTCCATTTTATTTTACTTTTTGCGTTCGCATCGGTTATTTCGGACAATGGGGCGGGAGGGCGTGGAACAAGGGGCGACCTTTTGGTCATGCAAGCCAGATCTGGAAGAACAGTGATTCTCCCAGTGCCGTTCCGCTGATCTTTTTAGGAGCTCACTTTACTTACATTACTAGTACAAAGGAACATGTGGCCAGAACTCCTTTGGTGGCTGGCAACTCAACCTGATAACCTTTTGGTACCTTTTGGACACTCACTTCATTGGCAAGGTTAATCGCAGTGGCTTGACCCGTGCCCGTGTTTGCTTTGCCGAGCTAGCATTTGCTTAATTTGACGCGCGCGTGACTATGCATGATCGATTACTCATGATCATCCATTGCAACGCTTGCGCCTATTTGTTCACTGGATGGAAGATCGTCGGTCAACAATCTCTCACCCATGTCTCTCCCTCATTTCTCTGTAACCTGTTGGTGTTTCCTTGACTCCGTAAAACGGGTTAAAATAAATTCGTCCGCCCAACACAAATATAGCTCATTACAACCAAAGCATCAACAACGCGTCCATTTGAGCATATAGCTTTGGGCACTTTTTTCAGAGCATTGTTCAAAGAATAGGACAGGGTTGAGTTCAGGAGCTGCTATTTGCTTTTTATTTATTTTATTTTTGGGTGGTTCGATCTGGGTATGATATATCTGATGGCCTTCCCGCTTCCAGCAGTTAGTTATTGTCAAATTCATTCGCAGCCGTTGGCGGGATCAAGGATCAAAAAAGATGGACGAGCCTGGCCGCGCTCGCCAAAGTGTGAGTCAACCCACTCTTGAACCACTTGTCGGGTTTTTTCATGCGCCCGATATCAGAAAACAACCGCCGATGACTGACTGACTTGCACTGGTTCGCCCTCCGTAATCAAAAGATAATCAGGTCGAATGCGATGGTGGCCCCTCGCGAGTTCGTGGAGCGGGAGGCGATACTGTAGTTTTTTTTTAAAGATGCTTCCTGATGCCATCAGGTGTGGTGGTATTGAGACGAAAACGGTGTCGGGGAAGGATGACTGATTTTGGTGCAGGCCGTGAATCTCTTATTTTTTTCTACCGCGCTTGACGGGAAAGTATTTCCAATTGAGAAAAAAAAAAAAACAAGGTCTGATGCATGAATGCGAATGAGTGTGTAATGCAAACATGAAACACATCTCGTTTCTGGTTCATCACAAAGCACTTACGGGGTTCTTTTTGGAATACATGGACAATTCGAAAGCTCGCGCTTTGCGTGCGCAGCTCTGAGAGTTAAATTTGCAAGTCAGCTTCCGCACAAACCGCTCGCCACGGAATATGCCGGGTACATTAAGTGAACGCTTTGGTTTGGCAAGAGATGACCGATTGATCAACTCCTCAAGGACGTTTCACTCGTTCTCACTGAACCCTGATGAGTGATTTAATACGCACTCAGAATCAGGTTTCTTGGGGATGACCTGATTTAGTTGCACTCTTAAATCACCCATTTCTATTCCCCGTCACTCCATTTTTTTTTTCCTTTCGATCTCGCTTCTCTAGATTTGTGTTTTTTTTTTTTTTAAAAAAAAAGAAAGAAATACGATTTCCTTCCGCTCGAATTTCAATACTACGATACTATTGAGCGGGTGGCGTTTGTGAATCCCATTGTATTCTTTTCACCTTTTGATATGACTTTGTCGTGTGGACTCTCTTGGGGGCGGACCCTCACTCGTTTTTTGCATAAATAAAGGCGCTTTCAAGGCACCTCTGACGCTCCCCATCTAACTCCTCCAACCTACACACACACCTCTCCTCTCTTCTTCTCGGGTCACCGCATACATCCACTACCATGCAACTCACTCAGCTCAACAAGCTCAGCATTATCGTCTACGGTCGGGGTGCATACATCCAGGACGAGCTCCATCAGCTTCAAAAGAGGTGCAATGTACAGGTATGTTTAATCAACGTCTTTCCAAGAAACGTGTCACTCAGGCAACTCATATCTGTGTCTAGTTCGTTCCCGAGCAGGCAACGCGCGAAGATACCATCGATTGTTTCCGTGACCTCGCCGCCCATGGGACACACGACGTCGTACTCTTCTTGTCTGCTGTGAACGCAGCACCGTTCGATGTCACTCTTTTGGGGTGCTTTATTCCTTCTCTGCAATTCGTATGCGGACTCGGTGCTGGTTTCGACCACGGTAAGCTACTTCGATTTTTTTGTATAGACCTTATCGCTCATACATCTCCCACCCTCGCTACTTCCCCATTTCGCAACGAACTTTGAAGTCGACGTCAAATTCTTAACCGCCAATCAAGTCATTTACGCAAACTGCCCCAATGCCGTTGCAGATCCAACGGCAACAGCGACTGTCATGCACGTGCTTCAGGCGGTTCGCGGAGCGTCACAGGCAGAAGCTGTTGTGCGGCGAGGTGAATGGCGGCTTGGATTGGAAGCTTCACCAGACGTTCGGGATTTGACTGTGGGTATCGTTGGAATGGGAAGCATCGGAAAGGTATGTTTGTTGCTGTAAACAGGGTCACCAGGTCCCGCTCAACTGACCGCTCTTCGGCTGACCAGTTAGCGCAAAGGAAGCTCGACGCTTTAGGATTTCAAACCATTTATTATAACCGCAGACGGTTATCTCCTTCGGGTAAGATTCGATAAATCTATCCAGGTCGTAGGGAGGGGGACCCTTGGCTGACCCTGCATTTGGATGTAGAGGAAGGCACCGCTCGCTACGTATCGTTTGATGAATTGATTGAGACAGCCGACGTTATCTCGCTACACACGCCTCTTACGAGTGAGACTCATCACCTCCTTTCGGATGCGGAGTTCGCCCGAATGAAGGACGGTGTCTTCATTGTGAACACGGCGCGTGGTGCAGGTGGGTCATATCTCTCTCATCTCATCTTTACCACGTGATGATGTTAACTCACTTATTCTCCTTTTCTAGTTATCAATGAAAAAGCCCTGGTTCGCGCGATGCAGTCTGGTAAAGTCAGCCGCGTGGGTTTGGATGTGTTCGAGAGGGAACCCTATGTTGAGCCATATCTACGAGCCTCGGAACGTGCATCGCTTGCACCGCATTGGGCCACTCACACCACCCGGACCTATCGCGACATTGAGCGTGAGCTCTTTGCGAACCTCGTCAGCTGGCTTAAAACTGGAAGACCTAATACCTCAGTTAATGATCCTCTGCCTCGGGAGGTGGTGGTAGGGTGGTAATCAAAAGTCATTCGTGGTTCTCACTCGCTTTCGCTGTCGCGGAGAGTTTACATTATCCCCCCTCCCCTCCACTATTAGCATTCCCTTGTCACCGCGATCCGAGCAATACGTCTCACATCCAGTTGCTTTCAGCCCACATAGCATTTTAATATCATCTTTATCCATCCATATCTATCTGCATCTGCTGCCCAATCCCCTGGATTAGACTTGATTTCCACCACGATTATTGTATCATTTCCTTAATTACACGTTTTGTAGTTTTTTTTTTTGTTGGCACTGATGATTAATTCTTGCAAATCCACTAGTTACAACTGATTGTCCCCATGATCACTGTGTGAGCGATGACTTGCTTATCTCGAAACTGACGACAGGGGTGTTACCCGGGTTGATGATAACTTACATAAGGGGGTACGCTTGCAACAAGTATTACATAATGCACCAACTGTTGCCGCGTTGCGCGTGCGTCTTGGTTATATGCGTCGCGACATATCAGGACTTTCAGGGAACCTCACTGTGGGGAACATACCCAATTTCTCGGCGGTCGAACACTGTATTCACATCCTGCCTTAATCTATCAATACATGACCGGAGTTCGGTGCTGATACGCCTTCAGTGGCATGGGAAATAACGATCCTTGTGTGTTATCGGACTGTAACTCCGCTTCCCACGCTAATCCGCTTTGAGGTATGGCATGTGTAATGTTGTTGGGTGAGTGTCCACAATGAGCGCCCATTCGGGCCATCAGGTGGCGTCCGAGCGCTTTATCCTGCTGACTGATACCATCATTTTCATCCCCGTATATATGTTCGGGGGGTCTAAACTTTGTTGCTCTCCCAAGCTCTGTGGGCGCCGCTATTGTCAAGTCGGCAAAATATTAATATTGTCCTTCTTCCCATGTAATCTGAACGGGTGCGAACGGGATTTCACACCAACTCAAACAATCTACTATCATGCCTCCGTGCATACATGCATCTCCACATGTTTGCTGCACACACACACTTCTTATGTTAATCCTGGAGTGTTGGGGATTCACTTGCTTCGATCTTTTGCGCCGATGGCCCGGTATTTGTCTCCTTGCGGAAACTTCAATTGCTGTGTCTGATTGGCAGGAACAGCCCCAATCAGTTGGTCTGATCAAGCCGATCAGACAGTCTTAGTTCAACCACGAAGTATGCTTTGACGGTGTGTAATGTTAGCACTTGGTGCTAATAGTAATCACTAGCTTGGTCAGTTCATGCTGCTCGGCGGAGGAGGGTGGCCGGGAGTGCCTCGTTACAGGGGTTTGTTGCATAGGCTATGCCATTTGATTGAGGACTCATTTCCAGGTCTTTGGCATCTCTTGGAATCGTACTATTCGCCGTTTGAACGTCATCAATCTATGAAAATAACTATCGGAAGGCCAGTGATGTCTGCACGGCGTTCACAGCTGATGCCGTTCATAACTACCTCTTGAAGCAGTTTCAGTGAAATTCTGGGTCTGGTGATGCTAGTCAGCACTCCACGTTGAACCGAGTTTCCTATCCGTAGTATTCTCACCATGAGGACATCCGGTCCCATCGCCCGCACTACAACGTGCATTCTATGATTCGTGGGCGCTTTGTGTACCCGAATTTCAGATGATCTGACGTGTTGAATTTTAGACCTCGTGTCCAGTTCCAGTTGCCCCCCACGCTGTCCATGTCGAGCCACAAGGCAAATACGATTCCTCTACCTTGCGATCCGTGGCCGAACTGGCATGCGGCGGGTTCGGTCTTCGCGCCACATCCATCACTTCGCAGGCGGTAGGGGTGTCTTCCTTCACCTCTCCTACTCATGTTGTATGTGGCTGTAATTGGCGGTGTGTGAGAGCATTCCCCATGCCATCAATTCGAATAGCTTGCTACTCTCCTCACACAACCTCAAGAGGCAAAACTTGCCCCCCATACCACAAAAGTTGCTTTTCGTCCAAGTGACGGATGATCCCACAGTAGAAAAAGCATGTGCAAACATCTCGGGGCATATTGATGAGCCAGCTGATTAGGTGTCGTGTAGACCCGGTTAATCAGCGCCCGCGTCATTCTTCCTAAGCTTGATCTGCAAAGATTCCGGGACATCTTTACCCTTTTGCCTCCCTTCAGCAAGGTCGCAGCGTGAGAACTGGCAATGTTGGTCCAGGGAATGCTCTGCGCTTGTTTAGTGAGAAGCTATCCGAGGAAATTCCCTGAGCTTTCGCAATACGAGAGTTTGGAGGGGGGGAGAGGACTTCTTCGGTCGATCATTTCTTGGTCCATTCACTGTCCCGCGTTGCCGTTTAAATTGAGGTACGCGTCCCGCGTGCCAGCGCCCCCCCTCATCTGCGCCAGACGATAAACAAGATAGTCATGAATTGAGTATTTCCCAATCAGTATCCTTGCTGCTTTAGGCAACACAGATCTTGGCCAAGTAGGCGGACTTTCGTATCTACAATCTCAGAGCCCTGGAAACGCGGTCAACACGCACCGCAAGATGCACAGCTTTGTGCATTCACACGCTACGCGAGGTAGCACTTGGCCTTACCGATACCTTGGGCTTGTCTCAATGTCTGGGTCTTGGGTTATGTATGTAAACATGCCAACCCTGTTGGTTCGAGGCCTTTTCCGCGCCTTCCGATAAGCGGCTCCAGGGTCAAACGAAAAAGTAGGGGAAATCTTCATGACACGTTCGCAATAAATACAGCAATTACGGTTCCAACACACTGGTTGGCCCCACAAACATGATTGATCGAGAACGCGGTTGGTAAGGGTTTTTTGAGTAACAGCGGGCTGGATTAGAGCCGAGACCCTAGTGTCCTGGGCATGCGAATGGATTCCAAATTAGTCACTGGCCTAGAACTGGTGTTTCAATACTGCTGAAGATACGACGAAGCGGGGCGCTTCCCGAGTCCAGACTGTACAAACACAAGGATACCATATGAGGGAGTGGCTACTGGGCAGATATGGAAGCCACTTACGGCATCGTACAATTCATCAATGACTTTCATATTTGCAACGGAGTCTTCTGGAGTCACCCAAGTTTGAGGTGTCCGATTCTTGACTTTGTCCACGAACGCTTCGAGTTGCCAACGATACCTGACGCGAGAAAAAGCTGACAATTCAGTTGGCCTCCCAACGGCGGGAAGTCTTACGTTGACCACCATGCCTCTCCCTTCGGCGCGTCGGGCAGCTTTTCACCAGTGTAGGCTTTGATCGTTTCCGTTTCTTTGCCCTTGGTAATTGTTATGGAGTGGTAGACAGTGGGAACGAGAAAATTATTGATGTGAATCTCCCCTTCGTCGCCGAGGACGTTGACGGTGAACGTAGGTAGGCGAGGAAGCCAACGAAAGAATGGCAAAGGGCCAAGAATACTGCGTTTTGGCATGGAAAAATCGCAATATATCGAGGACGTCACGTCGTTCGACATGTCAAATATCGCCCGCAAGCTTCTGTCAACACGGGCATCATGCAGATGCCTGTTAGGGCGATCTTGAGGATATCTACTGGCTCCGCTCCCAAGACATAACGCACGCAGTTAATGGCGTAGCCTGTTCAAATAACTTGAGAAGTCCAAACGATGGAGAAGCGGGGCACAAATTCTTACATCCCAAGTCCATAGTTGCCCCCCCGCCTAGCTCGTATTGATATCGTATATCGTCCTTGCTGAAGATATTGGGTACGGCCATTTCAGCATCTGCGCCTGTAATCTTCCCAATCACTCCGGAGTCAACAAGGTTCTTCACAGTCTGAATTGCCGGGTGGAACCTGAGACAGATCGGCACTCAGCCCACACTTCAGGAATCAGGGAGGCTCACCGGTAATGAAATGCCTCAAGGAGCACTAGATTCTTCTCCTGGGCAAATTCAAACATTTTGATGGTTTCTTCGGCTGTATTCCCAGAAGGTTTCTCCAATAGAACATGCTTTCCAGCTTCCAGTGCTTTCATGGTCCATTCAAACTAATAGTGGCGACGATTAACGGGTTGGAGGTGGCTGGTTAGGCCCAGGAATGCGTACATGAAGGCCTTGTTGAATGGATTCCAGTTAGGAATAAAAGTTCGGCAGCTAGAGTGACTGACGCACCATTGGGAAGCTATCACGGAGGAGACATGACGAGGACTGTGAGAGGCAACTAAAGGTGGTTTGGTTTCCCACAAACTCACGGGGTTATAAACAATGTCAATGCTGGGGTCATTCAACAGATCTGTTGTTGCGGTGACATGAATCGTTTAGAATGAGCCTAACATCGTCACAGGCTGACATGTACCTTGGTAATTTTTGAATACCCGAGGGATCCCATGCTTCTTTGCAAAGGCTGATGCTCTAGCCCATCCCTGGCGGCGATTCCCTGAGTTTCGTTGAATGTCGAGCAACTGGGGGGCGAGCCAGAGATACATACTTCAATGACCACTCCCGAGTGGGAGCGAGATGGATATATGATGGAATATGGGGCAATTTTCGCGGCACCCAATATCCCAATCTTTAGAGCATCGTTGTCTTTTGGGACGGTTGGTGGGAAGAAGAACTTGTAGATATGTCATGAAGGATTTAGCAATGGGACTTTGTGGTAGTTCGGACATGCTTACACGGTAAATCCTAGCCAAGAACTCAATGGCGCTCGCCATTGTGTGTCCTGATTGTCCCACCAGTTACTGCAATTGGGGCGCTCGAAGTTGCTGTGCTGAACCCCAAGCAGGGATGTTGCCGTGTTTGAGAGAACCAACACTGCCACCCGCGCCAAAGTGCCATCACTCGTTTGATCATCTCAGCACTGGAACTCATTCGCCACGTCGCCTCAGACACATTCGGGGTTTAGGACGGACGGACGCTGTCTCTTTTTTTCAACACGGGCGCGTTCTCGTTTCGTACTCATGTCTGCAAGACAATCATATCTGAACACATCTTCTTCACACTTGCCACATAGTGGCTCAACGTTCCCTAATAGCGATAGTTCACTGCCGAATCCTGAGCTTACACCTTCCTTTGATGCAATGAACGACGTTCCTTATCAGAACCCTCATTATCTGTCGCCGGTACCACACCACAAGCCCGCACAATCAGCAAGCCAACTATCTCTCCTTATGTTGATGATGGTACCGAGCATCATCTTAATGCTGACCATAATTTCGCCCAGCCGCTGGTTAGCAGGGGAAATGAACCCGGGTTCCTTCGTTCTCTCATTCCCCCCTCCATCGCGTGTCGTTTGTACCTCAGTGTAGTCCTGCTCGAAACCTTCATCGATCTCGTTATTGAAGGAACACTTTTAATCCGCGTAAACAAAATGATCAATGTTGAAACGCAGCCTTCCGAACACGATAACGCCACCCTTTTAAGGAGCAAATTACCTGTGCTGCTCGTGATCTTCTGCCTTGCACACATTTTCCAGTTCGCTTTTGCCCTGGACGCTGTCATCCATCAAAATGTACTCCAGTTCATTTTCCTTGCAATTTTCAATGCACTCTTCTTCGTATGTAGAAAATCACGCACCTGTCGCCCGATTGCTTCTGAACATCTATCATATAGGTATACTCTGTGATGCAAATTTTCGAAGTACAGGTTGTTGCATCAGACGTCCGGGCTTATGGCATACCAATCAGCGCTCTCACGGGTGCAATCCCTGTTGTCATTGGGATTGCTCAAATTGCGTACATGGCCCTGGGTTGGCGGATATATAAGGAATTTGGGTGGAACATCTACAAGCAGATTGGAGCGGATCGACGCATAAAAAAGCTCTATGCGCAGTACCAGATCTTTGAATGTTTGGTACGCTTTGATGCTTTTTTCTGGCTTGGCTTCTCGGTACAGGTGCGTTTTTGCGTGTTTCTCTTGCCCTGTGTTTCTTATGATATTGTCCAGCTTGTTTCGCTTGTGCTTGAAAAGGGGGATTTTGAGTTCTACCTTACCATTGCGGCTTTTCCGTTATCAATGCTGCTTCTGTTAGAAGGCCACCTAGCTGCGAGATACGAGAATCGGACAATGATGTCCTTTTTTATCTTTGGGCTGATTGCCGCGCTTGTATACTTTTCGTACAAGGTAATAATGGTCTCCGTTATTGTCATGGCACCACCACCAACACAACCATCGTAGCTCTTCCGAATATGGACTCAGAAACGCACCGACATGTTCAAGGATGTCTGGAAGTCGCTAACTATTTTCTGTAAGCATCATAGAGTTGCTAAACTGTTCAGGATATCACTGACATTGGGACGCGTTCAGCGTGCATATCCATTGGTCTCCTCATCATCACCCTAATTTGGAGCTTTCTTGTGTTTCGCGATTTTGGCCTGGGGCTGAAAGAGAACAGTGTGTACCATGGTCGCCGATGATGTATCAAAACAGCTTCTGACGTGTTTTCATACCACAGTGGACAAGCACAATTCGAAAAAACGTGGGACCAATGAGATGGAGATGGGCACAAGCGCTGCCAAACGGCGATATCCGCCTGGTGCAAACCGGAACCGTATGAGCATCGAATGACCCTTGTTCATCATTTTTGCTGTGAACCGCCCTTATCTGCGAGTTCGGCTTTTCATCATCCCACATTTCCCTCACTCGGATATCAATGTGCTAGTATTGTAAATCATTCGTAGTCATCCAGTTTTCCACATGCTTTCAACCCTCAAAATCTTTCAGGAACGGGCCACTGAGATTCACACGTAATTGTGCTGATGTAATGGATGAGGACACTTGAGATTTGGGAGGACCGTCTCAGCTTTCGCTGTCGTGTCGGGCCTTGGCGGCAGCCGCCCCAGATTTCGTCATTTTATATAAAGAGTCATCGTCAGAAATTTTCACTGGCGGCAGGACACAATGGCTCCAACCTCGACCGACGCAATAGCTGTCGAGACGAACTACACAAATGAGAACCGCAAGTTTTTTGACAACAACATGGATTTTGTCAAAGCGTTCGAAGCGAGCCCCAAGGGCCAGGAGATTGCAAGGGTCATCAGCAAGGCTCTGCTTGATGCGTATGAATTTGACGAGGAAGAGACGATCGTCATGGATTATGCCTGCGGTTCGGGTGCGTTTTCCACGATTCCTATTACTTCGAGTATGATGTGCTGAGAGGACTGTCGTAGGACTCGTGTCTCAGGGTCTGGCGCCGTACAGTAAGGTGATCGTCGGGGTTGATATTAGTCAGGGCATGGTCGAATATTTTAACAAGCGAGTGATGGAGCAAGGTATCTCGTCTGACGAAATGCGGGCTGTGTGTGTTGAGTTGAAAGGCGAAGATGGAGAGTTGGAGGGTATGGAGTTTGACGTAGTTATGGTACGTTTCAATCTTTATATGAAACTCTTCTAGAGCCGGCTTGACGATAATATCCTAGTGCGCGCAGGCTTATCACCATTTACCTTCGATCGAGGACACTACCAAGATACTAGCGCACTTCTTGAAACCAGGAGGAACTTTGATGGTTGTGGACCTCGCAAAGAATGAGAATGGAATCGATTTTCATGATTATGTGGGGAAATTGGCTGATTCGGGCGCGACTATGGAAGACGTCCTATGTCACGAAGCTCACCAGGCTCACGAGCACGTCGATGGGAATGGACATGGGCATGGACATCATCACGCGGCTGCCAAACATGGCACCAAAATCTCGCACGTCGTCGCACACAAAGGTGGTTTTCACGAGCATCAGATTCGGAAAGCGTTCGAAGAGGCGGGGCTGCAGGAATTTCAGTGGAAGATCGCCGGCGCTGTGCAACCGCTGAGAGGTCCACGAAGTGTAGATCTCTTCCTTGCTACAGGGCAGAAACCCGAGTGAGTCAGTTGGGTGTACATAATTCGTGTGGGAATGTTTGCGCGCGTGTAATGGATAGGTGGTTTCTAGGTCTGTGCACTCCTGCCTCATGTTGAACTCTGGCCAATATATAGGACATTTAATTTGGCCCGCACCGTATATGTAGATGTCGCGACTTATCTCGAAAGCGGGCATTGTCCTGCATCGCGCCGATCCCCAGAGCATGTAATGTGAAAACTTTGAGCTGAAATAAGCACGCCCGCCATGCATTCCTTATGAACGATCGATATATCCGCTACAGCATGGAATATTCGTTGATCGAGTGGAATATCGTTCCTGTTGACTAGACAATTAACCACCAATATTATACCATTACCATTTATGGTTTAACTCCCACTTCAGTGGGGATAGCCGTCAGTGTTCTGGCACTATTGAAACTGGATGTTTCTTTGAGCCCTTTCTTTCAAGTCCTTGATGCCCCGACCATAACCCTATGGTACAGGAGGCCACGTTTAATCTAGTAAGTGCTGTACAACACTCGCGTCATGAGGGGCCAATTATCAGTCATTCGGCAGACTCTGCGGGACAGCTCGCCTCTCTGGCGATGGAGCAATATTTCGAATGTGTCGTCGGCTGGTTGGACGGTGCTCTGTGCGAAGCAGACAATAGTAAGCAACTCGTAGATTGGTACCAAATGGCCTCTTTTTATCCCGTTCAATAGTCGCCACGGTGCGATGAACACGAAGCCCACTTTACGACTGCAGAAGGTGTGGGAGTCCAACTGACATTTACAGGTAGGCCGTCTTATGGTGGTCTTTTCGAAATCTCGGTACTGATTTCTTTCAACAGGAACTGCCATTGCCGTCTACGCCAACACCACAGGGGGGATGGAATGGGCCGCAACGCTTGACGGGACTACTCATTTCTCAAACGAGACCTTTGTATACAGCCAGTTGCTTACATCCTTCAGCGGACTAGCCCCTACATCCACGCATAATCTTACTATTCGGATAACTTCAGCTCCGTCAGGTTCATCCATGACCTTTGATCGGGCTGAAATCACCGTTAGCACTGGATCGCTCGGGTGAGTGAGGGTTGTTCTATGATCGGCTCAGCCCTGGAGAAGACTTCTTTTCCTGATCCCCGTTTTGCCTAGGTTGGGCACTACAAGCACGTACATAGATGACTTGGACTCATCACTTGCTTGGAAAGGCTTTGGCACTTATCCCGAGTACACCGATACTGTCGTGCCTGCCACGATCAAAAATACAACATTCCATGCATCGAATGTGCTAGGAGAGACTGTCAGCACCACTTTTACCAATGTATGTGGGTTTACATTTGGCCATTAAACGTTGCATGCTCACGTCGAGCTTTTCATCGCAGCGAGTGCAGTAATCGTTTACGGGCCTTGTTATTTGCAATGTGGGCCGTATAATGTCTCCTTTGATAATGATCCCGTTGTTTCATATAATGGATCTTTTCCGACAATCACCGGAATAATTGCGGAACAATGCGTGCGCTACTATCACACAATGCTTGATCCGGCACAACAGCACGGTCTTACGATCACAGCTGGTGCGAATGGTCGCTGGACTACCTTGGATTGGATAGAGTTTGTTCATGCGTCAAATTTTACTACGTCTAATCCCACAACGTCGAGTATCACTTCGAAACCGACATCGACTCCATCAGGCGGCGGTGGCTCGCATGGTTCTTCCAACGTCGGTGCAATAGCTGGTGGAGTTATAGGCGGGCTCACTGCCATCATTGTTGTGGCATTTCTCTTATTCCTCCTATGTCGTCGCCGGGCAGCCAGGAGCCCTCTTGACCCCAAGCACATTGGGCTATCTCGCTCCGGGCAACGTTCCAACGGGCCAGACCCTTCAGAAGGAGAGACAACCAATGGCTCTGCTCTTGTTGCGTCAGACCTTCCATTGTTCCCATCAGCCCCGCATTCGAAACGCACCATATAGCTCGCCAGCATCAAACTCGGCGGCACATACTAGTGGTTCAATCTATCCTCCATCACTTGAATCCCGCTCTCCAGTTCCACCATCAACCACCAACGAGCCTTCCTCCCTATCTCCTTTCACTGCTTCAGAATGGATGAGCGGGACACAGAGGTCACCTGTAACGGACATTCCCTCTTCCGCATTTCGCGTGAACGAGATGGATTACAGGCCTATTGAAAAAGGAGGTAGTATTCGCAGTCCCAACAATTTGAATCAGAGCGAAACCCACTCTGCCATCTCACCTGGTGTTGGACCGCAACCCCAGATATCGCAGATTACCTCATTATTGACACCTGCTACACACTCGGATCATACACAAGCATATACCGCATTGACTTCTTCCACTTCAATGGCACTTGCGCCAAGCTCAGGTCAAATATCAACACCACCAGCGTCTTTCCCACAAAACCCCAGCCTAACCCCCGCCGTTCAACCCCCACCGCCCGCACAACAACTGTCGAGTACAGGGGTGCCCAATCTGACACAAATATCGATGGACGTTAACCGCATATTGACGGAATTGGGCAAGTTACGGGTCACACCTGGCGAGCCCGTTGATGGTGAAGATGACCCTGCTTTCCGCGAAGGGTTTCCCCCTATATATGGAATGCATGATGCATCCCTCCATGAGGCATCACATCCCGGTGGTGGCCCTCGTCGAGTTAAGTTTGTTGGGGGAGATGAATGCGCATTGGATTTCCTTTCTTTCTGGTTGCCTACGTATGCTATCCGGTCTTGGGTCCCCGCTTATCTGATTCATATCGTTTATCGGGAGTAGCATTTTCGGTATTACTCACGCGTAGTTAGTATATGAAACTTCACTTAAGTTAAATTTTGCGCATGGCTCTCATTCATCGCCGCCTCTCGTGGTACCCGATAGACTGGCGCTGCATTGGCAAATCTGCTGTGTCCATTGAGGCAGAGAGCGCTCCAGATCACTGCTGGGATGGAAAATCCCTTCGCTCGGCAACTGAGCAAGTGCTACAGCTCACAATCAGCGGGAGAAGTAAAATCCAACGTAAAAATTGAATTCGATGTCCAAGTGACTTCGTTTTTCCAGAACTCTGACCAGAATAATGTGGGAAAGTCATGCTGGGACAGATACAATGCCTAACTGAACGAAGCAGTTCCTGTCGAATGATAGAGGAAAATTCGGCTAGAGCACTTAATGTGGACGGGGAGCATGCGACGACAATCGGGAGGGGATTTAAACGGCGAAAAATTTTTGACGAATTGAGGTGAACAGCAGAGGGAGGAGAGCAAAGTGAGCATGAGCTTGTCGGTTGAATGCATCTTAGCGGAGCAAGCGTAGGGGCGGGGGGCGGGTTCAGCGCTACATATTAAGGTCGAAAGCCAAAAGACGCGCCTAGCAGTGTGACTGGCGAGAGGCACACATTGAGATGTTAAATGAGCACTCGAAAACATACATATGCGCCCACAATGCGTGAGCAATGTCCAGCTGGAAACCATCCGCCCCCGGTGCATAAAGGGTGATCGTCTTGCGATTTCTTGCCGATGCCCTGGTAGCAGCAACGGGAGCCAAGATTGAAGCGACATACCGAAGTATTCAATATGTTCAGAAATGACAAACGAGGAAAGATCAACCTACCATCCGGGTCTCATTCCTATGAGCATAACCAGTCCTAGCATTGAACTACCTCCATGGGCTATCTAGGTGTCACCCAAACATTATTCCGTATTTATGCTAATGCCAATCTTGCGAAGGATGAGTCGGGCTAGCTCGGAATTGCACCGACGTTTGAGTCGTAGAACAGTCGTACTAACCGGGCTTCAAAGGAGACGAACGATTGCTTCCCTTCATGTCTGGACTTCAAATAGCAATATTGACTATAGCTTGATCATCTCTTCATCGATGTCATCGAGTCCTATTAGAATCCTTTTAGCTGCGTATATATTGGTGAAATCTACGCTTTAAACTTGCATGATGTGCTGCTGTGAATTGGGAGGCTCAGTTCACTAAACCGGTAATATCTTACCTGGGCGTGTATCTTGTTCTTTAACATTACGATCGTATTGCTGTTTACCCCTTGAGGATAAATATGATCTTTGCTTTTGCCCAGCGCATAGTTGCTGTCAAAATCAATCCCACTCCGAGCTTCGCACGCTTGCTTTCAGAAGTAACGGCATCTCCGTTCACCTCAACCTCAACGCATTTGGAAAGACAGTGGTGTGCCCGCATCGCTTGGGGATAGAGAGTCCGCCTCACTCTCCAATCTCACCCAACCCCGACCAAAAGATAGCAGAATGGGGGAAGTGGCACACAAAGAGAATTATCTGGTGTGATGGGTCATGGGACAAAGGCATTAGGGTTCCCCATGAAGAGATTGATATTGATCGTATTTTTCTTTGGTGGAACTTTTGCGATACATGCGTGCTTGGAGCGAGCAAGGGGTTCCCGAGTACAGAGCCGAACGACGGAATTAGTGATAATGGCAACCCCTTCGCGAACGGGGTAGTCTGGGTTGACCAACGTGCCATTCAAAGCTGAATTTGCTGTTAGCTGTGTGTTGTAGTATTCGGTTGGAGTGCGTCTCAGAGAGGCCGAGAATGCTGATTTTATTTTATACCGGGTCATGTTCCGTTTATGTCTGGTGGAGGGGCTGTTGGCCCGGCTTTCAATGTTGAGATTTCTTGCATCCTCAACCGTTGGGATCTCATGGGATGGGTTGCCAGACATAGATTGGGCAGACTGAGAAAGTGCGGCCTGTGGCCTTTGGCAGCATACGTGGCCTCCAGTGGCCCTTCCCACTGATCGTGGATATTGTTCATGGTGGGGTTTCATCGGTTCCTTCGAAGAATGACGAATCTCCCACATAGTTAAGATGTTTACCTCTTCGAGGAATGTTCTGAAAAAGGACCTTGGCTCTAAAATCCTTTGGGCAACGGCACCACCCTTTCGTTGAGTTGGCACTGAGGCCTCTCAACGTCACTACGTAGCTAGCGAGATGGTAGGACGGGAAATTGATGGCGATGAAGCATACCGACTTAGCCATAAGTGTTTGAAGGACGTGCCTTTTCTCCATTCAGCCATCAATCTCATGATGACGATGTGTACACTTCTACTTCCCTGTTGTGATTGAAGGGTACTCGCTGATCATCCTAGTGCTATCATGTGGATCTACGCAGCAGAACACTAGTCGCGAAGTTTGATGAAGATGACAAATGCCGCTGACTCTGAGCATGGGCCCCGATACTATGCAATTCAAACCCAAACAGGAAAATTAGTCGGCAGACACTTGGGACCAGTGTTGTTTAATCGATAATTTAATCGAGTGTTTATGGTCATTTTGAGAGTTAGAAAGCAAACAATGGGTTGGAATGACTATGGTATGGAATGAGTATGGAATGAGCCACCGAAAAATAATATACTTGTCACGGGTTCATGAATTATATGTCTGACTTGTCTGACTTGATCGACATACTCAGGTCCGGATTCAAATTTTGTATTACAAATGTAGAAGTCACGCTTTGCTTTCAATACAAAAGTCACATGCTACACGGGGATAAACCCAAGTCCGGGTTTGAGCATTTGCCGGAGTCTGGGGCCCATGCGAGGTTCCCATGCAAGAAAAATCTAGACACGTAAACCGGTTACTTTGGTATGAGGTCGGCACCCAAGCCGTTGTTGGGTCTAACCACTTATATATTACTTTGCATGCAACAAGAGTGTTGAGTGTTGCGGTTCAGATGGTGGAGTGTTAACTTGGGGTTTTCATTTTGAAGCCACGGGTTCGATTCCCACTGTGTAAATCTTTTTGTCTGTATTCCAACCTGGGCCAGAATACTTATATGAAGGCATGGATTCGGTTCTATTTTTTTCCGATGTTCCTAATTTACTGGCATTGTGCATAAAAAATTCCCACTGCAACCAGATGGGAATGCAAAAACCAAAAAAAAAAACAAACAAGATTTACCCCTAGTGGGAATCGAACCCATGGCTTCAAAATGAAAACCTCAAGTTAACACTCCACCATCTGAACCGCAACACCCAACGCTCTTGTTACATGCAAAGTAATATATAAGTGGTTAAACCCAACACCGGCTTGGGTGCCGACCTCATACCAAAGTAGTGGTTTACGTGTCTAGATTTTTCCTTTCTGCATGGGAACCTCGCATGGGCCCCAGACTCCGGCCAATGCCTAAACCCGGACTTGGGTTTATCCCCGTGTAGCATGTGACTTTTGTATTGAAAGCAGAGCGTGACTTCTACATTTGTAATACAAAATTTGAATCCGGACCTGAGTATGTCGATCAAGTCAGACAAGTCAGACATATAATTCATGAACCCGTGACAAGTATATTATTTTTCGGTGGCTCATTCCATACTATGGAAATACACATATAATTGCTCCTGGCTGCCATGACAAGAAACAGACAGTAGTTATCTCTACTTGAGAATTTAATCGTAATCGATTAAATTATCGATTAAACAACACTGCTTGGGACCTTCAGCTAGGTGCGATATGAGTCACCCGGCATTGGGCCTCATTGCAGCATCCTGCCTCCCTGGTCCCACTGTCCAAATCGTGGCGTGTGTGAAGTCGATCCAACTTCAAGTTCGCACGATCGGTGGAAGTCCGCAGTTCACAGTTCTGGAAGTGAATACTAGTCCTTGGGTCAGTGCATGACCATGGTTATGGGCGCCCGAGTTTCAGATACAGGCTAAATGGTAGCACCTCATCAAGGGTTAAGGTGCGCGGTTGTGATTGATGGACAAGTTTTAACATTACTGTTCAGATTGGATTTTGAGCCTCGGCTACAACTTATAGGTGGGAGTATGTTGCGACTTCGAGTCGCAATTTATCAATGGTGTGTTTTTTGTTCATTCCGTCCTCCGCGTCGCGAAAACCATTAAGTCTTTAAACAACTTTAGCCGTGGTTCCAGAATCCATAACAGCGGCCGCCGAGGGGATGAGCACTTCTAACGGTCATCTATCTCCACCTGGTCTGATTGGAGGGTGACCAATTTTGAGATGCAAACATCTTGTTTCCAAATGCCCTTTATTTCAGCTTCTCCGGCGACTCATCTGACCGCTGCTTGCACATGGGCTCCTCCACAATCCACGGTTCGGCTGTGATATTCAAGGTACACCGCCTCAAGTTTCAAGCCTGCTACATATTTCAAACGCGGCCCACGACGAATACCCCCTTCGAGCTCTCAAGCACCAATGTCTGCCTCGACCTCAAAGATTCCCAAGAAGCGTCGCGACCTACTTGAATCAGGTCTTGCATGTCTGGTGTGTCGCTACAGGAAAATTGTGCGAAACGAAGTCTTCATGATTGCACACCCAGCTCTGATCCCACCCCTCACGACACCAGAAGTGCGACGGCATAAGGCCGACGTGTGGACGGTGTCTTAGGCACAGGAAGTTATGCGGGTATGCAGAGGAAACTCCTAGGGCCAGGGTTAAAAGGCTAGAAGAGACGATACAGAGCTTGGAGAGCGAGATAGCCGCACTCAGATCTAACTCGAGTCTGCCTATTCACAGCGCGGGAGGCACTGAAAGCCATTTAAGCTCGCGGATTTCTTGGCTGGCCACCTTGCCTCTGCTTGAGAGGATGCAGCAGCTCCATACCCCCAAGGGACTCCATGTCCCCGAAACCATACCCATATTTCCTGTATCAACTCTCTCTTCCAACATTCCCTTCGCGTCTGCAGAAGAGCAATCATTTTCTCATCCGGGAGAGGCTTACCCAAGAGTTATTACTCGCGTGGCGGTAGAAAGCGCTCTGGTGAATTGGGACATTCAGACAGAAATGCCATGCCGACTCCAAGATTATCTGTATGTATGCCCTTACTAGGTTGCGCATCCTTTTTGGATCTGACAGCACTAAATATCAAGTCTTCGTATCTTTTTGGCCCACCGTTTTCAATTCCATTCTGGACCGCTTGTTGCAAGGCTGCTCGAAGGCGTACCTTCGTCTCCTACCTATGGCAGGACCCTTCACCCCTCCCTTGTGAATTCGGTATGCCTTCTTGCTTGTCATATTTCTGGGGGCTCCATGTCTTCCCACGAGCCTTTCTTCGTAGCTCGGACGCACTCAGAGCTGGAGGCGTCACTGGCTTTCGCCGATCGTCTTATGGACCTTCTTCTCGCTTCGACTCTGCTTGGAGTTTACTTCACTCGCACTCGTCGATATCCCGAAGCTTACACAACCTTATCTGGTGCCATTCGATTCACTATCGCTTGCGGGCTGCAACCATTGACTGTGGCTCAGCGTCAAAGTGGTAGTGCGGCTTTGCTACCTCCGAGAAATGATCTCGAGATGATTGAACAGAGGCACGCCTGGTTTGCGCTGAACGTGGCGGACCGCATACTTACAAGAGAATCGGGATTGCCCAGCTCTTTACCTGAGGGTGTAAGTGGCCCAATTCCGAGGCGAACAGTTGTAATTTAATACTGACTATTTGCACATAGGCGTTTGCTGAAATCCATAGTTCTGCATGTGACATCAACTTTCAAGCTTTCCCCGTTAATACATTGCAAGCCTCTGACTCTGATTGGTTTCATCACTGGGCCTCGCCTAGCGTCCTTCTTAATCCTGGCGTATTCGACGTCAGTAGGGGAATAGATCATGTTTGTCTCAGAGCCAGGATGGAATTGCTTTTTGAGGGCATACGACTCTTCCGTGCGCACAACAGGGGTATGCTCACGCGGAAACGACTTTTGCATTCTGACTCACTACCTGCTAGAAGACGCTGAAACTAACCCGGTGCGAAGGTCAAGCATTCCATTCTGGCAAACATTCAACTTTCTGGAGGCATCTCTCTTTGAATATCAGAAAACGGTGCTATCATTAAACAGAAACTTTGGCCTCGTAAATGGGGAGTATAGTGAACTTGGATTTGGGTGTTCAATTCCCCAAAGCGGAGACCCCAACGGGGGGGCGGTTTTTGCCGGCAGACCCAACCCAGCCCTTTTTTCAGCCAAAGTGATGATGTATTCCGCGATGATCAGCTTGCAAAATGTTCTGCTCGAATCCTCTTATGTTTCAGACATATCTGGAGAGGGAATGATCCCTGAGGCACGCCGAAAAGCTGTGCAGGCGGCGAACGGGATGGCGGTGTTGCTCAAGCTTGTAATATTTCCATCCGCGAGCGTGACAGACCAGAGCCGAACGGAGGCCGTCTACTCCCCTATGTCAACCATTTACAGGGACGTTTCACTCTTGGTGGGTATTCTACAGAGTCTAAGCTTCTTATTATCTTTACGTCGAGTTTTCCAGCCCCATGTGTGGGACGCCTCTATCGTGATGGCGCGCGAGATCCGAACATCCCATATTTCGCCCGCCAACGAAGCCGAGATTGACAGGCTGATAGGGAACCTCGACATTTTCCAGACTCTGGTGACTGTGTTGCGGGATTTAGGGGGATCCAACCCAATGGGTGAGCCGCGTGACGTCGTCTTTCTGCACATGCTCATGAATCCGCCAACAGACAACGAGGTACAACGGCTCATTGGTGATTGTGTTCGTGCATTTCTGGATTTTTCGCCACCCGTCAGCACGGGAGTGGGGCAGTATAGTGACAAGATTCCAGCCCATATGATGTGTAGAGATAGTGGACCCTATAGCTTCAATTGACTACTAGGTCTCTTCAGTGGAGCTGAGAAAAGATGGTCGTGACCGTGGAGCCGTGAAATTGTCGCCTGGGTGATACAAAGGACAGGTGTTGCAACCGGAACTGGTCAGCACAATCTCGCCTCCATTCATCGTAATGGACACCAGCAGATCAAGGTGGGGCCGGAGAACAGTGGTCAGCATGCTGAAGCGCAAGGTAGACGTATTTGCTGAGGGGTCAAACGGCAAGTTGAAGTGAGAAAGGAGATGATGGAAAGCAGCTGATAGCAAGGAGACCAAGATGAAACAAACCGTCAAAGCAGCGCAAAGGGCTGAAGCGATCGAGGCATTTATAAATATTACGAAGTCACAGGCTGGAGTCCTGCCTAGCATTTATAGTGGACGCTGCAGAATTAGCGTAACATGAGGAGACTGTCATTTGGACTAGCACGGTATCGATCAGAGTCCGCAACGCCCAAGGGGGTATAAGATTTCTAAAGCTCGTGAGAGGCAGATGGGGAAGGGGGCAAGTCAAAAATAATGGGGAATCGGGCGCGAGCGAGTTCAATCTTAGGAATTAATGGTGGCGTACGTGTTGTTTACTTCTGCGTACGTGTCGTCAACAATAATTGGCCACCGAACTGCCCAACCACTCGAGGCTACAGTGCCACTCATGAAGTCCCCGAGTTGGATCTATATTCTTGCCACCCTTCACCCTGTGCCTCTTTATTATTCACCGGACCTCCATAGTACACCTACCTTGCACCCACTCCGATCCCCCTGCAGCATAAATCACCTGAGGGCAAGTGGGCATGAATCCATCTACCGCATCATGCTCCCCACGCCTTAGTGCGACGCACTCCAAGCCAGAAACGAAGCGGAGACGTCTTACAAAGGAGTATGTGCTACACTTCGACACCATCGGACGCACTAGGGCGTCGCATCTCCATTTGACTTCTAGCACTCCGGACCCCTCCCTAACCGTGTGAAGTGGCACACAAAATGGACCCAACACCTGCACTCTTAGCCCACGATCTTGGTAAGAATGAGCCGCGCGGAGGCTGGAGCGCACGTCCTCGGACGGTGGTAAAGCTGTACAGGATGCAGGGTCGCCAATCCCTTTACTCCTCGCTGGTTAGCCAGGCGATAGAGATCGTCTTCCAAATGCTTCCATAAAAGCTGCCGGGAACACTTAACGGCCAAACGACCGGAGGATGTCATCGACCCTGAAATCAGCTCTGCTTCATACACGACCGTTCCTCGCCCGTACAGCGATGCGGCAGAATAAATTATGTTTAAAAGCCTGAAACGATGGCCTTCCACGCTGACCTCGTGGTCCTGAATGGTCGGCCACGACCGCCGCTTGACGCCTGCTGGCGCCTTGAAGAAAGATAACCAAGGATGTCTTTATCGGCCAGCGAGAGCAACACAATGGAGGTAGCGAATAGCTCTGCATGCAAATCTTACTCGAGCAGATCGAACCGGCACGATCGAAATACCAAAGCTGGAACATGTTCCCGTCGATATGAATCCCCAAAACATGCCGTCGATTTCCAATTACTGATAATGTACAAAGCGCGTACTGGTTGAGCGGAAAAGGATCGGGGATGGGAGGCGACAGTTTGTCGGGAATGGAGTTGGGCTTCCGTCGCTTTCCATGTCGACTGGACTCAGCCGACATATCGGGTGGTGACTCGCAATGTTGGTGTTTGGTTCCTCCGGGAGAGTAATCATGTCGAGGCTCCGGAGAACGAACGGGCGAAGAGAAATGCGGCGCCCGATTATCGGGGGGCGGCCATGGACTCGCAACAGAAGGAGAAGGTTGGGGTTTGCATTGACGATTACGAGTGCATTGGAAAACCCGAATTTGAGCTTCCCGTTCACCGTTATCTGCACCGAGACACCGAGACACCTGGGGGAGAATGATAGGCCCGACTTGGATCGCCGCTCGCGTTGGGGACGCTTGGCATAGTGTATGTCATGGTGATACTGCTGATCGAAGCCGACTTCGCGTGCTTTGACCAGTATCAGGTTGAAAAGACGCATAAGCTGTATATCTGGATCCGCTCTGAATACAGGCAAGTCCCTCTTGAAGCCATGCATTTCCATATATCGTTTTCTGCAGGAAAGGGATTTCCTGCTTTTTACGACCCGCTCGACTGCCTCGGACAACTGTGGAGGCGGTGTTGTTGTTGTTGTTGTTGTACTCTATTTTGTTACCCCGCGGCCGCGTTTGTACGTGGCAGTGCGGCTAGCCCGGTTATTTACATCTGACTGTACATGAGGGGCTCGTCAATACAAGGTAGGTTATCTGGTTGGTGTGGTCGGGATGACGGGATCCTCCGGTTTGTGATGTCTGGGATTAAGCTGTGTCTGGGTATGCGTGGGGGTGTGGTGGCGTCTATGTCACTCCTCTCTCCCTACGGGTGGTTACTGGTTGTGTGCTCCTGTCCCCTGTTCCTCCGCTATGCATTGCTCTCTGTCCGCTCTTTTTGTCGATGACCCGCGACTTCTTAATAAAGGCCGCTAGTCTAAGAATGCCTTTGGGCTTCCCCATCAGGATCGAAAATCTGCTGTGGAGGCGGTGTCCCAAATAGAAATCCATAAAATGTGGCTTTCCTCGGGTGGATTATATGGGGGTTCTGCTGGTGCGACAGGAGTCTTGGCGCTGAGGGACCAACAAGACTTTGGGTTTGCGCATCTGACTTGGTATACGGTTGGTCTTCGAATTCCTGACATGCGAGAGCATTATGGACATGAACTCCAGTTCCATTGAGAAGCCGCTGTCGTCTTTTAGATAATAAAACGCTTATGGGAATCAGTCAACACAGTCAACAGAGGCATTTCGCAACGAACCCGGAGCCATTGTTCTCTTTTTTTTTTTTTTGTGGAACCCCAGTAGCTTTCGCGAATACGTTGTATTTGGGGTTTGTGTTGGGGTCAGGTGATCCCCGGGAATGGAATCGGGCTTGGACCGGAACTGCCGCTGTGAGGAAATGCGATTACGCACGCTTGTGTGGGACTCCCGGGCGCCCCCGATCACGGGGGGTCCGGTATACCCACTAAAACCCCGCTGCTGTTCAGCCAGTTGTCCGGTTGCCTCTCTTCGTTCAGTAAGTTACCGCTCCAGGTTTGTAGTATTAGATTTGTTGGGAGGGCCTTACTACCGTACTTCTTTCGGTTGGTTAGGGCGATGTCTTGCTGGAGCTTGGCGTTAAGGCCGGCTTTTAGGGGCGTTTCTAACTTCGTTTAAGGTGGTTTGAGGGCGATCAGGGTTCATGACTCTGCGACACCTAGCTTTCCACAGCTGCCATGTGCACTCCAGGACTACAATGCGGAAAAGCCTTGTCTCGCCATTTTTCGATCGGCCGTTAGTTGCTTTGATCTCGATGATCGGCGCTGCCATGATATATGAGATGTCAAGGTTTGCAGGCCAGGGGATCTTTCTTCGGTCGCATATTGCTTTAGCGATAGACCATATTCTCTCCCCATGGTTCTGGGGGGGAGCCATTGTTCTCGGTTGTCCTGGCTCAAAGAGGATCCCTCCTGCTGCGTACGAACACAATGGAGAGCGAAGGGGAGCAGTCTACAAGCCTGAAACGTCTCGGGAAGCCAGAATTGCGCCTGGACTATTTGCTTTGAAGAGGCGAATGAAGAATCTCCAGGCCACTACAATGCAGTCGGTGAACTTTGCTTCAATAGGGCTCGCACTAATTGAATAAGCATATATATAGAAGGTCCTATTAGAGAAAGTCGACGTCCCACAGTAGTGGCGCACGGACTTGCCAGCCGCCAAAGATTGTCCATCATTCCCTATCCGTCTTTCTTGTCGATAGGCGGCGTTGTAAGCTTAAAAGCCACTCGTCGCGACTGTTTTTCTGGCTCTCCTCAGTTACACTATCGTGAACTGAGGTAAGGTCTTATTTCTTGGTCGTGTTAGACCTTTTACTCAACATCTATCATTGTCTAACGCTAGGTTGTTACGCTAGCTTTCTCTCACAGGTCCAAGAGAATTTTGAGATTCGCGGGGATCTGTGACTTGCATCATCATGCGAACCAAACAAACAAGACGTTGCACCGCCACCGCTCAACTCCCCTTCCCCCTGGCGCATGGAAAGAAGGCCCGAGCTTGGCCAGACGAGAGCTGTTTCTTCTGCATTCCCCTCGCCATGCTGAGTTCATACTTGCTTGCTGCTCCTTGATGACGCTTGGCAGAGCTCAAACATGAGCGTGGAGACATTCCGTTCTTCTCTTGTTTTCTGAGCTACTCCGTGAGTTCACGATCGACTCGAAGTGCGCAGGCATGGGAAAATTTGTTCCGTAGGAGGTGGCTCGCCTGATGCGCGAAATAATAATTCGTCATCAGCCTCGTTTTGATATGAATTGCGGGTAGACCAAAGTCTGTAGTTCTCTTTGCATGCTCACGCAGAGTGACGTCCATGCGTGAACATGGGGGGCAATGTGACCAAATGTGTGGCCACCAAAGTCACGAGCGAGATCGTCAATATATCCACAGAGGTAAAGCATCAGATCCCTCCAGAATGAGGTAAACAGGAACCGAAGTTGGTTAGGTGAGTTGCATTACAGCTACTGTGACGAGCCCGCCAAGCCTTCGCGATGCACTCATGCATGGTGTCCGTGGGTTATCAAGTGGTCAAGCCGCATATTCTCCGCACGCGCGCCTCTTCTGAGAATCTGACCACATTCTCATAAGAATCCCAGAACATGAATACGCTGAACATTGCCGTGTGCACCCTTGATTATATCGAAGTCAGCGAATTCAACAATATCTGGGAAGCAACTATCCAAATGTAATGTACTTTAAAATACAACCATACACGGAGCACCGACAATATCAGAATCCTGGGGTAATTTACTCAGCCGATGTCCCGACAGGGAGTAGGGATGATCCTTACCGTATTTATTTCCTGCTTCTTTCTTATTCCTTCTCGCCTCAGCAAGTTTCTCCTCGATCGCAGCACGATTCTCGTAGGCTTCCACAAGTAACGACGATAATTGACCCCTTTGGCGAGCCCGCCCATGAGACTTCGCCTAATCGACAGTATAAGTAGGGATGTGACGGGTAGGCGAACCGCTTACTTGAATATTCATTCTTGGCTTTGCATCTCCATGTACGGCAGCTAACGCAGCCGCGCTGCCAGTCAGGTTTTTCCTTGTCTCCCTCTCAGCAATTTGTCCTCTCTTAGCTTCCTCTCCCGCATCCACCTCAATTATCTGTCCATCGCCTGTCTCCCACTCTCTGTCCTTTCTTTTTCCCTTGCTGCTTGGATCATCAGGGTTTCCGTATGCTTCGCGTTGCCACCGTTCCCAGAATGTTTTGTAATATGCTGGATCATAAGCGGCCCACTCTCCAGATGGCTTCTGGTAGTATCCCAGGTATGGGTCAGTGGAACTAGGCTCTGGGGGGATAAATTCTTTAACCACGGGAGCGGAAGAGGTGGAGACCGGGACCAAGGGTGTCGTCTCCGAGGATAACGTAGTCGAGGAGGCCGTTACTGACCCTGCTTATTCCAAATCATGAGTGTTGGAAATCGGATACGCTCACACTGCAAAAACTCACCAAGTGAAAAGAAATTTGTTGGATCGAGTTTTGATGGGGGAGTGGTTTTGGGTTTAGGCAACAACTCATGTAATGGGTACGTGGAGGGCTGAGGCTTCAAACGGGATATGGAGGGTGGGATGAACAATCCAGAAGGCGCAGCGTTTTGAGCTTCAATCATTTTGGGATTTGGTATCTCGAGGAATGTGTCATTGTCTATCAATTCTGCACTAATTTGGCTACTAGATTCTTTCATTCCCCTTCCCCGGGCCTCAGTAGGCTTTTGGTGGTCAATAGCCATTTTCTTGGGGGTAGGAAGCATTGAGAGCAGCGAGGATGCTCCAGCACCTCTGTTTCGTAAGAGCGGATTGACATCTGCTCTCAGCTTCTTATGAGGGGTAGTATGCGATGCGTCTTCCGAGTCAACAGCCTTCAGAAGGTCCACTTTGATCTTTACAGGGCCGTCACGTCGCCGATTTGACCTTGGCCCTCCTTTGGCGAGACCCTTGTTAGTCTCACTGTCGGGAGATTTCCCTGGCCCTGGCTCAGAAATGGGCTCGGATGGAGCCTGTACTTTTACTTCAGCATCGCTGTCATCGTCGCTAGTATAGTCAAGCAAGGGCATGGATGTGGTGAGGCTGATGGTCACGTTTTGTGGGCGGGCTGATTGAATTGAAACCAGCTCTGTTTGAGATTCGCGTGGAGAAAGCAGTGATTGTACAAGGCCCTCTCTGCATATAAAGGAACACATACGCGTCGCTCAGCGTTGCCCGTAAGCTGCTCATCTGCTATGAGTGCACAATCTTCTACTCCCTCTGAGGAGTCTTTTGACTTCATACCAGTTCCTATTCAAGTGCTTCCACGTACGGCTAGCATCCCTGTGGAACCCGTAGAGGTATGGATGGAGGATACACATGGATTTTTATTGACGAGCTCGAGTGTCATTAGCAATACCAAACACATGCTTCTATCACGCCTGGATATATACCTGGAAGTTCGGCTTCATCATACGCGCATAACTGGACCACTCCGTTAAGTGTTCGTGGAAGACATTTAGTCGATAGCTTTGGTCGCGTTTGCCTCCCAAGGGGTGTGGATATTTCGGGGTCTTCCAAGATGTGAGCTTCAATTTTACTTTCAATGGGTTCATTCTGACGAATCATTAGACCTAATAATCATGATCCTTCAACTTTCCCTCTGAGCCACCGAGAAGTGTCATTCCTCAATCGTCCTTTTCCGTTGGAGGATGCGCCCGAGCACTTTGCTAGATTAAGAAGGTGGGGATTGACTTTCGGTATGAGGTATAAGCTCGCAGGACAAGCGATATACCTCTAAATGAACTTCCAGTTCGCATGCTCGTTACATGGGAAGCCATTGAACATGCTGGGCCGTAAGTATAGGATGGTTTTCTCTGGACTCAATGATGACACTGAATTCAACCTAGGGGTCAGTATGACCAGAATTTCTTGGAATACCTATATCAACTATTGAGGATGATGAGCAACTTCGGGATTTTCGCATATGTATCGATGCATCAAGATGTCTGGTCCCGCTACAGTGGGGGCTCAGGAGCTCCAGCCTGGACTCTCGAAGCGGTGGGGTTTGATCTGACCCAACTCGAAGCAACTGGGGCCGCCTATCTCGGTGGTGTTATGGATCCTGGCCGGGATGTTGATCGTGGGCGATGGCCCACCGGCTACCAAAAACTTGCATCCTCGACTATGTGGTATGGGGGATGATCATTGATTCGAAGTGATTTGAGACTTACCGGCAGAACAGGACATGTTTCTGGGCAGGAGACATCTTCGCACCGAAACTTGAAGTCATACATGGTGGAGAACGTATTGGAATCCAGGCCTTTCTCCAATCCCGTTTTCTGCAAGCTTTTGACGAAGTGGCGAAGAAAGTTGGTAACCTTGAGTCGGTGATTGGGTTCGAGGTAACGTATAGTCAGAGTCATTGTCGACTTGACTCTCAACCTCGAAATTGCCAAGCTCATGAATGAACCGCATCGAGGCTACATCGGCCTTGAATCTTTGCATACATTTGATTATTACACCGAGCTGCACCTTCATGATTGTCGTGTGTTCCTTGTCTCTTCGTTATCCCCTGAACGCGCTGATCCTATCCTTCCGTAGCTACTGCTTTGCAATCCTTTGCTCTCGGTGCTGGGCACTCTGTCGAGGTTGTTCATTATGTTCGGTCATGGCCATTCCCTACCAGGCCATGGCGTCGCGCCAGGAGAAATGAGGAGAATGCGAACGTTTGGCGAACCTCTGGCCCCACGCAAGGGCGCTGTCTATGGGAGATGCATGCAGTATGGGATTGGGATGAGAGGAAGGACGCCCCTGTTGCACTCCGTGAGAACTATTTCTGGAGACACCCAGTCACCCATCAGCCAGTGTGTTTTCTTTCCTATTATCCCAAGTTGCATCCCTTAATAGTTTCACTTTACAGGTAAATTGGTATAAGGACTCATGGTACCCGTTCGTAACTCACTGGGCGAGCCGAATTGCTTTGTTTGCCGGTCCTCGCAAGCTCATCTTCGTTGAAGGCATTCCTAACGAGGTACATGCAATTCACGCTCCAGCTTAGGCTCAGTCACTCACCTGCCCCTCAGTTATCTCCGCCACCATGGCCGCCTCATCACAGGCCAAAAAATTTCGTCTTTGCCCCTCATTGGTGATTGCAGCTGTAGATTGGGCATCCCCGTCAGCTGACCATTCGCCCTTAGGTATGATCTTCAGACACTTTTCACCAAAACATTCGGCAATCTGTCCTACAACGTGCAAAAGCTGTCTAGTGTAAGTTGAATATTTAGTGCCAACGAACCGTGCCGTAATCACAATGCCTAGGGTACCTTTCCCCTCTTTGCAATCTATTGGGGAGTTCGTGGGGTCCGAAACAATTATTCACTGCAGATCAGGAATATCGCTGAGTCTGGGTACCGAGCCTTGGGTGAAGTCCCGATCATTGTTGGAGAGTGTGGTGTGCCAATGGATCTTAAGTATGGCGTCATTACCTATTTTTTTTATTACCCCGTTAATGATGGTTTTCAGTGGTGGGGCCGCGTTTCGCAGTGGAGACTTCCGGTGGCAGCGGCAAATGATGGATGCGATGCTCTGTGGCCTAGAGAGGAATCTCCTAAGCTTTAAGTGAGGTACCGAATATCTGGCGATGAGAGCAGCGTGTCTAAACTTATTACTAGCTTGTGGAATTATAACCCCGACAATACAGATGAAAAAGGAGATCATTGGAACGGCGAGAACTTCTCATGGTTCAGTAACTCTCGAGCAAGATCCCGCCCGTTCCTTGACGGGCTCATTGATCACGGGCGTCATCAAAATGAGGACTCCTTGGACGAAGGTGGACGGCTGCTTGACGTAATTGTACGTCCATATCCCGCGAAAGTTGCAGGAATACCGCTCTCCTTCGAGTATGACTCTCGAACTGGCGCCTTCGCATTCTCTTACGCAAACCCAACACATTCAATGCCACAAGCGGTCAGAACTGCACCAACAGTCAAGAACCCGCCTCTCTATGCTGCGACACCGCTGTCTTGTAAGGAGTCGGAGATTTTCGTACCCTCAGCTCTTGCTCGCGGAAGGAGAATGATCGTCAAGCTTCACCCATCGGAATATGTGTATGATGAAGAAAGACAGACTATGTTCATCCTCCATCGCAACGACACCCCGGGTGCAGTTCATACTGTCCAAGTCAAATTTGAACCGCCATTGGCACCCGTGCGGGTGCCATTCTTCAGCTTATTCTTCATGTACTTCATTCCTATGCTCACTGTATTGCTGGCGATGGTGGGCCATCAACTTCTACAGTAGAGTATCCTTGCCTGTCATCAGTCAGCCATTATTATAGTCCAGTGTCGTAAATTTATTCTTTCTTCTGATTAAATCATGGACCTCGAACCAAGTCCGAGTATACGGGGCTCGTGCGACACTGCTAACGTTCTGTAAGCATTCCGTGGCGATTCAGTTCGGCCCTTGGGGCTGTTGTTTCAGTATCAATGTGTAGTGACGCAAATTCACATCAAGTCATGTCTGGCACACTGGCTAGCAGTGAGTGATCAATGAATATGATTGCATCGACAACATAGGGAATTGTTCCAACTGCTTCTCAACCCGTGCACAAATCATCAATAGTTACCCTTTCCAGACCAACATGGGTAGCATCTAAACTAATATAGTATTTTAGCGAGCCAGAGGCCAGGAGGTCCACAATACCCACCCCCAACCGCCCTAACTAATGAAGATCGAAAGGCATTGTTGATTCAGTGGTGTGAAACGCAGATGCCCGGCAGCTGAGGCTCTACCGGCTTTCAAGACCTCAAACATATGGGCCGCATGGTCTCCAGTTAAGGCGAGGGGGAGATCGTCCCGCATGGTGGAAGGGGACCCTGAATCGGTCTCTGTCGTCGCTTGTGGGGATTGCAGAATTTTTCGATAGATCGGAAAAACAATAACGACTGTCATCACAGATGCTGCCTCTGATGTGGACCGCTTTAGTCATTCTCCTTCATTCCCACCTCATGTAATTCTTCACGTTTGCTCGGCTCCATGGTCAATCCAATGCAAAACATTCATCAACCTAAGAAAGTGTCGTCGTCCTCGTGCGTGTCAAGGTTGCGAGCCGACTCCATTAACTTCTTCATCCTTGAATATTCCTGAAAGATTCAGAAGTCAGCAGTCGTTGAAGAAATTAAATGAACCGACATACATAATCAACGATACCCCGACGATCTAACCACTCCATGATTTGTACAGGATCTTCCACATCCTCGGGCATCTGCTTCGAGGCCCTCGAAGGGGTTTTAGCAAATTTTCCCTTTCTAGAGTCCCCAGGGCGCTGAAGGTCATTCACTTCGCTTTCAATAATGCTGAACAGTTCATGCTGGAAAGCCAGTTATATATGCCACGGTTCCTATAATAAGTAGAAATACGGACCTGCCAATGTGAGAAGGAATGATAGACGGACGCTCTCCGTGCACAAAATCTTCCCATCGAGAACATGACGTCTTCATGTTTCTTCCTATTGGACACCTCAAAAGTGCAATGTAGAAACACGACTGAAGAGAGGTAGTTGTCGAAGGACTCACTTCTAGCACCTCGAATGTCTCACGATCGTATGGCTTTCCTGAAAGTGTAGTTGAAATTGTCGCTATCCGCCCTGAAATATGACATGCATCACAAATGGGCAAGCTATCGGTCAATCGTTCATTTGAGCAGAGTGGGTATGTGTCGAGCTCCTGTCTGAACTTGCTAGTCCATTTGGACGAAACGACTAACGAATCCCGAAAGCCGGACAGCTTACGATCCAAAACGGATAAAGCGAGTTGAAACTCTCGATCTGCTAAGCAACGTTAATAAGGTAGTGGAGCCATTTCTCCCTGCTTACCTTTCCTAGCCTTCTTAACGAATCGCTGCCGCTTTGACTGCTCAGTTGCTGCTAGATGCACAAAATACAAACATAGGTCTTAACATAAGGATATTAGCGGTGTTGCACCCATAAGCAATTCTTTGAGCTTTACTCTTGAAGTGCAGACGGAGGTCCTGGTGGCGAGCCATGCTAAACTCGATTGGGATCACCACTTTTCCCTCAACGTCGCCATCATCCTCAACGACAAAGCTATCCCCGTCAGATTCTGGCTCATCCGATTCTGGTTCCCTATCACTCTGGACTGTCTCCCCAGGTGGTACGGCACCCCTGAATGGTTTCAGACTATCTGAAAAGCCGGAAGAGGGAGACTCGGATCGTTCTTCCTCTTCCTTCCTAACCCTGCATGACGGAATTGTTCCTCTTCGCTTTGCTTGCCTCTCTAGAATGCGTAATTTAGTACCAATCAGTGCACTGAGAGACTGGGTATTCCCGCACCCTTTAGCATTTCAAGATTCCTGGAAAAGGCGGACTGCTTTAATGCTCTAGTTCTGAACCTTTGTTCAATGATCCCTGAATGTTGGAGTTAAACCCTCCGGACGATAACAGAAGTCGACCGTACGCACTGTCAGAATCTACTTCGTCCATAATATCGTCCTCATCGTCCCCCGAAGAGGGTTGTTGTGGAGAAGATTGTGGTTCTGGCACGCGCCGACGTTTGACAGGCTCAGGACTACTAGGATCTGAGGATGTTGACGAGAAGATGCGTGTTTCCCCATTTTCGGACTCCTTTACTTTGGACGCAGGACGAAATGAATCCGGGATAAGCCTCCTTCGCTTGAAAGGTCGCTGTGGCTTAGACGAGGATGACGAGGGTGATGACGAGGACGAGGACGTTGTGGAATTGGATAGTTCTGACGCATCAGAGCCTTAACAAACTAGTCATTGAGCACGTTCTAGCCAGGCAAAACATGGCAGCCCAATGCTTACGGCGAACATCATCGCTCTCATCTCCAGCAAGTGGACTGTCTTCACCCGAAGACAGTACTCTTGCTCTTGCCTTCACGCGAGACTTAACGGGGGACTTATGCTTTCTGTTTGTTTTGCCCTCTTCGAGCTTGATCTTGGACACATATTCACTAGAGTCCGAGTCATCCGTGAAGTGATTCTCTCTTGGAAGTGGCTTCCGTCGCCGGAGACGCGCCTCCTGGCCTTCTGTAGGTGTAGGTTTGTCTACTTGAGAAGGAGCAATGTATTCCTGAATTTTCGTTTGTTTCCCGGGCCCCCGAGTGCGTTTCATCTTCGCAAGTATTCTGCAACCTGGGGTAGCACAGCCACGTAACATGCGACGTTTGCCTGGAAGGGCAGGTGACCAGACTTTGAACGCTGGGGTGGCAAGCAATTCTCAACTCCCTAGCCGCGCATTGTAATATGCGTACGGTGAAATCCTCATGTACGCTTATGGCGTAGTGCAACAGGCGCAGCAAAGAATCGAAGGTTGATAGACGTAGGAGAAAATGTAGGCGATACATGCAGAACTTTTAGGCAGGACTCCAGCCTCTATGACTTCGTAATAATCAGAACTTTGGGAGCTGACTCGCAGCTGAATTGTCACCACTAACGGATTTTTTGAGTGCAGCCATCATTTTTTTCGGGCTCCATGATATCACCAGCCTCGCGTTGCGTCACGCTGACTGCACTGCCGTGCTAAATTCCAAAGCAGCGTGCAATGTGCATCTCAAGAAACGGTTGATAATGGGTAAACGTACCGCTTGCCGCAACTGTTATCTGTTTGGCGGCCATATGAGAATGTCGAGCGAAAATGGCCGATATATAACCAGCGCTCTGTCCTCAATGTTATGCAGGCACGGAGAAGAATAGCTGGGAATTTGGCCATCTCCGCTGAATGGAAGAGAGGCGTCGTTGTCATGTAAAGTATGTACATAATTGAGCAGGAACACTAGTCCACAAAACACTGCGGCAAGCATTATGCATGACCCGGATCTGTGGACCATCTACTGCGTTTCTGTGAGAATCTGTCCGATTAAAAGTGCAAGGTATGTATGGCGAAATCACCTCTCAGTCCAATTATAACAAAAGAGCAACAGGTACCACCCAATAACGGATTCCCACAACTGGAACACTTGCGAGAATGCTGCAATCAATCCTACATAAAAACGGGCGATCTCGGGCATTATGTACTACGGGATCAGCGAACTCCGCTACAACACAGCAAGGACATGACCAATTCGAAAATGCAACACAAGGAACTTGCAGGGGAAGAGCAACCTCGCATCAACAGAAAGGAAGGTAAGCGCCAGCTATATGTTTTACTCAACCCCGGTAGTAGCCTGTAGTGTGCATAGATGATTCCTCAATTAAGTAACATTGGCGGGTTGTTGACACGACTAGCCTCAATCATCGCCTGTGGTTCCAAGTGTTACCCTAATCATCTTGCCAAGAAATGAACGTGTATTCGCTGCCCAATGCGATGTACATAAATAGGATGTGGGCTTTTCTAATGCTGAAACTCTGTATCACGTCCACAATCACCTGGGTGGCATAGCCTGAGCGTCATTCCAGGGCATTGTTGATCCCGTTGATCATCTCCCTGGTCCCTAGCAGAGCCCATCACGGACAGGGACTCATGAAATGGCACAACTGCCGCACGCACCCTAAAATAGGTACTTCGTTTCGGGTAGGCTTTGCCAGGGCGAACTCTACTTTAGTAGTGGCTGGGATCCTGCCTAAGGGCGAACCCATCAGGTGTTATGGCGGAGCATGATCAGTGCAGGGCAAACTGATCAAGGGGTTTTCATGCAATGTGAGGCGATCTAGGAAATCGACATGCTGGATCCATTTTTGCAGCCAAACGGCGCTGTGGAAGCCCATCAGCCTAGCAAGCAACATGCCAACTTACCGAGAACAGCATCGCAGCAACTAAGTGCACTTTTAGTGACAGGCGATCTGCATGTGGCTGAGGATTCAGAAGAAGCGCTATCGATTCACAAAGTCCGTTCGGAAGCCTAGTTAAACGGGGTGTTTCCCGATTCAATGGGGTGAAGCGCTTTTAGAAAATGTGCTTGCCACAGTCCAATGTTGATGTTTGTGGTGTTCACGAATGGACTCTGTTCAGTGGCTTGATTCTATTCTATCAATTAAAGATGTTGCATGTTTGGCGCTCAAGACACCCCCATTTGGATGAACGACACAGGTTCGGTGTGACCCAGAATGGCTGGCGAGTGCCTGCAGATGTCCAGAATAAAACAAGGCTCCAAAATGGCGGATCATCGCTGTTTTAGCGCCTGTGACTTTACAGGACAATCAGCGCCCATTAACCACGCACTCCCGATATGATATGACCATTCAGGTCATGTGATTGTCCGATATAGAACCGACCCCTCCTAAATAGGAATATCACATGACCCGGCGGTCATTCATCCAAAACGGGCGCTCCGGTTTTTTCTTTGCACCTTGCTGCAGATGCGCCGTTTTTTTACACCTTAATTTGTCAAATGAGGAGAATATTGCATTCCCTGATTAGGACGAAGTGAGGGTTGATCGACAGAGTCGGAGTAAGGCAGGTATCTCTCGTTATCGATGACTTCCTTATGTAGGAGAACTAAACTCCTCACCCTTGCGTTCAAGACATGCAATTCATGAACTGCTATCTTTGTATAGAGGCTGGTCACCTGCCTAGTGCCTCTGGTTGTCTTTGTCGATAGACTAAACTATTGCTAGAGCGTTGGGGGTTCTAGCAGCCGGAACATGACAACTGGGGCTTCAGCTTCTCCACCTTCTCTACCGGGAACGTACTGAATGCGCTGATATATATTCATTCCATATCGCACGCATGGGTTCACCTCAATGTATGTAGCTGACTAATTATGGAATTGACCTGCTCGGTCCATGTTCCTGGTGCTCTAGCTCCAATGCTGGAGAGTTCGATTCGCAACCCACTGAAGAAAGGTCAGGTCCTGTCCCACGCTCGTACTCCCATATCGTTCCAGGGAACAATGGTCGCCGGTACCCGGATCCTCAGGGGATATAAGTGCTCGTACCGAAGTTTTGGCATTGGTCTCCTTCCCCCCGCCTTTTCATTATCTTCGCTTGCGCCCGATGTCTATCCTTGATCTCACTTGGGGGGTGGCGTTGGCATTCGCTGTCTTTAGTACGGTTCTCTCTGGCATCCTTACCGTGCAGGTATGCTCTCTTCCCCCTTCTGGTTGAGGACCTCGCTTGACACGCGTTGTGTGCGCCTTCGCAGGTTTGCGTCTACTCTGCGAAATTCCCACACGATTCCTTATTCGTCAAATGCACAGTAAATGGCGGGAACACCAATGGTCTGAACTATTTTAACTCATCTCGTTGCAGGTTTGGACAGTTTTGTGCGCCAGAATCCTCGCAGCATCTACGTCAATTGCTTCCTCATAATTGATAATACCCAGTATACTCGAAATTTTGCACAACAGCTTCACTTGGAGGCTCTTGCATCATTATCTGGCAAGGCGCTCGGTCACAATTCACTGTCAACAATCTCTAAATCACTATATTGTCAGATCGCTTCTTATTCGAATTTCTCCAAACTTGCTCTCGTTGAATGGTATGCAGCAATCGTGTTGTCTCATCATTTGCGTGCTTATTCATCTGCGAAAGGGGTATCACAGTAAGCAAAGTGCAACATTATTGTTAGTGGCCTCTGGTCAATGCCATAGGAAACACATTACAGCCCGCCGTGATCTTTCAGGTAGGCGAATCGGGCTTTCTGAACAACCAGTCATGTCGTTGATTAACGCCTCAGGCCACTGTCACCTGCGTTGTCCAACTGTGCGTTGCGCCACGTTGCAGCAAAATTCATTTGCTCAGCTGCTACCATCAGGTTTTATGTTAGGAGATGTTGGCTGGGTGGGTATACAATGCTGAGCTGTGTCGTGTTCTGGATGTCTCCAATTTCTTGCAGTCAATCGAAAGCATTGGGTAATCCCGATGATTACAGTATGTGATGGACACTCTATCGTGTTGGGCCCACTAAAGTTGGGGTAATTGGTTGCAGGCTTTCCTGTCATTTGGTTCCTTCAGTTCGTGCTTGTCTCATTTGGATCCAGTCCTCGGGTACTTAAAGAAAGTGTCTTCCAGGCGCAGGTTGTTGTTAGTATCCATGTGCGGTGATTTGGACGAAGTGAAAATCATGCTTACATTCTGTACCAACAAGACGCAGCCGTTGCTGCGTGAGTCGCCCGTTTTTCCTTATTCATCCTGGATACCGCTTACACCACACGTGCCCAACAGCATTCGGACGAAGAAGTACGCAAAATTTCGGAAAAATACTCCAGTTGAACCCATATGGATAGGTGCTGGAGGTCTGGCAGATATCCTGATTTTTTACTGCATTATTTCCTCGATTCGCGGATCACGAATGGGATACAAACCGTGCGTGGTCGCTTCCCAATTTGCAAGACGAGATATGGCTTACTTTCCAGGGCAGTATTGACAAGGGCCTGAGGATGCTTGGCGTGTACGCCTTTTCCACCGGGGCCGTTACCACGTATGCTCTTCCCTTGACTTTATTGGGGCGCATTAGCACTGATGGTTGGATGGACATCGCTATATAGCATTTTGAACTTCTTAACTATGTGCATGGTCCGCCATCGGCCCAGTGTTCGATACGCTCAGCATCTAACGCTCTCTCGTTTATAGTACTACCTAGAAAGTAAATCCCTTTGGCACATCGGTCTAAGCTTCGGTAAGGGCTTTTTCATTGTTATCGTCGCGCGTCAGATATAACGGTGCCTCTGTATCGATAGTGCTATCGAGATCGTATTCCATCAGTCTAATGGCCTCGTATGTGTTTGCTAGAACACGTCTGGCGAACAGCCATGCTTACTTCAGGCTTAGGCTGCATTTAAGAGGAGCCTGGACAAAAGATCCTGAGACTGAGTACATCTCGGGTACAGCTCGGAACCCTTGGTTCAAGGTAAATTTGGTCCCCTTTTGGCTCATTGTTAGCGCGCTAACTCAAAGAGAGTATTCCAGTCTAAGGATGATGGAACCGATCCATCAGCAAGGATAGCACTGGCGGCACCAATCTGTCTGGTGGTTCAGTATGTAACACAGAACTCTTCCCGTTCCCCTACAGGTTTGAAGTGGCAACGTTCTTGATTTCGAATGTAGGTCATCGAGATACGGCGGATGTCGCCCACTGAATATGCAAACTCTTGACTCACACATCCATCACAAATTTTCGGGCCTATGATAGTTGCTTGACCGACCAAGGGCCGGAGATTCCATGATATTTGTTTCCCCTTCGTTGTCATTGTTATTAGATGGATTTTCTTATTCACATTCGAAACGACTTCCCTGAGTTTGTGAGAGGTGAGGGTGAGGGTGACCTTGCGGCCTATGATGATATTTTCAAACAAATGAGCAGGTGCTACTCCATGGCTCATGGTCGTGTGGTGGTGCGGCTATTCCGCCTGGTTACGCAGCAGCGTAACTATGAGGTGATCATTCACGCAGGCCAAGGCATGAAGTGTGGTCTGTTGATGTGGCAACCCGACGTAACGCGGTGACAGAGGTACGCTGCAGGCACCCTATCGCCAATGTGGCGCACCAAGTCGTACAAAGCGCAATCGTTATCCGTACGGTAGCGGGATGCTTGTTCCTTTTACCCTAACCTCATGTTGTTCGCCATATCCTGTACCACCTATTGTTCTGGCTGGCCACGCAAATAGGTATTTAAGCGATAGCGACTTGACCTGGGTACGGTATCTTACTATCGACTTGATATCGTACCAAGGGTACCCACTGCTGGCTGATTACATGGTCCTCGGAGTTGTGTCGTCTGGGTGTTCATCGAATGAGAGCTCCAAGTGGACTCGTTAAGTCGGGCGATGCCGACAACTGAGCGAGACTCACTGGGCCTACGCAGGTAAGTTACTGGCCAACTAAACTCGATTTGTGTTAGATACAAGAGGAGCCCTAACTATCTGACTAGTCCGTTGTCTTATATACATGCAAAAGGAATGGCTTACATATGTGAGCGGCATCGGGCTCCAAGTCAGTTCAGTTGCACTGCCACTTCATTCCATCGAAGTGCCTGAAAGCTGGCTGTAGACATAACTCTGACGGTGACAACTTCCGAATGCTTGCAGTGACTTAGTCATTTAGCGTTATCCAAGCGAGATGGACCTTCGAAATGTCTTTGACAAACCCCAGCATCACCAGCTGGGGGACGGTGCTGCGACTGCGTCGAAAAACGAAACCTTGTACGTTCAACTTCCATCTCACCCTCCAAACGACCCTTCCGAGAAAGGCATCTCGGAGATGCGGAAAGTGCTTTCGTTGATAATAACAAGACTTCGAGACCGTGAGAAGCCACCTTCCGTCTTCGCCCAGCTTGCATCGGAGGCCGACAAGAAACATGCAAACAGAATTGATGCAATGGTTGCAAGTTTCAAAGATGCTGTAAGAAAAGCGAATGCACCGAAGCCGGACGCCTATGGTGCGGGGGATCTGGGATGAGGATGTTGCTGCTGACGCCTATTCTACGGATGAGACGTTGGATCTGATGACACAGCTTCGACATACATTGCTGGTGGCACGCAAAAAAGGATGGGAACTACTTCCTTCAAAGTAAGTTTGTGTTGGTTGCTGTTATGGTTGCATATTTAGTGACGATCTTCAGAGCACCCCCCCAAGCACCCTCGGACCGCTCGAGAACCAAGTCGCCGACACCTAGGCCTTCCCCGTTTCGGAGGAGGAAGACCACCCCTGAGCGTGCACAGTCTTCAGAGTTGGCTTATGACGAGGCTGATATACGATCCGCATGTCTCGATCTCGTCGCCAAATTGTCGAAGAAGATTGTCGCTATAGAGTACAGAACCCCAGGCTCAAGGCGCCCCTCACGCTCTACAGGCAGTGACCCTAGATGTGGCATTAGCAGTATTGGAACCAGAGCCAAAACCTCATACACTCTCAGCTGTCGCTTTTGCTTTAATCCCTGGATTCTACACATTTCACCCTCGCTTCCATTCTCGGCTGCTACAGTTCTTCGAGGAAGCAATTCTCGGGACACTCTTGGAGTTGCTGCAGAAAACTCAAGGATCATATCAGTTGTTGATGGAATCTACCAAGGGTGCGGATCGTCATTTCCACGCTCGCGATCAATGGTTTAACTGATTCAGGGTTCTCATCAGCACTGGAATTTAGCGCGCTCACGTCTACCCCCACTATTGCTATTTCCATCGAAGGAGAGGGAAAAAGAACATCGTCCCATTCTTTATGGTCAGCCACTGGCTCAAACCTCCGCATATTGAGTACCACAGCTCCATTTCAAGCTATGGACATCTATCGTCTAGGCTCCGTGGTGCCGCCTTTGCTATCTGCTGTTCTCGACTGTGTGGAGATCAACGATTCGTCCGTAGAATCTCTTGAACTGTTCCGTGCTGTTCGTGTTCTTGAGATGATTGCAGCAGGGAAGCTGGACAGCTATCTTGACTTGCTGCAAGTAATTGCGTACCATTCGAGCGAGGCTCGGTATCGTGCATATTCTGTCCTTGCGTCTTTTGGCCAGAGGTTATTGGTCATGTCACTGCATCCGTCCCTTTCCCTGTTGTTTCAAAGCCACCGCGCCCCAGGGACGTGAAACGTCTGAAAGTGCATGGGAACGATAATCCCTTTGATCATCAGTTTATACCATGGAGATTTCAAGCGCTCATTCGGCGGTCGACTGTGGCTACGACTGGAGGTCCTTCTGCGTTGACAACTGATTACCCAACTTCCTGTCAGGTTTGCAATGAATCCATTAGTGGTTTCGGTTTGAAATGTGTGCTCTGCCCATGTGCACTTCATTTCATGTGCTATGACTCCCCGCTGGTAGTTTCTTTTCGCAGTATCCATCAGCGCAAGATTCAGAGACACAGCGATTGGCAGTCACCCGATTTTCGCGCATTTTACCGAGACGCAAAGGCGAGTTGGACTGTGTCTCAATCAACAATCACCACTTCCACATTGTGGGTCTTCCCCCCTTATCTCACTAACACAACCTTATGAGTTATTAGGTGAACTTGTTTACCTTAACGCTTTGTTTCGTATGTCGATTACCTATTTGGGGTTGTACATTGCAAGGTTTGCGCTGCGACAAGTGCCACCTGTTCGGTTGGTAGCTGACTTCGCCGAATCAATCCCCTATCCCTGCTGATCCTTTTGGAAGTGCACCATACTTGTATAAGCGACCAGTTCAACGAGTGCAACGCGAGCCCTCCTACGTCTAAGCTCGTCACATCGATTGGACTGACATGCGCAAATCATTTGTCGCCCACTATTTTGACGTTCTTCTGACAGAAGAACAGATTTACAGCCATTCTTTGAGGACATTTCTATTCTTCAAGGTGTTCTATGGACTCAGCTGCAAATACTTATGAACGGCATTGCCTCTGGATCTATCATCATAGAACAACCCAGTCCCTCCACTGATCTTGGTAGAGAGAACCGTGTGGAGGAATTTGAGCTGCAATACTGCGTCAGAATCTACGAGGCTTATCTTGCCTCTGGCCGTAATCCAAAGTCATCACCCTTGGAATATTATCAGCGCTTGCACCGATCATCCGTTGACACGTCTATCCTGTTTGATTGGTCATTACTGCTGTATATAGTCGCCACCTCCAAGTGTCCACCGGCTGCTTACAGTGGTCCAGATCCTGGAGTTTACTCAGCGTCCAAACTACCCTCCCACCTCATCCACCCTCTCCACCGCAAGTATCAGAAATTGTGTCTCTAGCTCACATTCGTGATGTTTTGGGATCGGAGATGAATGTGAAGTCTGATGTCGCAGCTAAGCATTGTTGCGGCACGTTCATACTCTAGGTTTCTTTCGGAGAGTCGATGGACAGTTTAGATTATTTGATGACAGGGATGCGCCCCCAAACCAGATTTTCTGCATATTTCCTCTCCCAGTTCTTCTGGATACATCCGTGGATGTCGAGACCTTGGTCGCTGCGATTGAAGCATCCCTCGCGGATATCGATCTTTCGGTGAACGAGTCGGCATTACTGCTCCTGAATCAGCGTTGTCCGCCAAACATATGGGCTTCCGAGTACGGTTTAGGTCGTCTAGCCCGAGCAATACTCTCTTGGATTTGTACGGATGTCAGTTGCTTCTCTTGTCCCAGTTTTGTCCTTCCACTCTAAATGGCCCATCAGGATGATCGCCTTATTCGAGTTGCAACTGAATTTGCCTCTCAGAAACGCCCCCTCCCAGGCGTCCTACCGGCATCTACGGCTCATTTGTGGCCCCGCTTCCGGTATCACGTCCGGAAACATTAAACTCCTCCACCAGTGGCGGAGAGTATGTCAGTGCAAGACGTGTGCTGCTGAATCGATATATTGTCCCTTGGATGCGGGCCTTACATGCGTTGGACGCAAATTCTTACGCTGGCATCCTGTTTGACTTCTGCCGAAGTCAAGCGGCGGAGAAATGGAGTGACCCCATCTCTCTTGAGGATGATGTCCGTGCTTCCATTGTACGCAAAGTCCCCCAATGGTGTAGTGCGTTCACTAAAATACCACTAGAATTCGACAGATTTAGGCGATGAGATGCTGCGTATTATCCTGAAACTTTGTCACTCCTCTGTCATATTATCATGCTTCGACGCGGTATTTGTATCCTGGTTGGATGCTGTCTCTGGCATGAATTCGAATATTCAGGTGGGTTTCTCCGCATCTTCAAGAATTAGGCCCACCTTGTAACTACTATTACAGCCGGTACCATATCCATTCCTGCCAAGGCTTTTCAATATGGATGCGGAGGCTTTACATTATGCCTCCCAGAGTGAAAAGCCAGCCGCGACCGAGCTCAACGATGGCTGGCAGGTAGATCCATGGAAGGTGATCACCGATGGTGCTGCGGAAGGTCCTTCAGGAATGCAACGCACTCTTCGATGGCTGGAATTGCTCGCACGTTCGGGTGTGAGCATACCCGTTTCGACCTACAAGCAGATGGCTGCATACTTGCGTGACTCAGACGCAGCGTTTGAAATGCACCAAGCTCTCACAAGGTGCTTCACAGCGACTTGCTGGCTGAAATCGCACGGAGCTCAGGATCTCCTTGGTTTGATTGCTACCATTCATGACCGACTAGCGGGATGGATATCAATCAATTATGTCCACGATGATAAGCGTGACAAAATGTGAGTAACTCAAACACTGGGTATGGTTGCTCCATATTCTCACAAACAATCAGCGATAATTTCATCCGGTTAAGCATGGCAGCGTGCCTCCTTTTGTACGGATTCGATCGAGAATATGTGGTTTCCATAGGCTTAATAGAGCCGTCGGAACAACGTGATTTTCCAACAAGGTACTAATTAGCTTTTCTGACAAGGTTTGTGCAATGGAGAAGTTGAGTGATTGACACAGGCGGAAATTTACTGGCTTTGGTGCCATCGAATCTGCGACGTTAGCTCTGAATATTGAACTAGTGAACATTCTGTCCCGTTATGTGACCTTTCTTAGACCAGAGATTTCGGTACTGGTCGCCGCATTTTTGGATTCAGTCGTTTCAGACTCTTCGCCATTGGGGAAAAACGAGGTGGATAGCTTCATTACTATCAATGCCTATGCGTTGAATACCTGGTAGGAACGAACCAGTTGCTGTGTGTACCCCAGCAGTTCAACTTCATCTTCTTTAGTGTTTGGTCGTTTTATGGCTTGCAACTGCCGAAATTGAGCCTCATCCGGTCGCCTTTATTGCTCAAACTCCTCATCGTTGATTCAAAACCCATGGAGATGATCATTACAGAGACGCTCAGTGACCCAGACTCTGGACATAGGTATTGGGATTTCACCATTTTCATTATTGCATGGCAATCTGACTCGGGGCAGACAGCTGGCTATTCAAAAAATGCATCTTATTTCTCTTGACATAAACTCTGAACCCTTCCAAATGGAGGATCGTCAATGGCGACATTGTGTTGTCCCGGTGCTTCGTCTGTTCTTTGCGTCTTTGTGGAACGACCCATCCGTACGTTGAGGCTCAGCAGTTCCGAGAGTTGCATGAAGTAACTGCTTTTCTTTAGGAAGAAAATAGACAAATAGTTGATGTCGGTGAGCATCTAGGCGACCTGTCAGATGTTTCTTCCCTCACTTCATTTTAGCCTGCCAATCATTCCTACAAGTGCATCTCGATGCCATTTCCAGGTGCTGGGATGAATCCCTCCTGAAAGCACCCATTGGGGAACGAGTTCGACTTGTCAGGTTTCTCCTTCGGCTTCATCCTTATTTTCCTACTTGGAGGGTTCTCTCATGGGACGCAATAGTTGATTCGATGCTAGAAGATGATCTTATCAGCTCGCACGGTGTAGATGACGGAAGCAACATCATCGCGCAAATTGTGAGTTAGTAGGTCACAGACTCGCCCATTTGTTAAATCAGATCGCAGTTTTCTTCAGAAATCATCGAAGAGCCCTCGAACGAGTCTGATATGACATTGTTACGAGTGAGTTTGGTGTTTCTAGCGTTCGCATATTCTCATCATCTGGAACAGACCTTGCTTGTATCGCTGAGTTTGCAGTTCATTGGTGATGGTATACGAGTTGGTACGTCAATTGAAAACATATCCTGCAACTAATGCTGAATTGACTTCAAAGATGTGTTCACTGTTCTCAAGATTAAGCATCATCTTGTCCGTACTCCAAGCTTCCGTTCCGTCATCCTCTGATTGGCAATTCTATCATAGGCAAGAGTGCTCTCATTCTCTGAATCTCGTCTCATGCAAAACGTAAACGGGACGGTTCATATCCATCTAGGATCCATAACATCCATTCCTCCTACGGCTTATCCATGTATAAGTAGCCTGAAGCGAGCTATTGACGGACCAGGGATGGTAGATCTTGCTCCATCCGCAATGGGTTTTAAAACCGTCCCCGAAGCCAATGCACCCTGCCTAGCCGGGAGTGTATTCGATGACATTGTGATAGCGGTTATTACTTCTATTGACGTTGTTCAGCTGCCCTATCTGGTTGCGCGATCTTGGCTGGAAATCGTCGTCATCATTATTCTCAAGGCATGCTTCTCTTTGTGTGCAATGCGTCGCAGGCTGATTCTCCCCAAGCACGATTTTGACCATCCGGCATTGCATCCCTTGAATTCGAGGCTTGTCGACACCGTAAAAAGACTGGTTGACAACATTCGCAAGGATGTCAACCAAGAACTTTGTCAATTATCCCTGTCCGTTTCTCATGCCCTACTGCAAACGAGGGGGAATTGGGCCACTAAGATATTGAGGTATTGGGCAGTCTGTGTATGCAAATCGTCTGGTCATTGAAGTGCCACTTAGCCGTCAGATATTCGCAATCTCTTCCATGGTTGTCGACTTAGATCTGAAGCCGGAGCACGTATTAGTTGCTCAAGGAATCGCATTTCTGGAATCAGCGTTCGAGAAGTGAGTAATGGTGATCTCAGTTTTCGATAGGAAGCTGATTCGGGGTAGATTCGTTACTTCCGGATTATTCAAGTCATTATTCAAGGCAATGTTTAGTCTTCATAATTTTTTGAACAGGTTAATCTAATTAATAATACAGAATGATCCTCTTCCGCATCGGTTTTTTGATGTTCTCTCAACAATTATCAAGTCATCTGCTTCGCAATCGGAGGAAACACTGCCCAATGAGATTATCCGGACTGTGCTGGAGAAAATGTTTGATCTTCGAGAGGGCGAAACTGACCGAGATCTCTTTGCATCTGTCGGGCCCATCATTCGTAATCTTGCCGATTTTGTCGTGCGTGTTCACCACAAGAATCTCTCAAATCGCTTACTACAAGGTACCCCTAAGAGTGTTCATCGGTTTGACCCACCCTCTTAATTGCCCGCTAGATATTGCGTTGGGCCTAACGAATATAGCTCGAAAAACTGCAGAGTGGCCATCCTCGGCCTTCAACCCAAATCCCCTTTTTTTCATGGTTACCACCATCATACAGCACAATAAGGCTCGATGCAAGGTGAACCTGACTAGACTAAATTTGCCCTTAAGCCTCGCTCATTGTTGGTCGCGAAGGACATTCTACTTCATCTGGAAACATTACTGAGAGCATGCCTCGTGCGCTTCGATGTGCACGAGGAGAGTTTAGACTACCTATTCAAGGTCACTGGGAGTTTGATTTCCAGAACGAACAGTGTGCAGTTTGACTTACCCCCTCAACACCTTCCCCTTGCTGTGGTGGACACATTGGTTGAAGAATTGAAGGGCCGCGGTCGTTCATCAGTCGCAACATTGCTAGCGATGCTTCGCGTAAGTGCCAGCATACTGATTCGGGCAGCGGATTGACGGTGCTTGCAGACTGTTTCCGCCTGTTTGATCTCGGATCCTTCCATATTTACAGCAGACGCGCAATGGAGGCTTGCTAACTCCGCTGCAGCCTACTTGGAGTTATCTCATGCAACGGAGCGTTTCACAGATTATCATTTCAAATGCTTGGTCGTCGTCAGTCACATCGTGCTTACGGCCTCTGAAGAGCCTTTTGGTAACAGCATCATAAATGATGTGATGGGCAGCGTAAGATATGCACCCGATTGTTTCTGCCAATTCTGACTTGACGCCTATCAGAACTCCAACAGGAATGACGTCTCCCTAAGATGCTGGGCTGCACTAGGGCTTGCTGCACTGGAGACGCCCCGACACCGGTTAACCATGCTCCAGCATGTCGCCAATTTTGGGCTCTCATACTCCAAGACCCTGCAGCATCTTGCATATCCTGAAGCGGTTTCAGGATGGGCCCCAGTTGCTGCTGCAGCTATGAGCAGCGCCTTTGCAGCAATGAAAATTTGGATTCTCTTAGCATGGAACGAAGACGTTCTAATTGAGGAACCTGACGAGGCCTGTAGTTTCGAGCGCATAGTCTGGAATGAAGTATGGCCTCCTTTCGAGAAGGTTATCAATGTTTCCATGTCCTCATCTTTTGATCCGTCTTTGGTAAGAGTGCCAGATTGTGAGTTTTATTTGCGGTGACGGTTCTCGCTTGCAGCCAATTACTTCTGTGATTTGGGGATCCTATGTGGATCTGGTCATCTTCCTGATGAGCTATCGCTCCATTCTCATGGTGGATACGTCTGTCACGCATGCGCTCTTATTGGAGAAGCTCTCTGCTACTACTTCTGATGCAATGCACCAGAAAGTGAGTTATGAGCCCACTTTAGTTCCCAGTCGCTAAAGCTCCTACTTTGCTACAGCTTGCTCGAGCGTTGCAGGCAATCCAACATCCTCCACCTCAAGTTCCCCGCGCACAACTTATTAACAGGGCCAGATCTGACCTTCTGGCGTCAGAGAAGTTGACGCAGCGTCTCCAGATACTGGGTCCAAAAGAACAAGTTGTCAAGAGAGCCACAGGATAGGCGGAGGGACCATAGAACTAGTTAATACATATTTCGGAATCGTCAGAACAACGCAGATGATAATACATGGACTGAATCCATTTAGATTCCATGTTGCTTTTCGATCAATCTACCAGTGTCCATCATGCCTTGACCAGGACTTCGCCTTGGAATAATCGACGAGCTGTGCGGACATAATTGATTGACTTGGGCTGCCCATGAATATCCAATGCAACGGTGGCCTTCGACAGCCCTGCAGGCTGTCCAACAGTGATTGATCGCAAGGACATATTCTTCTCCTGAGGCAGCACTGATGCCTGGCATGCATCCCAGACAACGGAACCAGGAAGCACAGAGGCCACTGCTAGGGCTGACACCATGGTGGCTGGTACGGTCCGATGGAAGTTACCAACACTGACGGCACGAATCCTGAACAATATAGCTAAGCTCCTAGGAAGGACACACGCTCGAACGCGTGGGCTTACACGCAGTCCATTTGGTTTGATCTCAGCTCCTCCCCGCTTGTCGTCCGGTAACTAGCAGGAGAACCAATAACACAGATTTTTGGGGTCGATGTGGAGAAGATAGAGGAGAGTGCAGGGCTAAGACGGCTCGCGGCATAGCGCAGCTCTTCTGCTCGCGCTCTGAACCGGGGGTCGGCATCAAGGTCTGCCGGATGCGAGAGAAACCATTCTGGGACACTGAAGACAGCAGACGATGGGATGAAAATTGAGGGTAATCCGGCATCAACGATTGTGCAAGGTATCTGTAGGAATCCGGTGAGTTGAAGGTGCAATTTCCACGCATGAGTCCGGACAAACAGATTTGCCCTCCATAGGTATTGCGTCAAGTACTCGCCCGGTAGGAAGCATATTCCCTTGAAGCGGGTTTTCTATCTCAACGGGTGATGACGTACTTGGCACGCCCGAGATACTTGCGCCTCCAAAATTTGATACATACCAGCGGAGGCGACCCGACTCCAGAGATCCGGGAGTGCAGACTACTGTAGTTGCGTGAATAATCTTGCCGCTATCTGCTGCTAAGATCCTCGTTGCGAAAGGGAAGCGCTCTGGGGGTGTCTGCCCTTGAATCGAAGCTTCAATACGCTTTTGGACCAAACCTTCATCTACGGCATACTAGATCCCGACAGAGGTCAGTGACTGATACTCTCCACCACAACTAGGTCTCATTACCTGTGCGACCGCAGCCACAAGGTTCCCGCAAGTACTGCTCCAGTCAACCACAAAATCTCGCACTCCCACTTGGGCAAAACGATACACCACATCCCATCCACTCCTCTCGCTAGATGCACGCGATACATCATCCACCCAGTCAACGCCATCCGGAAAGGAATATTCCGGGCCTCTAGACATCTCGGAGACAGCCTCTCCAGGTGTCGAAAGCACTACGGCTTTAGACAAGGAAGATATGCCTCCACCCATGCCATCTATCTGGCGGCCATCGGGGTCAGGGGAGCCTAAAGATCTGACAGAAGGAATTCATCAAGTGGTCTTAAAACTATACTCCCATACCCATAGCTGAAAGCAGTATCTCATTCCGCATTGACTGAGGGAATGGGGCTAAATCTGAAGCCCGGAAGAACAGACCCTTGCTGAAGATCCGGGGATGAGATGAGGAAGCACAGGTCTAGGTCATAATACCTAGTTCCACCACGATAGAATGAGGCCTTGATAGCTCGCAGCATTAGGATTTGACAGACGTCAGCGTTCACTGGATCCCAGGTTGCCGCTCTGATTGTTTGTAGTTGTTGCTCTTAGTAATAAATAAACAAGCATCAACAACACGTCCCTCTCATTTGAGGAATCGCGTTCCGTTGTCGCTCGGCATCCTCGTAGGCGTATGTGTTCATCGCGAATTTTAATCGCTATGCTCATGCACTTTTTCCATGCACCAGCAACCCTGAAATGCACAATATTGTTCATGTCACTCTTTATGTCGCTCTCTTCTTTAAGCAAATTTGGTCTCAGGGCTCACCTCTAAGTGAGGACGCGGCATCCGTAGAAATTCATGGAACTCCGCCTTTTTCATCATCTTTGCCTCTTCAAAGAACTAATGGGCTCTTGTTTCTGTCGAGTACCTCCGTCCCAACTTCCTGGAGCTCGCTGCATACACGCGTCATGGCCACGTCTACTGCTGCTCTGATCCCCTCGAAGACTTTCAGTTACCTCTCGGACTCTTCTTCAATAGTTACTGGCTCCCACCACGATCCTGTTCCCTTGAAGACGGTTCCCAATCAGTCTGACAGCTTTCTCTCAATCCCCTCGGAGTCTAAGACAGCATCTCCTACTTATCCTTCACCTGATACTGCGGCAGCGATCCCTACAACGCAAACCCATCAATACCCAGCTCCTTCCCTTCTCGCGATCTCCCTATTGGCACCATCCTACAGTAACTATCATCCCTCCGCAACCTCTAATTCTGCCTCTGTTCTTCAGACAAATACAGATGCGTCAACTAGCGAAAACATATCCACTTCTCCATCTCGGTCAGCAATTGCTGTTTTGGCGGTCTTTGCTATCCTTACTGCTTTTATCGTCGCTATCTTTCTATTCCAGAAATACCGGTCTAGAAAACAGCCCTCTGACGAAGATTACTGGGCGATCTATGGCAACTCCAGAAGTAAGGACAAAGAAAAACACCTACCATACTCCATCAATTATCCTATCCCCGCTAATGATGATCACTACTCGCATGCCCTTGAGGATACGTCGATCATTGAAAAGGGAGAACCGCCTCTCTTTGAGTCTCATCAAGTTTCAAAAGCAACTCCCTACCGAGACATCGACAATCAGACATATCCAAGGCCATTCATGACAACCTTGGGCGGAAGGATGGATACGGATGGTTATGTCTTTGTGACAGAACTGCCGTCCGCATGCAAGATCGCGGGGAGGAACACGAGCGCAGTGTCACGGAACTAGGATGGAAATATCCATAAATTCTGGAAGTCCATCATGATTAGAGCCAAAATATCACTTGGGAACAAGCATGACGAAGCGAGCGGTGCACTCCGTAGTGAGTCCTGCAAATTTAGGACAGCGTCCTCTGTAACCTACGGTCCACTTTCCCCATCATGACAATACGACAACAATATGATTCGAACAACTCCGCTACGTCCTCATTTCTCACCATCGCATGCCTTCCTTCCACGCCATCTTTTATGGGGGATTTTGGTTTTGTTTTCGGTTTCGGTTTTTGGTTTTTGGTACGGACCAACGAGGTCGGCTGCAGTGCAGCGGAGTTGGCCGGATTTATTCGTCTATTCGTCTATACGCTTACTGTTGAGTGTACTTCCCAATCTGCAAACAAACCGCTACCTTGCAGTTAATTCTGTTGCTCCTTTATGAGAGGAATAAATTCCGCCAACTCCGCTACACTGCAGCTACAGTAGACACCCCCTGACGCGACAGAACCCCTAACGTTTGACCCGCTTTGGTACACCCCCCATCTCCACGTCATGCCTAGCCACGATTTTGAGGTTCGAGGACCACTCACCTGGCTGAGAGGAACAGCGGAATGGCGTCGATGGCACGCGGTACCCATGGCACGATGATTTCAAGGCTTCAGGTTTCTCTGCCTGTCTCACACCGCTCGCGGATGATTTTCGCATTTACTATATGGAATGACACGAGTGCCTCAGACATCAATTTTGTCAAACGGGATAGCCAGACATTTTCCAGGCAATGAAGGTTTCTACGCAAACCAGCAGAAAACGGAAGAGGCCATGCAAACATGGAAATGGAGAAAATTCTTAGATGAAAAAAACGACGCTGTGGTGATGGTCTCTATCACTCACAGAGACCGTCAAGGCGATTCACCGTAACACTGCCCCGCCTTACATTTCACTTTTCCCTCTGCAATCCTCACTAGGACTCGTGCAGTCCATCTGGTCCTCGTTCGTCGTGGAAAAGAGTGGGCCTTTCTTCGCTACAGGACTCTGGAGTTCATCTTCTGCCGATCCCTTGCTTCCGATTGAGAAGCTGGGTCCACAGTGCGCACGAAGTGTGATTGGCCTACGATTTCCGCGGCCAGTATTTCGTGCTCGAGAAGCGTTGATGTTCCAGTATGTGGCTCATTGATCCGTCGAGTAAACACTTAGGACAAATGCCCTCTTTGAGTCACTTCCAATTCTTCGCGCAGAATGTTGTGGCCGTGCATCAAATGTTCCGATGTCCACGAATTCGCTTTGAGCGATGGGAGATGGAATAGCTCGTCGCAAATGGCCATCCGGATCCCAGTGTGGATTCGACAATATGGTAGGATGGACAGCAGCTTCGGCAGTAGAACTGCCTTCTGTGGATGTTGAGGGCTCTATCCAGTATGCACTCAGTGACGTGGGAGAATTGGCACAAGATTGGGACGTGCTTTCGAACGAGACTGATTTTCTTGCACGCTTTGGTCATCGGTGAGCGGGCCTCCTTGGATAGTACCAGGTGGAGAGAAGGGGGGAAGGGATGAGAGTGCTCGAAAATATTGGGTGGCTCTGGGTTATGGAGAATTGGTAATGTGATCTTGACATCAATCAGGGTCGAAAAATTGGCAGGACCCGCTACAGAGTGGTGGGAATTAACACTGCGCATTCCTCTTCGTCACTCATTCCAGTCTCAGTAAGAAACACGATTATTTCTCCACACACTATATATGGGTTTCTTTGCAACGAACCACGCACCCCCAATACCAATCAGCACAGAGTTTCAAAAGACACCAAGTGCTCGATCTCATTCATTGAACAATCCCACCTGGGCGAACCTAGCTATCTTGATTTGACTCTGAAGTTCCGAAATTTCCTTCGTACCAATTATGGACTACATAACATTGATGGATCTGAGGCGAATTGGGTACGTTGACTCATTGCAGTGCACATCAAATGAGCGTCATCATCCTGGCTTCTCATTGTCTCGCTTTAGGTGATTCCACGGCACTACTACAAGATCCGATATCAACCTTTTGACGATGGAAGTTGGGGTGAAGAATTCGTACGGACAAACAAGATCTTCCATGGGCATCATAGAGATGATGCCATAATGATGCGGGACGTATCTGGGGGTATGACCTTTGCTCGAGTCCATGCACTACTTGAAATAGCTGTGGGATCCTCTCAGTGTCTCATCGCGTTGGTGTCCGACCTCCAAATGGTTTTGCTCTCTGAGTATACAGCACAAGACTGAGCTACTGGATTCGCACTGCTCCGACTCGATAACTGTTGACGTAGCAACCCGACGTGGCGCACCGAGTCACGCATATTGTGACTACCCGCACTGGCAGTGGGATGGATCCTATTATCTCTCTAACCTCACGTTGCGCGCCACTTTGTATCTCTTTTATCTTGGTTGGCCAAACATGTATATAATGTCCGCGACTTGGCCAGAACACGATATCTAACTATCGGATTGATATCGCGCTCAGGCAAGTTACCGACTACTTGACTTTGTATCTAAAATATCTAACTATCAAATTGATATCGCGTTCAGACACCTGCCGGCTGATAACAATAACACCCAAATTTGCGTTTTGTGCCGGTGACGGACTTCACTCGGCAGGCATTTTTGGGCCCTACGTCTGACCCACAGCGGGCTTTTCACTATTTACTTAACGATATCATTGATACAGACATGTTTTTCCGCTTGAACGGTTGGTATCCGCCAACATATAATATTTCGGGTCCCTCGGACAACTAATTTGCCTGAGTCGGAACACCATACTGTACAATATCCACATCTCCGTTCCCCGGCATTGGCCCATGCCATCTTGGTATGGAAATTCGACGTTACAATGTGTCTGGGTATTTATGATTTAATTTTTGCATTAAGTATTGGAACGGACTACTTCAGTCGGTTTTAAAATGCGACAATTTTGGTTTTGGTTTGACACGTGACTGCCAACACTCCGTTGAGCTACGGGCGACTCTGGAGTCCCAACTTGCCAATAACCTATGTCTCTCACACTCGATCTCAACTGCTGGGTACTTGGCGATGATGCTAGCCGAGTGTTCCCGGTGGAAATTTCGAATGCAAAGCCTGTTGGTGCCCTCAAGGAAGCAATCAAAGACAAGAAGAAGGTCACTCTCCAACATGTTGACGCAGACGCCCTCACGCTTTGGAATGTTTCCATCCCAGTCGACGACGGTTTCGAGGAGAAGGTTGGACTTGGAGGCGGACGAGGATTATCGCCTGTGGAGAGATTGTCCAGCATTTTTTCAGATCAACCTGATCATCAAAACCTACACATCGTTGTTCAGTTCCCGCGTGTTGGTGAGTGATAGTCAGGGAGCCATCTCTGTCTGTGACCCATTTTCTATTTCTAGTGCCACCTCCTCCTATCCTCGAACTGTACTGTCTCATTCGTGACGATGACCCCAGCCAAATATTTTCGGTCAAAATTGCGAGTACAGAGTCTGTCTCCACCCTCAAAAAAGCCATCATGGTGGAGAAGAAGGTCGCTCTCCAATACGTTGACGCGGGTGACCTCACACTCTGGATGGTTTCCATCCCATTCGACGGCAGTTTCGAGGAGAATGTGAAGAGCGCTGAACTTGAAGATGAGAAAACGCTATCACCTGTGCAGAGATTATCCGACATTTTCTTGCGTCCACCTCAGGGTAGACATCTGCACATCATTGTTAAGTCTCCGCGTAGTAGTGAGTGCAAATGATTGACTGATTGTTGTGTTTACCCCTTACCTGTTTGAACGGCGTTACTCGCGCGGTTGCCCCGTAGTCAATGCACAACAAGATATAGGTGCGCAGTCATATACATCTGGCTCCGTATGATTTGTTTACATATTCCATTATTGGCTTTCTCGTTGATACCCCCCAACAGTCCTCGTCACCGAAGAAGATCCGCTCTACGGTGGCTTGGCAATTATCCGCAACTATCTCTGGGAAAATGAGGATCATTTGCGTAACGTCATTTCTTGCTCCCCGATCCAAGTACCCGACCTTGGAGTCAATGACGAATTTCAAAAATCTGAGGCAGAGGACATCGCGATGGTTGATGCTATGGCAAACAATCAGGCAGTGTTTTATAACCTAATGGAGATCCCGGCGCTGCCGCAGAATACATCCAAGGTGCTCACGCTGAAGTTTTATGTGCGGGCCGAATACAATACCCTCGATGGATTTGTGGAGAAGCAGAGAGAATCAGATGTCGCTGGGCCCCATCCCCGCAGACCAATTTTGCTTGTCGGACAACCTGGAATAGGTCCGTGGGTTGTGCTGGATTGTCATTGCACAATGTGACTGATCACGCTCTCAAAGGCAAGACTGTCTATTTGACGTATTGTCTCGTGAATCGGCTTGCACAAGGAAAGCCCACTGTGCTTTCGAAGTCGTATTTGAGGCGTTTTGCCTTTCTCCCCTCTGGCGTTTACATGATTCCAGGCGATTCCTTTGATCGTTGGTACCATCCTGAGGTCCATGCAGCTGAAGGAACAGATTTGCATGGCCTTATTCTCTGTGACTTTAGCATGGGTGAGAAGGTTGAAACTTTGCTGCGGCGATGGAGAATCTTGGTGGCCTCATCACCCAAGCCACAAGAGATGTATCGTTGGGTAAAGGAATACAATGTGACCAAGTTCTATATGAAAACATGGAGTTGGCATGAGGTGTATGTATGTCGGTGAGTCCTCAGTTGCATAGATGGAGAGGCCTAGCAGTACTGATCTCTTCCAGCCATTATGCCAGGGAGCAGAGAGTTGAAGATGATGCTTGGCATACTGCGTTTATCAAGTATGGGGGCTCAGCGAGGTCTCTACTTGATTGTACACAACAAGCCCTAGATGACAGCCTTGCCTCAGCCATTATGGAGTGCAACCTGGAAGACCTCTTCCAGCAAGTAGTGAGCCATGAACCCCAGAAATACAACCACTATCTTGTAGAGGTTAACCCACTTCAGGATGCTGATGGTGTTGTCCTGAACCGATCAAGCCCATGCACACGGGTCATTTCATTCTTTATCCTCACTGAACTCATGAAAAAGAAGGGATCAGAACTGGTCAATACCTCAGCCCATTACTTCTACACTTGCATGAGCCATCCTTCCACACCCTCCACAGCTTGGCTCATGTTTGAAGTTCTTGGACATGTCTATATTGTCAGCAAAGCCAAACATTTACAAGTGCTCAACACTGGCCACCAACAAGACTTGCATCTGGAACACATCAATTGTGAGAATGTACAGGTATTCTCTGGATTGGTGCCTCCATTTGGTGAGCAGGGGGCTGGTTGCCCAGATGCAACCAAGTACTACCGACCAGTGTCCAGTGATCTTGCTGGCATCAACTTATTTGCTTTCGAAATGGATAAGCAGAATGCCATCACCAGTGTTGTCATGTTTCAGTATACAATTACTTCACAACACCCTGTCAAGCCACAATTTATCAACAAGCTTTGGGATGTGCTGAAGAAACAGCACAAAGGGAAGTGGAAATGGAAGCTTGTATTTGTCATCCTGGGGGAGAACCATGGTTTTCAGAGAAGTATGCCTACCAAGGGCTTGAAACCACTGGTGGATCAATTTGTGCTGGAAGTTAATTTGGGGGATATGTGGAGTGCAATGTGCAGGTCTGTGGAGAAAGTTGGTTGATTTCATCTTACAATCTCTAGGAAATTTAGCCTTCCCATATCAGAATCTTTCCTACATGTGTCCTTGTCATATCCATACAATCCCAACCTCTGCTCTGGGCTCCTGGAACTCCAAACCTGACTTCCAGAGTCCTACTTCCCTTCTGCCACCTCCCCCTTGCTGACTTCCAAGAGGTTATCCCACCTCCAGCTCCAACACCACCTTCAATCCGACTCCGGAACATTCCGGGTCTGACCTCATCCTCGACACCTTCCAGATGAGCATGCAACACCTATGCTCCCGACTCCGGACCTCCACTCTGGAATCCCGTTTGTGTCTGCGTCTCCGGAACCTCCGGTCTTAGCTCCAACCTCAGACTTTGACCCCACCTCCGCTTATACCCATTGTATTGGTTAGCTCATTCCATTTAATTACGTTTGCCAATATTCCGGAGTTTAAATTCCGAGTTCGGACTTTCTGGACTTATGTCGGACCTTGCAACTATTGCATTGCTCCATTCATGTTATGGAAATGGGAATTTCCCATTTTAGACTCTTATGGGTTCTGTGTCACATGATTTGTATAGTAATTGAGTTGAACCAATCAACAATTACCAAAAAACCCGCTGTGCTAACATCTGTATAACCATATGAACCCCATTCCCCAACCTTTCCCCTTTCCTGCGCCTCGAACGGACGAAAATGGGCGCCTCTGGCCCCATTTTTGTAACAATTCAGTTCCGCTATACTCCCTCATTCCTATTTGGGCTGCTGCTTCCTTTCTATTCAGTCAGCTGGCCATTCCCCACTCCCATCCTCCCTCCTTCCTCCTTGGGCCTTGGCCCTTCACTCCTCCTTTGGGAAACACCATTGAGTCAAACCCTTGACCCTTGGTGTTGCCCCTCCTTTCAGCTCCCTTTGTCTCCTTTCGGAGTACCCTCACTCCTTTTGATTCTGGACCCCTCCTTATATACAATGTACATAGTAACTTGTAACCTCAGTCTGAAATCGACTTGAATTCCCCCAAGAGACTTCCCCTCTGCTAGATCCGAAATTAGGGACCCCTAGGACAACCAGCAATGGCACAGCACTCTGCCTGAGTCGCTGAGGCCGAGGTCCTTCCACGCTAAGTCTCCGATTCCACTCTGGAGTCATCTGAATCCGCTCGTTCTAACAGTCCTTCCTACTTTCTCATTGGAAAATTGCTCAAATTGTATAATACAGTCAGGTACCAGTGAGGACATTTGTTCATTGTGATCAATTGGCCTTGTGTCAGAGACTGGATTCTAAAGGAATTGTTATAAAAATGGGGCCTAATTGGCCCATTTCTATAGTGTTCAGGTGCAGGGAGTGGCTGTGACATCGAAATAGTGTTATAGTTAATGTAACAGATGTTTAACAGTTGTCTTTACAATGACATTAACAGAGTGTGGATTTTGATGATTGTAGATGGTTAAGTTGTCACTATTTACATGTCACATGATATATAGTACCCAGGGCCCATAAGAGGCCAGAAATGGGAAATTCCCATTTCCATAACAGGGATGATGTGACTCAATGATCAGAGGGTGTCATATCCATACATACCTGATCCCAATTTGACTCCCA